AATTAGGAAACAGCCTAATTATCCATATATTATCCCTAGTTAACTATTCCAGAACTACATGTTTTCAGAGCAAATAGGGGTTAGGGACTACGGGATTCCTATTAATATTAATAAACTAAACAAGCTACGTAAAGAATATACTAGCTATAATAAAGACATATATTTACCGGAGGTTATACTTGAGTAGTATAAGCAAGAGCTTAAGAATGCCGGCTTTATACTCCTAATTACAGAGTCTATACGTAACTCGAATAGGGATCTGAACTACCTAAATATATATATATATCTAAGGGAGTCAATTAGCAACTACCTAATTAATACGAAGAATACTTATCCAAAGCTAGGGCTTTTATTATTACCTAAGGATATATATAATTGGAATCTATTACCAGAGGTAGCTATGGGACTAGAAGAGGCAAGGCTAAAGGATTATAATAATCAAGATAGTATTCAGTTTATTAATAAAGAAAGAGATACTAGCTATAGAGATAAAGATCTCACCTATATTAGCTCTAACGACAAAGCGGAGATTAAAGATAATATTTACTATAGATAGTATTACTTTTAATAGGGCAAATGGCAATTGGGTTATAAATAGTTAAGAGTATAGACAGTTTATAAATAATAGATACATATCTGAGCCTAAAGCGGAGAAGGAGGATAATCTAGAAATTCCTCCTATAAATATTAGTCGGTTTACCCGGCCTTAGAGAGGCTAAATAGGGACATATTAATATATATCCTAAAGAAAGAACTAGCTAAAAATATTAATTTTTGGTAAAGTAATTAATTATAGAAGCTAATAGTAATCTGCTTAATTAGTTAAATTCACATAGTTATAGGTGGTTTAATATTAAAAGATTATATGATTTACCTCGTTAGAAAATCGACCCTTGCTCCTTTATTTTCTATATCCCCTATAATTATTTTATTGACTTGTTATTTTAGTAGTAAGGAGTCTATAGTATAGATCAAATTCTCCGTTAATACTAGCTCTATTAAATTAATAGTTCTTGAGAACTTTTAAAGTAATTATAAGACATATTTAATAAAAATGTTTCTTTTCATATAGAATTTAGTTTCCCCCCCTTAATTTCTATAGCTCCTTACTTAATATTCTATAGCCCCTAGTATAGGAAACTATAGTTTATATAGGAATAATACTAGGGATAAATAAAATATATCCGAATTTAACTTATACTAAGGGGCATCTCTTATAGTCCTTCTATTTACCCCTTTTTATATATTAGTAATACGCTACTATTAATAACCTCCAAAATAAGTCTCTAATATATAAATTCCCTAGAGAAAAAGTTATAGGGATATGGGCTAAAGGATTAAAATAATATTAATATATTATAGTTCTATCCTACTACTTGACTTTATACTATTATTTACTAAATTATAGATTTATTAGCTATATTTTCCTTCTAATATTTAATTATAAATCAGATCCTTATTATATTATCCCCAAACGTTTTTAATAAATAATCTCAATCTATAGAACTCTTGTTTTATACGGGAGGTACTATATCCCCCCTCTATAGTAAAGTATCTACTATATAGTGCAATTAACCTAGCTACTTCTCCTCCTGCTCCTATTACTTCTACTTTAGCTATACCGACTATTATATTAGATAGTATACTATTTTCTAGTCAAACTTAACTTCAGAATACTACCGCCTAGCTATTAAGAAACCAAGGGGTTAATATCTCAGCTAATTCCTATCCTTTTTACTATCCCCCGGGTATGAATCTCTTAAAAGAGGTCCTTGAATCAGAAGCACGTAAGAGGAGATAGTAGGCTAAGCTCGAGTATTTAGAGCGATTATATAGTAATTTCCATTAGGAAGCTTAGGGCGAAAGTGCGTATCTATCTATTTAACTCCTATATTAATACTAATTTTATTAGGTTTAGCCCTTAAAAGAAGTAAAGCCCTTGGTTCCCTTATTCTCGGCCAGGGGACACGTATAAGGGCTTTTAGTAAGGGTAAATCGCTAATCTCTCCTGCTCCTATTATCGAAAAACGATATAAGGTCCTTATTTCTATTATACTACGTATATATGAAATAGAAGAACTAGAGAGTAGCTTTACTAGGAGAAGTATACCTGTTTTAACCACAAAGAAGTTCCTTAGCTTAGAAGAGTATTAGGAGGCTCAAAATATTTAAATTAAGCTATAAATAGTAGAATAGTTTAATACGTATATAAAGCTTATTTATAGAAATACATACCTTTTTGCTAATATAGTACTTTATTATAGTCAAGAACTATTATATAAGAAGTTTGCTATATATTTAGCCAAGGCTTTTTTATTATTAATTCCGTTACTTGAAGACTAGGAGCTTAATTAATGGATTACGATCTTGGAACGCACAAATAGGGTGTCTTTTACTACTAAAGTAAGCTATTATTTATTAGTATCCTAATATAATTAGTACTAATATAATTAGGTATGGCCAAAGGACAAAAACAAGAGGATTAACCATGTGACTAATCTGATATATGGAGCTGAAAATACTATTAATAGCTTATTATCCCACTTTAGCCAATTAAATAAGAGAACGCCAAAGTATATTTATCTTATATTTAATTAAGATATTAATAAAATTCAGGCAAGAGACGACGAGATTTAGGATAAGTATAAAAGAAGGGATAGAGAGATGCCTTATCTCCTAGATTTTAGTCCCCTATTAGGAGACTCTCCTAATACTACCCCTAACGTAGTATCTATATCTATAGTTATATCTACGGCATCTTCTTTACCTGCTTCGACTCCTAATTAATAGATCGAAGCTATATGGGAGAAGGTTACTCCTTTAAAGAATTAGTCAGGTAATGACCTGAATTCTGACGATTTTAATTCAGACGACGATATGCCTATGCTAGAAGCTAGAATTACGGTTTCTCCTGCTCCTGCTCCTACTCCTGATCCTACTCCTGCTCCTGCTCCTGCTCCTGCTTCTATACCTAGTAAGTTAATAGATTTAAATATACTAGTAGATCTGACGTTTTTACTAGCGTTTGCTCCCGCTCCCGCTCCACCCACTTAACGTCCTCTGAAGTCTATATTAAAGAGGAAGCGGGAGGTGATTATATTAAGCAATAACGACGATAATTCAGATCTTGATAATAAAGAGAAGGAATTACCAGGGGATGGTGATTATAGGCCGGGGAATAGGCGTAGGGATAATCGGGGGCAGTTCAAAAAAGCGAGAACAGAGTAATACTACTGGATACATTTGACTATGATATATGGGAGTTGCGTATTTGGCCATAATTAGGTGTGTTTTCCATATAAAATGTGGCTATTAAATAAATCGCGATTTATCGTAATTTTGATTTTGCGAAAAAAATTATAGTTGCAGCATCGTCGCTAAATCAGCCCGTAACCGAGATCCAAGGTCAACGCACGACCAGAGTCAACGCACGGTCATTTTGGACCAAAATTCCCGAATTTTGAACTTTAATAAATAAGGAACTAATAACCTAATTAACTTTAAAATTTCTATATTACTAGTATACTATTTTTCGAAGATAATTATAATATAAAAAAATTAAAATTTATATAAAAGGCTTCTTTTATATTAAAGCTAAAAACAGAAAATTAATAATATATAATATTTATAAAATAATTATATAAAAGGAAAGAAAGTAATAAATGTAATTAATCTTATATTAATAATATATTATAAAAAATAGTTCTAATTAAAAGTTCAAGTAAAATATTAATATATTAATATAATTTATTTAAAGTTTTAAGTTTTTTTTAAAAAATATTATTATTAATAAAAGAATAGTATTATTTATTAAAAGTTTTAATAAAAACGTTTAAATATATTATACTTTTAAATTATATAAAAGAAATATTTACTTTAATAAATAAATAAAATACAAAATATATTTTATTTAAAAACATATTCTTTTTTATTAAAAATAATTAAATTAAAAATAAATAAAAGTATTTTTAATTATTTTTTCTTATAATATTATAATATTATATAAGGTAAAGAATATAAAATAAAGAATATATTAAATATAAATTAATATATAATAATATTTAAAAGCAGAAATTATTTATTTATATTATAATAAATTACAAATTATATAAGTATTTAATATAAGAAATATTACCATTATAAGTAAGTTTTATATGAGAAAGCTTTTATTATATAATTTTTTAGTTATTTCTTAATTTAAGCTTCTTTTAAGAATTTTTAATATTTTATTTAAAAATTAAAGTTAAAAGTAAAATTTTATAAGTAATATATAATAATATAAACTTTTTATATTATATACTTATACTTCTATATATAGTGAAGCATTCTTACTAATATTAACTTTAAAGAACTTATATAGATATAATTATTAAATATTAAATAAAAATTATTAAATTTTTTAATATTTTAATAAAAGCTAAGTTTAAGGTCGTTAAAAATTGAAGATTAATTAAGAAAAAATTATATATTAAATCTTTGGCTTCTTCTCTTTACAGAACTTAAAGAAATTTATTTTTCTAATTAGTAATTATTTAATAATTAAGTATTTAATATCGAGTATTCGGCTAAACTTGAGCGTGCATTGACCTTGGGCGTGCGTTGACCTTGGATCTCGGTTACCCGCACTCTCTGCAATATGTAGTGAAAAGCAGAACACTTTTGCGATCACCGATTGGAGCGCATCAATTCACCATCGCGCTACAATATATGCCTGTATTTAGATCAAAGCCGACCGGGCAGTCTCTTGTTATGCTAAAATAAAAATCTTCTTGCATATATACCCGGATACTTTCACTGTTTTCCCGGACGGATTGAGACGGCCGAGTTGATCCCCGCTCCGAAGGCAGTAAACACTTCTAGGGCTGTGCTCTATACTAATTGCCATTTAGCAAAATGTTTCGACGAGGGCAGGATTTGAAAGAAGGGATTTTTCCGGGCGCTGGCAATTTTTACGCACGACGACCAATGTCGATAACGTAATCTACGACACACGTCCGGACATGAACGGAACTCATTTTCAGGTGCTGAAATCATGGATACTTCCTTCGGCAAACGACTTCATTCTTGACCCAAACAACCGTCATGAACGTCCTGCTGGGAATCCAGCAACCAACATCAGCTTTGTGCAATTGACATTCAATGATACGAAATGGACAACTGTGAATTTACCGCATGACTGGGCCATTGGGGGGCCTTTTTACACTGCCGCAACGGCTCCTGTCCCTGGCGGTATGGGCAGGTTGCCTGTCCAGGGAATAGGATGGTACCGCCGAAAGTTGTCCATTGCAGCCTCTGATGTAGGCAAATCTATATACCTAGACATTGATGGGGCGTTGTCCTACGTCATGGTTTGGCTCAATGGCAATCTGTCAGAGGGATGGTCAAATGAGGGTTGATGATGGATATGATTGAGTCTAAGGTCTAAAAGAAGAGAAGGAAGCTTCAGGAGAAGCTGTAGTTATGTACAGAGTAAGCTAGTCTAAGAGTAATCTCCGAGGTTGATCACGTGCGTCTGACACAATCTGGTTGGAGGCTGGCCTTACGGATACAACTCATTTCGTTTGGGTCTTACCCCATACCTCCAAGCAGGTGACAATAACCAGCTTGCCATTCGACTAGACAACCCCACAGACTCAGCACGCTGGTACCCCGGTGGTGGCCTCTACCGAAACGTTTGGCTCACGGTGGTCGATCCCACTCACGTCGCCCAGTGGGGAACGTTCCTTTCAACTCGGGAGGTCTCTTCGCAATCAGCAGTCGATGATCTGACTGTTCAGATTGAGAATAAGGCTGTAGCTAGTCGGCAAATCGATATCGTCACCAATATTTATGCCGCAGATGCACTGAGCAGATCAGTCGGCGAGACAATAGCGTCATTCTCTAGGACGACGATCATTGTACAACCGGGGCAGAAGGTTTCTGTAAGTGGTTCTGTCACCGTCGCAAACCCACGTCTATGGGGCCCATTAGCAAGTGAACAAAAGCCCAACATGTACCTGGCAGTCACACACTTGTATGATGGCAACAAAAGGATTGATTCCTACGAAACCCCTTTTGGTATCCGTTCGCTCACATCTGATGCCGAAAGGGGGCTTCTCGTGAATAGCCAGCATGTACGCATCCAAGGTGTGAATCAACACCATGACTTGGGAGCCCTAGGAGCAGCGTTCAATGTACGAGCAGCTGAGCGGCATCTTGAGATCCTGCGGGACTTTGGATGCAACGCAATTCGGATGTCTCACAACCCCCCTGCGCCTGAACTGTTGGACCTGACAGACCGCATGGGCTTCCTCGTGCTGGATGAAATCTTCGATTGCTGGGTCTTGCAAAAAATGACCTCTGACTTTCATCTGATTTTCCCAGATTGGCATGAACCAGATCTCCGCTCTGTTATTCGCAGAGACCGAAACCATCCCTCCGTAATAGCATGGAGCTTTGGAAATGAAGTCGGCGAACAGTCAACTGCTGCAGCTGGAGCCGCACTCGAGCAGGAGCTTCACGACATAGTGCTCTCAGAAGACCCAACTCGCCCTTCCACGGCGTCAATGAACGCTGCAAGACCGGATATGCCATTTCCTGCTGCCTTGGATCTCATAGCTCTGAATTATCAAGGAGAAGGAATTCGAGATAGCCCTGCTTATAAAGGACTGACAGGAATCACCACCACACCCTTGTATGGCACATTTCATACAAAATTCCCGTCGAAGATGATTTTCAGCAGCGAGACGGCGTCCGCACTAAGTACCCGCGGTACATACCTGTTTCCAGTAACAAGCGAGATCTCAGCACCAATCAACAACACTTCCGGCGGTAACTCCACATCTCACCAAGTAAGCGCATATGAGCTATATACCGCCGACTTTGGTGCTTCCCCAGATAAGGTCTTTGCAGCTCAGGATCAGAATAACTTCGTCGCAGGCGAATTCGTCTGGACGGGATGGGATTACCTTGGCGAGCCAACCCCCTATTACTCTGCCCGGAGTTCCTACTCAGGTATCGTCGACCTAGCTGGATTCCCAAAGGATCGTTTCTATCTCTATCAGTCGCGATGGAGGTCTGACTACCAAATGGCGCATATTCTGCCCCACTGGACGTGGCCGGATCGCGTGGGACAAGTAACTCCTGTCCATGTCTTCTCGGCAGCCGATGAAGCTGAGCTCTTCCTTAATGGGGCATCTCTGGGCCGCCTCAGGAAACAGCCATATACGTACCGGTTCCGGTGGGATCAAGTTATCTTTCAACCCGGCGAGCTGAAGGTAGTGACTTACAAAAACGGGAGTGCGTGGGCGAATGATACTGTTGTGACCAGGCTTGGCAAAAATACTTTTGGTATCGATAAGGTATTGATACTGGATGGTATTACTTAGGTATCGCAAGAATCGATACGTATCGATACCGAATCGATACTTAGCCTTAAATTATCTCTTCCATTTATTATTTAATTTATATAATAATATATTTATATATAATTTCTTTATTTTCTAGTCTTTCTATTAAAGGAATTACTTAGTATTATTAATAAAAGCTAATATTATTTTAATTTAAAAAAGCTCACGTATTCGGAAAATTTAGTATCGTATTCGTATCTCTTATCGGAACGCTTATTATAAGCGAGCCTCACGAAAATCTCAAAAGCTATTTTTTGCTTAAAATAGCCGCATTGAGACGAGTTTTAGTCTAAACTATAAGATAAGTAGCTAAATAGAAAGCCTAAATTAAGTAGAATATTTGCGCTACCAAAAGCTTTCTTATAAGGGAAGTGGTTCTAAAGTTAATTGCAATTAAAGGGGGGAATTGGGTTCCGGGAATCGATAGGAATCGATACGGAATCGATAGTATCGATACCTTACGATTCTGGCATCGATACCTATCGATACCAGAAATTAGGTATTACTGCCAAGCCTGGTTGTGACGACTGGAGCAGCAACAAAATTGCGATTGACGGCCGACAGAAGCTCCATTCAAGCCGATGGTAGCGACTTGTCCTTTATCACGGCCGAGGTGCTCGATAGCGCTGGAAATCTGGTGCCGCAAGCAGACAACGCTATTAGGTTTTCTGTCTCTGGACCAGCAGAAATTGTGGCGACTGATAATGGGGATCCCGCCGATATGGTTTCGTTCTCTTCAAAGGAGCGGAAGGCTTACAGTGGCCTTGCACTTGCTATTGTACGAACCGTGAATGGAGAGGGTGGGGTTGCTAGGGTTACTGCTTTTGGACAAGGCTTCATGAGCGCTCAGGTCATTTTGACGACCTCTTGAGGATATTTGTGCGGGCATACCGTCTAAAGTGGCGTCAAAATCAATTCCTCGCAGATCTTGTTGAAACTGAACACTCTACTTAAGAAGTTAAATGGGTCTCGAAATGGCGCGTGCTTTTGGGAATACGTAGCTGTTCATGACAGTCTAGGTCACGGCAGCTCGTGAAATGTCTCGCTTATTCGCACACACTCGATTCAACCACTTCAAAATTTCAAGGCTTTTGCCCCCTATTGTTTATTAGATACAAGTTAGCTAAGAAGGCAGATATAATTTAAGGATATTACTTCCCCTTATTTAAGACTCAGCCTCGTTGTTATTCGTAAATCTTGAAGTGTTATAAGTGAGCACGCTCGGGCTGGTTCCGTAATCGCTGAAAGGCAAGTTTGAGGACGATTGTCCTTGGATGCGCATCTCTTTTGAAATCAGGGAAATTTTGGTGTGTAGTCATGATAACAACCAATATATGGAATGGCCACACCGGAACCAATCTGTCAGAGAAGAGGGCGAAGCCAGACACAGTGGGTGAGTGTTAGAACCACGGCGGTCAGAAACTGTTGACAAAATAATCGTGTCTGTCCCCTTTTCAATTGCTATGCTATACGCATAGTAACTGGCCACATGGGTGGTTAGTGGAACAACTTGCTGAGATCATTGATCAATCTGGTCATCTAAATCGGGCCTCACAGAAGAAGCAGGTCTTTGGATCGTGTCATTTTTTGACATTCATTGCAGCCGATCTCAAATCCACTCATCTGATTTGATAATTTAATTCATTGCGTTATATTATTAGTCTGTTAGAGGTGTGAGATGTGTCCAAATCTGTTTCGGCTCAACCATTCCCAGTCCCTCTCGTGAACCAATGCGACAATTTTGTGTAATGATCGTTCCGTCATCCTATCACTCTGTAATCCATATTTGTAATATGGCCTTGTTGTGTCGTTAAATCAATGTTACCTTTGGTACCTGCCTGATTGAGGCACACGACTTCCGACGAAGTCGAGGAGGGCCAGGAGGCTTAGATGTACATCAGCATACGTAGAATTTTCCTCGCTTGGCTTGTCGCGGCATAATAACAGTGCCTTCGCTATAGACACAGCTTGTGTAACATGGAGGGATAAGCCTTGCGTGACTCGTTGTTGAGTTTGTTTGGGATACTGATGTGTAATAGTGTTGGCGCAATTACGGCGCAAAAAACATGCAACCGAACCATACGCTCGGTCTCGCTCGTGACGCCACTTTTTGTCTGTGAAAATGTTTCAGCTTTGCTCATTGCCATTCTAATAGTTACTGGGCACGTATCGTTGGCTCTTGAGGGTACGAAGGAGCGAATCGGCTCAAGGAGCGAGAGAATGTCCAACCCCTTCCGTTGCCATATATAGGCCCAAGTTACCCGGGAACGGATCTCCGAACATGGTATCAATCAAGACAACAGTGTAGAAATTATCGTTTATAATTGATATCCATAACGCCACGGAAGCCGTGGGCTTGGGTGTAGACATCCTGAGAGTCTATTAGTTGTCCAGGGATATGAGTAAGCTTATGTGCTTCGGAGGGAAGACCTTACCTATTGGTATTTGTGAGCTCTAGAGCTGAGACGCTCAATTGTGTCTTATAGAGCCTAAAGTTTAATTGGATGAATCGATTATCAAATCTTGGGTGGAAGGGAACATATATCTACTGAGATTCGCTGTCTTGCGATCTTGACCGCTACTTAGGTAAAAAAGTTGCTGGGAGAAGGATTGGGTCCCATAATTTCTCCTTATGTTATGGCACAGATATATAATGGACTTCTAAGTTTGGCATATTCAGACAAGAGCGGATGGCAAAGTCGTCTGACTTATTCATCTGCCGACAACGCCAGCTGATGATCCCCACCCCACTTCTCATGGCTGTTTTCCACCGCAATGGCAGCTTCATTACTTTTGCTGTCCGAACTCTGAAAACATTTGTTACTGTATTCAATAGAGAGGATATTCCAATGGCCATTCAATCCACGGTCGCCAATCCTGCCCTAGAGCTTGATCAATCGCCGCCAACATCCTGTTTCCCACACCCGCCAGCCACCAACAGGAGTCAACTTTCTTCAGCAGGACACAATAATGAGCTAAAATAACCAATGCTTCAGGCCTCCGCTCTTGCATTATTTCGATAAACCGTTGCGAAACAGTGCCAGGCCAAACATGAATAGCGATCATAACTCGCGTCCTCATCGGTTCATGAGGACACGCAAAAAGCCGTCGAAGCTCATCCAACGCAGCCTTGCATACTTCCAAAACCGCAAGATCCTCTTCAGAATAATGGGAACTTGATTCTAGGAGTTGATGAACCCTGGCAAGATGCACATCATCAGGATTCTCCACGGTGTCCAGCGTGAAAGTTGGGCCTCGGTGCAGTAACGAGCCAAAAGGCCCAGTCCTCAACACAATCCAACTCTTCCCAACCATCTGTAGCAGTCCTCTGAAAGCAAAGAACCAGTGTGGGTGGTCGTCGTCTAGGCTGGGAATCCTTCCCGTCAATGTTTCTAATGAGCCGCATACATATGGCACCACAAAGCCTGCGAAGGCAACGACGGCGTGAATGTTGTGCGGGTTATTGTGAGAGACGAAGTCCCGGAAAGAAGGCAAACCGAGATGCTCTGATAGTGTTGCCCGCCTGGTAAGTTCCTCTTTTCGATGTGGTTGTAATATTGACAGATGCAGAGCTGAGATTGCGAGGAGCCCGTGCATGAGGAAGTCGTGTGTCATAGCCATTTGGGGAATTTCTTTTTGCCAGAGCCATTTCCTTCTATCGTCACCGAATGTCAGGCATGTTATTGAGGTATAGTGGTGCAGCAATTCCATACTATGCAGGTCGAGGGAAGTGGATCGGAGGTTGAGGTCTTGAAATGGTGACGAGCTTAGGAGCACACGCCTTGACGAAGGCCGGACGACTTCCCTTGTTTCTGTGTAGCGTAATCGTGGAAGAGAGGGTGTGAGGAACTCGAAATTGCATTTCAGTTTGTTCCGGATACAATTCGCACACGTTGGCTTTGCTTCATCGCACTGGAAGACATTAGCCAGAATATATTATCACGTGATGCTGTCAATTTATCTACCTTCACTCTCCGTCGCTTGCATTGCTTACAGCCTGTTCTCAGTTTCCGATGCTCTCGACGCATATCAAGAGATCCGGGAGTGACCCCGATGTAAAAACGGGTGGCCAATCAACCACGTTCAAGTTTCGGAAGTTCAGGGCTGATGGACTCTCGCTGAGTGGACGGTTCCTGACGACTCGACGAGCGCTCTGCAACTGCACAATGCTGGTATTGAGCTCGTTAATGAATGATAACAAATGCATGGAAGACGATGAAAAAGAGCGCAGCTCGCTCTTGCGATGTTATGATGGGTGATGAGGTTGATTTTGGCGTCGGGACGAAGCCCCTGAACAGACCCTGGCGTCGATCAACTCGTTCCGACGCCTAGTTGATTGGTCGGTTGGAATTAGGAAGGGTCCACCTTCGAGATCCCATAATAATTTGGGATAACCTCAATATCTTCGAAGCTTCTTCATAGTACTGTTCTTCAAACTACGGATGTAATGTCCTATTGCTCTCGGTGCTTTGTGAACCTCAGAATCGTAGTCTAGAAAAGAGAAGGAAAATAGTGACTTCTGAGCCCCTGTCAGTTTCGGAGACATGATCTCACCAAATCGCCCCGTACCCCGATCCACGACATGTTAAAACCCGACGACACGCACCTAGGTATGTCCTTCCACTTACATACCACCCACCTCCCCTATAATAATGCCACGCACAAACTACCGCTCCCAGACCACCTTCACCGTTCCTTCGCAAGGCTCCGTGTCGCTTCCCCCTCTCAGGCCTCCTTCCCCAAATCACGAAGTCTACATAACCTTCCCTATCTCCTCCAAAATTGCCACCGGCCTCCACTGGCATGAAACCCACACTGAGTATCTGCAAATAATTCAAGGAGTAGCCCTCGTAACGCTCGGCGACAGTACTGAGAGGTACACAGCGAAATCGGGCGTAATTACGATCCCCAGATATACGGTGCACGAATCTCGACGTGCTGACTCTGCTACCTCGAAGGCCAAAAGGGAGGTTGGAGAAGAGGGTGACGGCGACGGAAGAGATGTAGATCTCATAGTCAAAGAATGGACTGATCCCGCAGACGGTGAAAAGGCAATCTTTTTCAGGAACGTGGTCGGGCTCATCCTAGATCGGGACCCCGCCGCGAGGACCTTGCAAAATCTTCGGACTGCTTGGAATTTGTTTGTGGTCTTTTGGGAGTGGGATAATTTCCCGAGGTTTGTGAAGATGCCAAGGCTATGGGGGTTGGGGAACTCGGTGGAGAGGGGCGTAACATGGGCAATTTTGGGGTCAGCCGCGTTGATTGGGAGGTGGGTTGGGGTGAGGGGTACTTATGAAGAGTATGGCACGAAGGATGATCTCCGGCCTTGATGGCGGTGAGAAGCGATGTGTTAACAAGTTGGTCGGTAATTTGGTCAACAATATTGCATTCGTCAATAATTTAAATCAAGTGCCAGTTCATTGATTCCTTGTTCTTACCTTCAGAGCTTTTGGCAAGCGCGTTTAAACCACCCTCCTTCTCAATGAGTGGACAATATGCGCTTGTATTATTAGGAAATATCCATCTTATTGTGCGTTACTCCTAATCCGTTTATAATTAAACATCTCTAATAAAGAAGTAGTCAAAAACGAGTCAAAGTAGATGGGAATCAGATAGGAGATTAGTTGAAGGGAGAAAAACCTAATAGAAGCATACATTTCTAAAAGAGATTCGGTTAAGGTTAAAGGCACTTACTTAAGCTTCTCACCCGCCCCCCATGTCGGTAAAGAGCTCTGAGCCCCTAACGGTAGAGATGTAAAAACGTGTAAAAAAAAAAGTCAAGTGTGAGCATAATCAGCGACTCGAGCGAATGATTGAAGTGGGCGTGAAGTGGTGCCTTAAAATTTGGCCCCACTCTAAAGAGCTACCTGCGATCATAGTAATTAGCCTAAGAACTCCCTATATTAGTATATTACCTAGTTTGGTTTACTAGCCATAGTAGTTGCGGGCCTTAATATAATTTTGGTGTGGTTATACGGCTAATTTTAAGTGGTTTGCAATTTTTGTTTTCGGATTTTCGGGTTTTTGGATTTTAACCCTTAATTGCCTAAAATCCGCCCGTAGAGGCATAGTCTTTAAGCCTATGCTTGTCGAAACGAAGTAGCCCGAGTTCCTTTAATTAAGATAAAATATACTAGTTTTATCGGGCTTTTCAGATGTGTTGTTGCGTCTTTCCTCAAAGCTAAACTCTCGATTCCTCGTAAGTTAAATAATTTATTTATCACTTACTTCTTTATTAGGTTTGGATCTGTTTGGAAGGAGTTGCTACGGGTGCTTTAATATCTTTTGGGGCTATACTGGAAAGCAGTCCTTAAGATCCCCCTGTGAAGAGACGCTATAGAAGCTCTAGTAGTAACCTCTTAATTCGGCGAGATAAGAAATCGGAGATACTTGCTCTTAATAGTAGCCGAGCTATAAAAGGATCCCGAGCAGACTGATTTGCGGTCCCTGATTATCTATAGGTAAAGTGTTTTGTTACATTTAAGTAGGAGAATATCTAAGTCTCAGCGAGTAATATAATAATTCATTGACCGCCTATTCACGGGGGCAACCGCCAGGTTTTGCTGTCTCGTTGGACTTCTATATCTATCTTAAGCCGAGAATTGGGCATATTAATTCAAGTACCGAAAGGCGTACGAGGAAGCACAAAAGTGGGAGCCGGGCGACAATCCGATAGCCATGCGGCTATACGTACTTCGGACCAAACTCAGCGCCCTTGGCCAGTCATATAAAGGTGATGGGCTCTTTGAGGACGCGAAGTCTGCCATTGAATTCAACGCTACAAGACCAGAAACTACGAATTCTCTAAACTACGCAAGCTTTACATATCTTTCCTCAGCCTGGACACCTTCACCCTACAAGAGCGACCTAATAGCGCCACAACAAGACCCTTGAACGCCTTTCGCAGACTCAACAATATGGCCTGCTCAACCTGCTCCTTGTCCACGGCTGGTGGAGAGATCTCCTGCTGAATCTCTCTGACATTCTGGTCCTGGTTTAGATTATAAACATTGTCTGCGTATCCGAAGGGTGCGTTAGGAATTGTGTACGTCTGAGGTGTGGCTTGCAGTGCTTGTGTGGGCATTTGCTGTGACGAGGGCTGGTAGTACCAGGCATCTGCAGTGGCGGGTGGAATTGGGTTCGGAATATGAAAGTTTGGCCCAATGTATCCACTCCCCATGGGAATATCATGGTCTGTATACAGAGCCACGGATCCGGAATTTTCTTCCGCGCTATAGGCGGAAGGCTGAACGTCGAACTCCCCTCCAACGCCGAGCGGGAACGAATTGATTGACTGGTAAGGATCTCCACCCACCACTCCACCCTCATACGGGTTTATGGAAGTCGCGTTGCTCAAGGTAAGCACATTCTGCGATGGCAGAATTCGAAATGGGGGCCGAGATGGCCCAAATGCCATGTTTGGCGCTGGTGAGTGTCCACCAACTCTCTCGCTGGGCTTCCTCTGATTTGCAGGCGTCGAATGTGTCCGCCGAGGTTGAGATCCGATGGATGATATGCCTCCTACCGATTGCGGAGTTGCAGAGTTTGGGGACGCGAGTAGTGGATTGATTGGGTTCATTCTGTCGGGACAGTCCAGGCACTCGTCAGGATCACACTGTGCCAAATCAGTAGCTGTAATATACATATGAGATGGGTTTCATACTCTTCTCTTGTTTTGTCGATGTGCTGCACATGCGTGATGCCTTGCTTTCGCTACTCGGTGTGACTGACATGAATTATTCCCCGTTGGCGTGTTGGAAAGTGAAGTTGATTGCAGCGATCTAATTGAGCCGGCCGAAGTTCTTGAACTCGAATCATTGTCTTGCGAGGACGTAAAGGAGAAGTCAGATGTAGCTGGTCGGTTAGACAATGGTGATAATTTGAACATATTCAGAACTGCTCTCTTTTGGACCGAAGGCTCATCAATAGCCGGATAATGTAGACTGAGGGCGATGGAGAGTTTTTCATGCTGGAGTGTCCAGTATAGCTTGATGTCGTTTGGGGACTTTCCCCATGTGATTTGGATGGGTTCGTCTTGCTGGCATTGCCCGTCACAAACCAGACAGTACTGTCCTGCATCCATTGTGCTCCTAGGGGTTGTTGAAGAAGCTATGAGATCTTGCTGGGAAGTTTCTTGATATAGGTTAAGACCAGCATAGATTGATGACAACGACGATTTTGCAATCTGAGTGCGGTTTTCACAGTCTCTAACTATTCACTGGTCATTCTAACAAAATATCCCCTGGAAGGTTAAAGCCAAAGCGCAACATACCTGCATACGAAATACGGGGATTGCGGGATGAAAGAAATTCGCCGCCAGCATCGTCTCCGAGCCCGACAGCCTCACTATAATCGGGCCGGCCGCGGCTCTCAGAAAGGAAGGTGGCACTCAGTCAAACTTATGGCTTTACGCCCAGCTGCGGTGGTAGACTTCCTTTTGCCCGGTTTTGATTCTAGAACGAGGCATAGAATGCACCGTGGGAAAGGGGGAAGCAATAGGGGAACCGCCGTTTGCGGGGACTTGCAGATCTTGCAACGGGGGCTGAGAATGCATTGCCAGCTGTGCCGAGAGAGGTGAGAGAGCCCGAGGGGTCCCCAGTCTCATCCCAGAAAGGTTACACGGGTACCTGCATTAGTGGCCACTCAGTGATTGATTCGAGTACCTGTGGCGGAACGATGCATTTTACCCCGAGAAAGCTCACCGAGTCCACGTGGAACGATTGGCGGCGGGAAGCGGAGCGGAGCGCGGGATCGGGGCGCGGGATCGGGGCGCGAGGTAGGTCAGGCTTCCAGAAGGGAGAAAAGGACTTCTGCTTCTAATCCTGGTAGTTCCATTAAGCTGGGTCACCAGTCTCGCCCTCGCCCCACACTCCGTATGACTACACTCAGAGACAGGCGTGATTGAGGCATTGGCATCCTTTTGGTCTGGACACAATGACACAGTCAAGGAGCATCAAGGCCAACCCAGGTCCCAGCACAGTCAACGAATGCAAGCTTTCCTGAGCTGAAATTCGCTCCCGGCGCAATCAATCTTCATTTTTGCATCTGTCGGGGCTTTCTTCGTGGCGTCTGGCCCCCGTTGTGCCACCCCAAACTGCATGGCAGAAAAGGGGATGGGGAAGAGGGGGGGGGGGGGGGGGGGGGGGGGGGGGGGGGGGGGGGGGGGGGCGAGTTTGGATTGGATTGGCGGCAGCCCACCCGCATCATGTCGACTGCGCCCGAAGAGGGTGGATTATCCGGAGTACAGATGCAAGGCACGGATTCGGAAAATGGACGGCAGACTGGGCAGTGTCTTAAAGTTCTTCAAACACATCCCAAAACATCTCCCAAGTGGGGTGAGGCCGACCCCGACCCCGATCCCGCTTTCGCCCCCAAACAAAACATGTGTGGGTGCACGAGACCGACCTTGACTCCGCCTTCACCGCTCTAACAAAATTGACGGAACCACACCTTTGCTGAAATGAAGCGTTCCCTTGTAGGCGAAAGAGATTGGTGGTGTTTCTGTTCATTCGCATGCTGTGTCTGTTATATATCTGACAATTCTTCGTCTTCTCGATTTTGACACTCTTCATTCCGTTGTTCTGCTACTCTTCCTCATTATCCCCTCCAACGAACCCAACCAAGCACAATTACAGCTGATATTGTTGCTCATTACTGCTCTCGCTATGGGCTTCCCACTTGAGTCTTGTCTTGTGCAGCAAAGTTCCCAATGCAACACTCTTTCCTCCTTCGTTAACGTCACAGTTCTGTCAACTCCCCAGAAGCTTGCTCCAAACAATGACATTACGGGCAAGACAGTAAGTCCACTCTAGCTCCATTTCAACTTCTTTCGATGAGCTAACTTTATCTACAGGTTGTCAGAATATTTATAGGCATTACCTTTACCGTGCTCATTCTATCTCTAATCCTCTTGGCCGATAAGGTTCACATGCACCATCTACTCAACAAGAACGAAAAAGTCGAGAACAAATATCCGTTGTACCCAAGGGCTATTCACACAATCGAAAGTGTCATGGAACACCTTTTCCAACAACAACTTCTTGCTGGCTTCGCACTTATTTGGGTGGTCGCCAACCAAGCTTGCACTATCTCAGCATATCACTACAACCTCGTCTGCATCATGCTGGTCTTGTCGGTCATTACGCAACTTAATGTATTGATCAACATCCCCGACTTTGTCAACAGAAACATTGCGACAGGGTACTACCACCTTATTCTGGTTAGCATACAGCTCGTACTATCCTTGTTTATGATTGCAGCAACGGACAGCAAAACGTTCCCATTTGAAGCTAGTTCTTTGGCTGTCGTACCAGCACAATGCTTCATAGACATTGCTGCAACATATGGAAATTCTTCATCGAGCACCTCCCAGAATCTCGCTACACACCTTTCGAGCAACATTACAGCCAGCAATGCGACCAACACCTCCAATACCACAGCCTCAGACTTCATAGATAACGCGTTAAAATATGCAGCGAACGCAACTTGGAACTCCACAATCGTTAGCTGCCTCATAATCTTTGCGATCATGGCATATGTTGTCGTGATCTACGACGTGGGTGAAGCCTTGTACGAGAAAGATCGTGCGAAGATCGAGGCGACCAGCGTACGCCGATTCTTCCGCTACACAAGCACCTTCTTTTCGACAGTGAGCATTCTTGGCAGTACCACCCTCGTCGGCTTCACCCTCCGTCGCTACGTCACTCTCCGAAGCAAGCAAGAGGTCGAAGCATGGTTCCTGGTTGGGCAGGAACAGGGGTACACATTTTCACAAGTGCTTCCACTCTTGATGGCTGCTGGTGGGGTTGCAGCAATCATACGGGCACTATTCGGTATGTCCCTCAAGTCTCAATAGACCTGGCTTTCATTCTAAATGAGTACATCTAACCTCTCCAGATTCTGCTCATGCCTTTAATAATCGTCGCTGGGCAAATTATATTACAAAGGCTGTGAAAGCCGGAAAAGATGCTCAAGTTGGCTACAGGAGATTCCGGAAAGATGCAATGGAAGCAGGAAATGCAACTGATTGAGATTCTTGATTCACTGTTTTGGAAGGCGCAGGAAAATCGAAGAGCTTTCTTTACAGCGATATATATATAAATTTCAGAGCTTGCCTAGTAATATTTATTACTCTTTTTATTTTATATATATAAGAAAAAGTAAAGGCAATATTAAAGAAATTAATTTTATTTAGTGTTTTTATTAAATAAAAAATACTAGATTTGGGCTTTATAAAAAAAAAGTACTTAGCTAGAAAAGAAAAGGCTAATAAGATTATTTAGAAATATAAGGAAATTATAATAAAGTAAAAGAAAAAGAATATTAAAATAAATAATAAGAATAAAGTTCAAGTAATTAATATAAAGATTTAAAGCTAATTACTAGAATACAATTTATTAGAAAATAAAGTTTACGAATTATAATCTACAAGAAAAATAAGGGTTATAGTAGGCTAATTTTTTTTAGTTTTATATACCTAGGGAAAATTTTGCGTATTGCTGGTTTTTGCGTATTGCCCTCCCTCACCTGGTAAGCGGGCTAAGCGAGAACCCAGGTGAGCCCGGCCGAACAAGTACCAGTTTTTATCCGCCTTCGCGTCGCCTTACCTATTCATCGTCTTGGTCTAGATATCCTTCCTTTGAAGTTCACAAATTTTACCTTTTGCCAACTTTACCCTGAATATATGACAAACCTATTCCCAACTATCTCTATTTTTGTTATGGATCTTAACCCCCTTGACCACAAGGCGGCGGCGCTAACTAGCTGCGTTGGAAGCGAAGTGGATGAAGCGTCGTCTGAGACTATTGCTAGACTTGGGATTAAATTTTTCTTTCGCTGGTTCTGTTTTACTCTCCAGATGTGAGCAGCGGCTTCTTTAGCCCGAGCTGAGGGCGAGCATACCTGAGCCGAAGGTGAGTATTGTTGCAATGTTTTGGAGGTTGACGACTTGATTTTTCAGCTCACGCGGGGCAAGCACTCTATATATACATCCGGTATATAAACTACAGTGTACCAGCGTACACTCAGTTCGAACAAGTATGCCTTAGCATCCTGAGCATGCGCACCATCACGTGGAGCTCATCTGGCCTCTTTTGTACCCCGGCTATCCATGATTTTTCTTTCGATCTACCTTTATTACATACTCTGGCACGGCTATGACTTTAGCTGTGCTGTATTCCAGGCCTTGTATTTTAATTTCCTGCTTCCAGGGATGCCTGACATGGAAATTTTTGGAAGGAGAAGAGCTGCGGAATTGGGGGATCATAGAAGCGATATACCTCTAGAGGTTGTCGACAGGGGCAGATGAATTAAAAGCAGGGAGGCTCTATGAGCTTACTTAAGTTTCACTGCATTCGTAAATATAATATATCAAGTATACGCATTATGATTGTATACTACGAAGCTTCGATTCGCTCGAATTTGGCGAAACAAAATGGTGATTGAAGATTAGATACCTTTATAGAGGTGTCTGCGGACTCCCGCTCTAAATGAAGTCCACTGTCCTCCTAACCCGGAAACCCAATATCAAAGATATGAGTTAGAAAAAATGCCCTTTTTACCAGATCAAACATTATAATTCGAAGTAATGTCTCGCATCTCAACATCCGGTAAAGAACCAATCATAGCAGTATCTCCAGAGCAGCGGGACGTCCCATCAACGATGTGGAGGTTCCACGGGCTCTGATTCTCTATCACTTGGGCGATTCCTGGCAAACACAGGGATGGGGCAACTGGCTTTTGTGGCCACTCCTTATCGCCAGCTTCGTTTAGATCTTGTGGTGTACTGGATCGCCCAACGCGGTTCTTCCAAAAACTGTCTGCGGATGATGGGATGCCATCTTGGTTTAAGATCTTGGCCAGTTTGAGTGCCTCGGCAGCAAGGCTTCGTGGTGTTCCTTCGCGGAATTCCAGTTTGCGCTTCAGGTCTTCAGCGTCCTCTCTCAACCATCCTAGGTTATTATCACCGTGGGGTTTGACAAGGTCCCTCCATTCTTGTTGAATATTAAAGCTAGCAGTTGGTTGTCTCAATAGTCCTTTAATCGTAAGCGAATGTGACCATTGTGATATATCGAGATGCTCCTTCTCATAGTGCTCGCCTATGTGCTCCAATCTGCCTATTTGCGATCACCAAAGGTCAGCCGACATTTGAGAGGTGGAAGGTTTCAAGAAACAAACCTTCCCAAGTGAACAAAAATGCGCCACAAAATCCGCATCCCCATGCCGATTTACCCTGAGGGGCAGTCTTTTGATTCCAAGCGCGCCAGTACCTCGAGTTATCAGACAAGGCATGAACCCGATGTACGTGGTCCTTGAGTTTGTCTTTTCTCTTGAAAGTTCGATCCTCAACAGATTTCCTGCTACACTGGCTAACTTTGTGTTCTTCTTCAAGATGCGTATCAATACCCGCGCGATCCGGACCTAGCCATAGGACGAGGCAAAAGGCACAAATCCATCCGTTCTCTGTTGATATTGCGGGGTCACTAAGCATACAGATCCAGAGTCTTTGTGGCTCACACTGGGAGCCTTCATGGCGTTTCCATTCTCCTTTACCAGAGAAGGAATGTTGGCAGGCAGTGCATGCAAAACTCCCCGATGTTTTGTCGGATCTCGGTAAATTTTCACTTGTGGAAGAGCTGGAAGAGGCAATTTGTGGTCTCCTTTGCTGATTACCGTGAGTGGGCAAGGAGGTTGGGTGTCGTTGCTGTTGCACCTTGGTGGAAGGTCCGGCCAGAGAATGGTAATTAGTGGTCAACTTGGCAGGGTCGATAGATTCTGGGAGGCAATTCCCGTTACCCTCCTCCTCTGCCAATAGCTCGGTAAAAGAGAACAACGATGAAGATGTATTATCGGTCAGTGAAGATGACCCATAGGAAGCACCCGACAGTCTATTTAGACCATTGATGCCCTCCCAATCTTCAGATGGCACAGAAAGAAGAGAGCTAGCCCTGTTGGTCGACGGGGCTGTGGACCCCAAGTAGCTACTGTGGGACGAGTTAGCGCTGGAGCAGCGCTGGACTCGGTGTGCAGCCTGTGGTGGCTCGACTTCCTGTGGATTGAGTTGACCGGCATTATCAGTCAACGAAAACTGGTCAATTTGTGGAATTTCGTAAGCCGAGAGGAGCGACCCGAGGGGCAGATTCTGATGACTTTGAGAGTCATTGGGATCATTTGTGTCAAGGTGCGGAGGAGGGGCAGGAGAGAATTTCAGCTCTGGATATACGGGTCAGGATCGGTCAAGGGTGCCATGGAGTTGTGGTTTCTCTTACGACATGGTCCCTGCGAAATTTGTACCATAGCATCATCCCACCACTTGTCGATCTGCTCTTCAGTGAGACCCTTCTCCAATTTCAAGAATAGTTTCGCACTGTTTCCCGGACGCCGTTTTATTGCAAACGCCCAGTGACGCAATGTTAGGAATTGCTCTTCAGTGATTGGGTCCATTGTAGGAGACTGCTTTGGCGGAAAGAGTCGCCGTCAACACTTTCGGCGAGATTTGAGCCCCTTGCTCGATATACACAATAATGGAGTCCGCCGTTTAGTCGACACGAGGAAAACAATTTAGATCAGCAGTAAACAAGTACAGTATGGAGTCCTCCTAGAACTGGGAGATGAATTTAAAGGCGGAACACTCGTCGATTAGAATCGCCTCCACCTCCCCAGTGTACGTCATCATGTCTTGCCCGGGTGTTAAGAGGGCTAAGAGGGCCACAGCCCTCTCGTGTTTTGATTCGAAGCTGCCAATGGAAACCTGCCAGGAGATGTTGCGTCGATTGTGGCGTTAGATGAAACACGCTAGAGAGCGGGATTAGCTTGCTTCAGGGTTCGCTGAAGGAATGAAAACCCGCCTTGGCGGGAGCCCTACGGAGCTAGGTAGCTCAGCAGGGGTGAGCCGAGCATAAACCTGGTGGGTGGATCCTGCAAAAAAGTGGCAGAAGCTCACCGCCCGGCAGAATATTCACTCTTCGAGCGGTCTCAGGCTGCTCCCCGTTCGTACCTCCCACCAGTGGTAACTGGTGGTTCGTGAAAGCGACTGGGCCAAATCACGTGCAAATTATTCAAAGGGTTTGCGCCTACACCTCTTAACCGTTCAAAACCATATTTGACAAACTAACATTACATTCGGGCTTGCTAGAGTGTTCTTCACAATCTGTGAACTTTTTAGAATTTTCTGAGCACTTTTGAAAAAAATCTCAAAATTTTGGTATTTTAACAGGGGTAAAAGTGAGCCCTTTAAATAACGTGCACGTGATTTGGCCCAGTCGCTTTCACGAACCACCAGTAGTAACTGGTGGGAGGTACGAACGGGTACTAGCAAGGATGATGCGTTTCTCACCCAGAGCCGATATGGATCCCTTTTGCTCAAGTCGCACGTGACTGGGCCAACGGAGAAAGAGTCTTGGTGGGTCGAGGATCTCCCGGGGAATGGGGACCCGCGCTCTTTTGTCAGATGGAATGATACAGTCTGCATCAGCCAGGCTGATGCCAACGAGAAGACGGTCCAGATCCCTAACATGAAGGACGTCTACTCGTGGTCACGGGTTGTTGTAACATTGCTTGGGCCAGGCAACGACAAGTCAAATCGAGCAATGGGCATGCTAAAAAAGGCTTTGAGACTACAAATTTGTATGATAGGGATTCAAAGGAACTGCACTCTGACCATTCGCAGCGAGTGATAGCGAGATTATGGTTTTGGTGCCAGCTGATCATGCTATTCAACCTCTACGAAATAATTGGTAAGACAGCCATGCCTTCTGTTCTCTTCAATAATTCAGTACACCTGCCTCCCCGACTTGACTCTCGATGTTAACCGTCCCAGCCCGTTACATATTGCGGAAGATCGTGAACAAGCGATACAGCGACGAAGACACGGTGGACCTGTTAGGCCGCAGGTGGTTCACTCGCCTTTGGACCTTTCAAGAGCTCATTCTCGCACAAGATCTCATGTTTATGTGTGGGGACCGCTCTCTGCATCCTGACGAGTTTCTTCGTGGCATTAGCTACATGAGAGACGCGATCGGTAACACCCCTTTTATGGATGCCAACAGGCCTGGGATCTGACGTCGTGACAGTGGCAATCGACCAGACTCTCCTTATAGGGGTGACAACCGCCTTCTCCTCGATTGGAGCGCCTATCAGAGCTCGTTAGTAGCAACCTGGAGCCACTCGCCATTATTGATATCGGCTGTCCTTGCGTATGGCTACCTCTTTGCCCTTATCTTTTCCATGGCACTTCCAATGGAGCTCCTACGTATCAATTGGAATACGCCGCGTATGTTGTGTTTCCCCTAATGTTCGTTGTTGTTGGCTATTTTATAATAAGTCAGTGTTCCAGCGGACCAATGGAAGTCCCAAAATATCCCCCCCCCCCCACCTATGCCGGTTTTTATCAGTGAAGAACCGACATTCGAAACTGATCGAACTTTATTTCGAGCAACAATGCGCGTGGCCAAGAAGCGAGACGCGACAGTCAACAAGGATCGAGCTTACGCTGTCCATGGAATTCTTCAAAAGCTCAAGGTCGAGGTATCGGATGTTAAGTATGAAGAGTCAGAAATGAAGATTTACCACAGCTTCTGCACGGATTTGCTGAGGAGTGGGGTTTCGATCAGTCTCTTACTTGACGCAGAGGGCACTGAGACTCGTGAAGTGCCATCGTGGATTCCGGACTGGAGAACACGTCGTGAGAGATCCTGGTTGCAAGAGCGGATCGATATTTCGCGCCGCCAGGAATCTTCTGGTATATCTCCGGAACTTGCTGAAGCAATTCACGTCGAGTGCGGCCGGAGATTTCCCTCCCACCAGAGTCTTTTTCCGCGCTTCCCCTCGTGCCCCCTCGAGTCCTGAGTGACAGTAACTAATTTTAGGAAGCCAGGGGCCTGGCATTGTTCGAAGTCACGTTTGCTTCTGGCCCATTCACGGTCCTGGAAATCGACAGCGAGCTCCAGAATGCTTGGCCTGAAAGACTCACCTCTGATGATATCAACCGAGACCTGCTATCGATATGCCGCCCGCTATTCTTGGCAACTTGCGAGTTGGTAAATACGCCATCACAAGGCATGCTTCCAGCGACACTTTTCGAGATTCTGCAGGGCAGACCGTTGGGAAAGAAACTTTGATCGTCTGAGGCCGGGCTGGCCTCGGTTGGATTTCAGGGACTGGAAGCATTACTTCAAGTTGGTTAAAGAGACAGTTGATGAAGAATACAAGCAATTTTGCATATAAATTCCGGAATACACGAAGAACACGACCTCCGAAAGCTTGGACTACACGGCACTTTCCAGCGCTGTCCTCAGCAACGTATCGCAACATACAAGCGTAATGAACTACTTGGTGCGTGCCTTCGCCACTATGGCTGGTCGGAGGAGTTTATCCTTCGCCACTGACGAGCGTATTGGCTCGGGACCCGAACAAACGAGGTCGAGAGACTGGGTGTGTTGTATAGCCGGAGTGCCAGAATCCATGATCCTCCGCGCGGAACCTCACAGAGTCACAGCGGACATTACTTTGTTGTTGGTGCTGCTTACGTGCAGAACTGCGGAGAGTATGTACAGTCGAGGTTTAAGGATATGACGTTAGTTTGAGATGATCTGAGTCACGCGACGGGAAAAGGTAGGATAACACACATTGTAACGGACATGCGTGGAAATTGGGCTGGCGAGGAGTAACTCTTCCCCACCTTCCAGCTTTCTTTACACTTATCCATTCGAACTTATTACCCCAGCTATACTCCCTCGCTGTGTTACAACTTCTGCTATCTCAGTCTTAGTAAACATCATTCAATGAGGAATGCGAACTGGATGGAACTGACACTTCGCCTGCTTAGTACCGGTTTGGTTGATTGGTTTTATGATTGACTTTCAGGTTCGGCGGTGAACCATGTGATGATGAATGATTTGTGTGGAGGAAAGACGGCCAGAGCCTAGGAAGCAATCGTAGCCACATGATTGAAACTCACTAACCGGGCAATTGCAGCATGAACAAACGCCTCGCACTGGCTGACAAAGAATTTAGGAATCGAAGATCCATGATAGAAAAGATTGAGAAAGACTTTGAAGGAAAGAGCGAGAACGGCGAGCAGCGCTGATGTTCTACTTACTCGGCGTGCTTGGGTATAAATCCAAGGATACGAGCACTTAATAAGAAACACTGTTCATCTCCATTATCAACGAAGGCCCCAATCTTGTTCCATACCCGGTTCTACTAAGGGACATCCGCGCATCGTGGTCTTATCGGGACCACTAGCCTCGAAAACGAGGAACATCTGTCTTGACTCTTGACCGACGCAAGATTTGAGGGAAATTGCTCGCGGAGGGGAAACCTCATTAGCATCCTCACTACGCGACGTCCAAGGAGTTCGCTGGACTGTGATCGCTCTTAAAGACTTTGGGAACGAAAGACTAAAGATTCAAGTTTGAACAGGAGCGGGTTTCGTCTTTATAGTCAATTACTACTATGCTCGGAGCTGAGAGTCCCTGCCTTTTGGTGCAAAGTATGATGTGTTTTCGCTCTGCCTCATTGCCCCATCCAACTTAATCACGACTGTACGCATCCTGTTCTGCGTATGGATCATGAAAACTTGGCGTGCCGGTCTGAACGTTTCGATCTGGATTTGGTCTCCGATAGGGTATGGTGTCTTGCTGCGAGTGCATCGGTTGATAGGCAGAGAACGTGTTATGCGTTATACAAGACGGAGGAACGTAGCCCTGTGGTTGCTGGATGTTGTGTTGTTGAATTTGATCTGTATTGTAAAGTGGGTGGTAGGATTGTGCTGGGTGAGAAGTTGGACTCGTCTGTTGAGATTGGGGAGCTCCATTCATATCGAATCCTCCATTGACACTGTATTGGCCGTGACCGGCTGAGTTGCCGCTGAAGTCTGCAATATCACTAAAGTCCAGGGTGTTGACAGATTGAGACTCTAAAGCCAAGCTTGAAGTTTGAGAGAAGGCATTTGGCTGTTGTATGCTGCCACAATAACTGATTTTTGGGTCAACGTATCCAAGCTGATACATGGTCAGTTGGCCCAACGATTTGGTGAGATTTGGTCCCGGCGGAGTTGTGGGACGCTGGGGGGGTACCGGCAGCGCTCTGTAAGCCTGGTTGCTGAAATCAGGATCTGTTAAAATACGCCGAGGAGTAGGAAATATGTCCTGGAGATTTTGTCGATTAAGAGTGTTCTGTGGAAATTGCTGGTTTGACGGAAAGCCTCGCATCTCATCTCGTCTCTGAGCCGGGTATTGGTTTGGAAAGGTGGCCTTCAGATTTGACCAGCTGCTCTCATTCCATGCAGGTTGTGCTGCTTTTTCTTCAAATACAGTTTGTTCCACTTCCTGCTGGGGCCGGCGCAAGGATTGTTGCTTTTCGACATCTCTTTTCGTCCGCCAGAACCGAAAAGCGTGTGCAGCCTTATCCTTGGGGTCGAGGTCTTCGTTTATGCCAAGCATGGCGACATCATAACACATTTTGAATTCGGTTAAATCTTCCTCCAGAGTCGATGAGAGTTGCTCATTTGGAGTTGTAACTGCAATGCACCCTGAAATCATTAGGATGAATTGAACGTATCTTTCGAAGATCAGAACTCACAAGGCGTTGGAGGGTACTCCCCGGGAAAAATAATATTCCAGAAAAGGTTCCACCTTATCAGGGTAAGTTTGGGTTTGCCGTTGCTAGATACGGATCGAGGCCGACTCGGCAAGGCTTTAATCTCAGCCCATTGCAACTCAGTGAGACCTTCGTGGAGAGGTGGTGGAGCATCGCCGCATTCTCCGTTCGACAGATGCTTTTGGAAGTTCACTTTTCGTTGTTTTGGTGGTTCCGTAAATTTCCTAGAACATTTTTCGCATTGAACGCATCGATGTATGCGGTCCAGGTGTTCTCTGGCTTTATGAGTGTTGGACTCCGAAGTTGGGAAAGCTAAAGCTTACCTGAAACGTTGCTCGGTGTCAAATCCTGACTCGCAAGTTTTGTACTCCCCTTTCCTTGCGTTTGGAGATCTGTAAAGCCCATTGTACATTGATGGATACCTTTTGTTGAACGGGCACGCAAAAAGACGCGAATTGGGACTTCCGCCACTGCTACCTGCATTATTCCGGGCGTCACCATCCCTATCTCTGTCCTGGTTATTGTCAGCCCCTTGGCCATGCTCTTCATCGTTTTCCCTCTGTCTCTTTCGATTATTCGCATGCTGATCAGTATAGCTACCAAGAGGTTCGCCCCCATCGCCTTGTTCACCTGAGTCTTGGTCATAAGAATTCCCTGGCTTTTGTCGGTAGGATGGCTCCCAAAATCCGACGACAGAGGACTTTTCTTGTTGAAACATCTCATAGAGCGGAGGGATTAATCGAGCAGCTAGATCGAGGTTGTTTCCAGTGGCTTGTAAAACACTAGTTTCAAGATCTTCGTCCGTGGGGATCCAGCGCTCTTCGAAAGAATCTTCTTCACTCTCGAAAGAAGACTCCTCATCGTCGAGTTCGTCATCTTCGTCAGCCGAAAATCCTGCGAAGGTAGCCTTCGGTTCCGAAGAATCCATTTTGATCTTGGAACCGGCTTCCTCATCGTGATGTGGATGGCTCGGAAGCTCTTCTGGGTTCCACCATGCCCTGCTGCATGAACTATCAAAAATCGGGGGGTTTTGAAATTCATCATCATTGCTAGAGGTAGTCAATAATCGGAATCTATCCGTTCCCATGGAAGCCTGTAACATACCATTCTGATATGATGTTACTTGAAGGGGTGAGCTGATGGTGCTCGGCCATCACGATTTTCCCTTTCGTGGTCTCTTCTCTAGCTCTAGGCGCAGCCGGAACCACGAGACACTCTCGTTTCGTAGTGGACTGTAGAGTAAAATTGCTCGTATTCACGAAGCCAATAAAGGAGAAGGCGGGGTCTTCTCGTATAAGATTCCAAAGTGCAATGGGTATACTGAGGATCAATAAGGTTGAGAAGCCTTTGTAGATATCCTGGATTTTAACCCCTGTCATAGTCCCTTGAGTAGCTCCAGACAAATTCCCCAGCGTTTCTAGCAGGAGCTGCTGCATCTTTTCATCGTCTTCATCACTCTTCAAGGAGTGGTCTCTTCCCAGACGCACGCTAATGAGCACTTCGGGGTATTGAAACACTTTTGACGAAGTTGAGCCTAACTCTGATGGCGGGGTTCGAATCGCTTCTTGTTGTGAGTCCAAATCCCCATTGGAATTTGAACCATCGTCGATTCCATCATATCGTGGTTTGCTTGCTGATCTTGGGCTTTGTCCCAGTCCAGATTCTTCGTAAGATGAATAAAGCATGTATTGATCTACTGATGGTTTGCGGGAAGGAAGATTTGAAAAATCTGGCTTCGGCCTCTGGCTTTCTGAGGCTTCGCTTTCTGTCGCTGTCCGTGGTCGAGAGGGAGATCTTGCCATTTCGGCGGAAATATTTTGACCATCCTCGGTGTGGGAGGGGAAATCAGGCGAGGTAGACATGGAAGTACGCGCCAATATCGCATTGCTTATTCTTCCAAGCCTCCCCTCAGGATCCGTTTCATAGACGAGCTGCGACATCCTCAATACAGGGAGCGACGTGAGGGGGGGCAAGACACAATCTGACTCGTGATCTTCTCTGAAAGCTTTTGCGAGAAATATCCGAGAAATATCCGAATCTGTGGTATTCTGAAGCGCTCGCCGTATTAGCAGCCCTCAAATATAGCACAATGCTCCCGCTTTGAGGCTCTGAATGCGAACCCTGCGCAGTGGGTGCAGAGGCGGAATGACATTTGGGTTGGCCAATGGCTGGCGCAAGAAGACAAATGTCGGTGTCTGAATGGGGGCAAAAAGACGCCAAAAGCCCCGAAATAGGTGACGTGAAATGCGCAGATGCGCAGGAACAGACTGCGCATTTGCGCAGAATAGGGGGCTGTGCCGTGGGAAAGTGGAGGGACTGTATCCCGCGATGGACTGCAATTGGCTGAACCCCCGATTCGGTTTCGGCCCAGCTCTGATTCAGATTGATGTCCCGGTAAGAGAAGCTGTCGCTCGCAATTGAGCACAAATAATTTCTAGAAAATGAGGCAGGCCCCAGAAACTTCTCAACTTTCTCCAAGGCAGACTTTCCCGAGCACCTCAAGGCCAAGTTGCTTATACTTTTGCCAGCTGCAGCGCCAGCACTGGTCCCATTTTGCGTCTTGCGCGGACGCTTCGGTCAGCTTTCGAGGCCAACTGGACGATGTTGACATGCTGGGGAGTTCCACCTCATGCGTCTTTCTGCCCAAGCCCTGGCCCTAGAGTCGACCAAAACCACCTCCTTACTCAATGTTCTCCACCGTTTGCGAGGACAACTTGAGCACCGTTTGGACTGTGCACGGGAGGCATTTTCATTTATCCGCTCCGTCCGAGTTCCCGCAGACGAGCTGCCGGCGGATCGAAAGCCATAGTAGTACCCAACCTTCTTCACGTAAATACGAGGTGATCCTTTGGGCAATCGGGATCGTGTAGTGGCGGCTTGAGCAGGTGTTTAGTTTGTCGTGGCTGCGGAAGGCTAGGAAGGCTGGAAGAGGAGTCAAGTCCGTGAAATCCGCAAGTGCGACCCGATGTCCCCACACAACCCTGCTTCGTCAGCGGGGCCAGACCGACTTTCTCTACGCATTTGCGGCCCGAGATGTCGTGCGACTCGGACCGCGACTCGGGAGAGAGGTAGCTGTCCACTCTGTGAGAGTTGCGCAAATGTGCAGGAAGGGAGAGTGATGTCTGGTCCACTCAACTGCGCAAGTGCGAACTCTGTTCATGAAGATGAGTCAAAGCAACATTTCCCGGTACCATTCTCTGTATATATTTCATATTGGAATCCAACCAGATTGTGGAAATCTCATTCGTATCTCTTCACCTCTTCGCAGAAATAACAATCTCTGTCGTCAACTCTTGCACAAGAAACCTAAAGCGGCAACTACAGGCCACGCGAGAACATGTATACCACCGCCGTCCACACCAAAAGTCAAGAAATTATTATCATCCTCACTCGAGGAAACTCGAATCATCGGCTGGGACAGGGCATGGCTCTTCAAAAAGGAGAGGAAGAAGACCCAAAGCCTCAACCTGGAGACCCTGGTACTTTCCAAGCCTTCGAACATTAGACATAAAAACTTATCACAACCAGGCTACGGGAGAAAGCTCTGGTTTGAGCGGTGAACGGAACTCAGGGGTTGTTGTCATTGAGGATGTGTCTTCTAAGAGGAGGCACCACTGGTCCTGCTGTTCAATGTGAATAGATGATGTGCTTGTCGTTCAGCGAGCTTCGTTGTCAGGGCCCGGGATAATGGCTTCGGGAACTCGCATGTGTTGGAATATTGTTGGGAGAGCTGCCGCGATTAGCGCTGTCACTATGTGGAACATATTTTTGCTCACGTGACTGTTATATGCCTTAATTTGTTTAGTGAAATTATGTATTGTATTCAGATCCTTGATTGGAAAGCCTTGCATGACAATGGAATCGGATCGTGCACAAATACCTTCGCCGCCGGGGATGACTTGATTCATAGCCTTTTCATGTTGGCTGATATCTTTTCTCTACAGGCATAGACCCTGCTTCCACCAAGCATATCTAGCAGAGCCATGGATGTTAACAACAGACTCCATCTTTCAGCACACTTCCATGAAACGAGAATCAAATTCGGCAAGGAGAAAACATACCTCGGATCCTTCATCAGATCAACGACATGCACAAACGTCGAATTAAAACTCATCACGTTCGCCTCGCTCCCGTATTTCGGGAAAGTCAGTAACCCGGTCTGTTTCTGGAACGCATTCGGATCCCCGGTGACAATAAAAGCAGTGATGTATCTCTACATATCCAGCGCTGTGCCCACATTTGCAACAGGACTATCGGTTGTGTTGTTTGCATCCAGAAAGCATATGGAATATCGCCGCGATAACGGGTTGGCCCAATAGAGAACCTGCAGTTGTAGGTGTTGTTTCCCTTGGCTATGCTGATGTAACTGCATGCGATCACTATTTCTGAGATCAAGGGGTGGAGTTGGGCGAAGGGGGTAAGTATGTTGGGAGCCGTCGTAAATTGGTGGGCAAAGGGTGTGGGAGATATAGCTGATGAGTGGGGGGGGCTGCGGCTGGAAAGTATATCTTCATGTACGTTTTGAGGGCAGAGTAGTGGGTTGCCGCCGGTTGTGTGAATTGGGATCCTTCGTTGCCTTGCGTGTTGACATCATGAAGTCAGTGGGGTCGAACCGGCCCCCAAGGAGGGAGTGCCAAGGATGTTGGTGATGTACGTTCCATCAACAGTCGGCTCCGTATGTGAAGTGAGAAGTGTTCTGGTCAAAGTCAGGACTATGCTTACGGAAACGGTACAGTCTAAATGTAGACGTGATAGAAGAGTTGATGACCTTCTTGTTAGCAAGTTGTAGCGTCTGCGGTGGCAACAATCAAGCATTAACCTGCTTAGCACCTGTAGTGAAACTCCACCTCAGCACGAGATCAGCTAATGCCTCACAAATTGGAGACATCGGCGTTGCTGCTTGAGCTGAATGCTGCAATACCTACGTGTGCATACTTGATCTTTGGTGAACTGGCGGACGCTTGTCCGCAGAGTCCGCAAATGAATGAGCCGATAAATAAAGTCACCCGTGGTGATGCCGTGAGAGATGAGGCTTGAGAAGAGTACTTGATCACTGATCAACCATCGGTTTGCCGGAGAAAGTCGAAATGGAGATGCTGCTGAGACTACATAGAGACTTTCACGATGCAATAAAGCTCCATCACGCCGTACTGATGCGGTTGGAAGGGTTCTTTTCTCCCAAATACCGGGCACCTTTCATCAAGAATGGGACTCCTAGAACATGGAAGGGATGGTCTGACAGCGCAAATAATGGATAGACATGCCAAAAAATGGTGGAGAGTAAATTTCCATTATCCGCGGATATAGATTGGCTGTTTTGCAACAAGCACTCGAAAGGGAAGAGGGGAAAGTTTGAAGATGTATGCAAGGTCACGTGCCAGGGTGACTAGCGTCAGGGACTGCTGACGCGCGACGAAGCTTGCCTGGAGCTCCATCAACACCTACGACCTCACCTCCCCATCTCCATCCCCACGACCTTTCCTTTCTTCATAACACTCATTCACGATATTTCAAGATGGATACCCTCGTCGCACAGTACAGCAAGCCGATGTTTGAGAAGGAGAACTACAACCAAGATGACCAGGTGGACCTCTACAATCCGGCTCCGAGCCTGTCCCTCAGGTTTGCCATGCCACCTATCGCGCAAGTAAGTTGCTGCCAATCATCTAAGGCTCTGTCCAGAGCTCCTGGAGCTCGGTGGTCCCTGTCTTGGGCGTCTGCTGATGATTTTCACTATGACAGCCCTCAGCCTGGCTCCGAGCTGCAACCGACGACCATGCCAACCCAAACTGCCCCATCAAGATCGCACATGGTACGACAACACTAGCATTCAGATTCCAAGGTGGTATTATCGTAGCGACGGACTCCAGAGCAACGGCGGGCAACTGGATTGCAAGTCAGACGGTTAAGAAGGTCATCGAGATCAACAACTGTTTATTGGGTACAATGGCTGGTGGTGCTGCTGTGAGTTCATTCTCGTGATACGGCATCTAGTCAGGCTATGAAGCCCGCGGGTGCCAATCTGAATTGCTGCTGATATTTGGGTGATAGGACTGTCAATACTGGCTCGCATACCTAGGCATGCAATGTCGACTGCACGAACTCCGACACAAACGCCGCATCTCCGTAGCAGCTGCCTCGAAAATCCTTGCCAACCTCGTTTACTCCTACAAAGGAATGGGCCTGTCTATGGGCACAATGTGTGCTGGCGTCACTCCTTCCGAGGGTCCGGCTCTTTACTACATCGATTCTGATGGCACAAGATTGAGTGGGAACTTGTTCTGCGTTGGATCTGGACAGACATTTGCATATGGTGTGTTGGACGCCGAATACAGATATGATTTGACCGAGCAAGAAGCACTTGAGTTGGGAAGCCGAAGTATCCTTGCAGCAACCCACAGAGATGCGTACTCTGGTGGTTTCATCAATTTGTATCACGTTAAGGAGGATGGATGGGTCAAGCATGGCTTCAGCGACACGAATCCCATTTTCTGGAAGACGAAGCTGGAGAAGGGCGAATTCTCGAACGTCACAAGCGAGCTGGTGTAAGAACATGGGATAGATGGAGGAAGATTTCTTTGAATGTCTCAATAGCAAGCATGGATGGAGGGACGGGCATAAGATGGCTGAGGCCGTGTACACTACTACTTCACTTCACGAGTGGTATTAGATACGAAGAGCTTCTGATCATCTGATTTCTGTCAATTTGTATGTTTCCCATCTAACCTCCTACCACTGCAATACATGGATCGTCAGGCAAGTGCCAAATCAATCTAATAATCCACCTCGCGTTATACTCTTCTGCGTTTGAATTCCGGTCGAGAAATCCTCACAATTTTCTCCGCCCAAGACTCCACCTTCTCATCATCCTCCCTACGTCTCCGCTTCCTAGCACTCGGAAGACGCGCCAACACCTCCTCAATCGATTCCTCCCAGCCCTCCCTCTCCTCCATAACCCTAATCGTCTCCTTCAAGAACTCCATCTGTCGATCAGCATCCCCAATCCCCCGCATCCCTTCTCTCATCGTCGTCCAGATCTCTAGTGCTCGGTCGCGGCTTGGCGATCTCTTGATAGTGTCGAGCCTGAGAAAGAGATTTTCTTGTTGTCGGGCATGTTCTTTGCCGGAGATCTTGCCCATTTTGACGGCATTGTGGGCGGTTAGGCCGGAGAGGTAGAGGCGTGCGGTGTGCGCGAGGAAGGACTTGATGTCGTTGATGTTGTCTGAGTCTTCGCTCTCGGAGTCGTCGGTTTCGGCGTCATCGATCGCCTCCTGGTCGCTCTCAAAATCGTCATGCTCGGATGCTTCGTTGTCAGCATCACCGTTCTCGGAGTGGTTGTGCTCAGTATCGTCGTCATCGGTGTCGTTGTTTTCAGAACTGTCGCTGTCGGCCCAGATGCCATTCCATGTATCGTCAGGCTCCGGTTCTTCGCTGTTGGCATCGCCATTCTCAGCATTGTCGATCTCGGAATCGTTGTGCTCAGAGTCACCAGAGGTGAGCTCGGGCTGAGCTTCGTCATCTTCGAGCCCATCAAGCATGTACTGCTCAGGGTCAGGAATGCTATAGACAGGAGATGATGCTTGCAGTGTGTCGGTGCTTTTGGTTTCCGCTTCGGATGCATCATCGTTCTGGTCCTCTTTCTCATCGTGAGGGATCGGAGGATAAAGTCTCGAGAATGGCCAAGCAGAAGCCGGGGACATTCGAGATTTGGTATGGGTTGCCATGCGCTCTGCGATCATCTCCCGGATCTGGGCCTGGAGTGTGCCAATCTGCTCCTTGAGCACGTTATTGGGATCTGCACCCTCCTGGATACCCTTCTTCAAATCCTTGACTTCCTCTCTCCACTGGCTATACACCTCCATCTTCTCATCCACAAGCTTGTCGATCTTCTCCGTCGTCTCTTTCTCCAACTCCTCAACCCGCTCTTTTAGCCTCTCATTCACCTCCTCCAATTCTTGCTCATAATCCATATGACTCTCCCTCTCCTCCTCCCAATGTCTATTATCCCAATGGATCCTCGCATCGTTGTCGTGGATCATATCCCATGCAATCCTCGACCTTTCGTTCAGCTCACGAATCTGCTCTTCAAGACGAGCCTTCTCGGCCTTGAGACCCGTGATCTTGTCCCGCAGTTCTTGCTCTGAAGCAGTATTTCTCTGGATCTCTTCCTCGAACTGGCGTTTGCTGGATTCGATCTGATTGAGCGCCTGTTGTTGGTACTGTCGAATTGTCCCCCGGCGCTCTTCTCCAAGACGCTCAATCTCGGCAAGAGCTTCATCTTGCGCGTGATTGAACTGCTCCACAATTCTAAACTCGGATTGAAGCTCTTCTTGCAGCTTATTGTTGTCTGCTTTCAGCACAGTGTTCTCGTCGTTGAGGTCGTCGACCAGTTCGAGCAGATTGTCTTGCTCGATGTCCCATTCATTCCTTTCAGCCTGCTGCTGTTCGGCATCTGCCGCCTCGTTGAGCAGGTTCGCCCTTACTTCCGCAAGAGCAGAGATGTCGGTAAGGTTATTTCGAAGCTTGAGGTTCTCTGTTCCAAGGGCGGTGTTTTTCTTGCAGAGGTTGTCGATGGGTTTGTAGAGCTCTAATGTGTCGGGTTTGTTTCTTAGCTCAAAGATTTTAGCTTCAAGCACGGTGTTTTGATTGCCAAGATTGACGATAATGGTGGTTAGGTTGACGACGTCTTGTGTTAATTTCCGAGTCTTCGCCTTGGAAATCTTGAATTGGTTGTTGTTCTCTTCACTCGCCTCTTGGAGTGCCTTGAGCTTCTGCTGGCCAGATGTAGTGATGTTCTGGATTTCTGCTCTGAGCGCCGCGTTCTGCTTGCCGAGGCTGTCGATGACTTTAACTTGGCTGTCATTCTCAGCTTGCATTTGATTGAGCTTGGCGTCTTTTCCTTGGATTGATGTTTCGTATTGGGCGTTGAGTTCTTGGGCGGCGTCGAAGCCTTCGTTAAGGGATTGCTCATATTTGACGTACTTCAATTCAGAGTCGATGTTGTCTTGTGCTTGTATAGATTGGGTTTGTACAATGTCAAGCTGCTGGGCTTGCTGGTAGACTGGATTGATGGCAAGTTGAACGGGTCCCCCTATCTCGGCGATGCTGTGTTGATGATTGTGGGTAGTTGCGGTGCTGGATTGTTCGGCGAGTATAGCCGACATTTGCTGGTGATGAGCCGGGGCGGCCGGTGTCATTGGACCAGTCCATCTTGGTTGATTGATCCCCTCGGGTCCCTTGTCGAGAGGCTGCCTACGCTTGCGGTGCTCCATGTTGATGTTTGTGATGGTTATTTGCGCTTGAACGGGTTTGATTGTTAGTTGGTGCTTGTCTGAACTTTTGCGTTGTCGTCCGATCTTGAAAGATTGAGGAATAGTTGTGGTTGTGGAATTGTCTGATCTTGTTTTCTGATGAGAAGGAGCTCTAGGTGCGGCCTGTAAGGGAAGACATGTACGCGAGGGTTCCAACCTGGACTGGAGAATCGCGCTTTCCAGACGTCACAGCGGACACCATTTTGGCTCCCGTAGGTTAGGGTTGCTGGCGTATTCTTCGGGTGTTCTGCCGTGAGGATGGCATTAATACGGTACCGAAAATTCGGGTCTCCCGTGAAAGGGTCCAGGCAGCGCCAGTGTGTCAAATGAATAGAGTAAAATAGAATAACGGCCGTTATTCTATTTTATTCAAGTATAAACCTCGTTATTCATATTTTATTCATATATTATTCAAGTTATTCATGAATATTCATGAATAACTTGAATAACGCACGTGATCTGTGCACGTGATAAGCTAGCCTAATTAGGTAAGGCCTCGGGTGGTCCCGCACCTGGCGCCACCTCACTAGCCAATCAGGTGGTAGTGGCGCTTGGTAAGCGAATCGAACCTCAACGATACTTCCAGAACCTCCGTGAATTACAATTATATTAAATTACTAATATAGGAGCTAAAAATTAGAAATCAAAGAACTAGAATCTTCGGACTAAAGCAAACCTTTATAATCAGAAGAATCATAAAGCAGACTTTAGAATATTAGAACTTTATATAAGAATACGTCGTTTTCCTCGATTTCACTTCTTTCTTATACTTTAATTACTTACAAAAAATCAACCATTACTCTTATTATATTACTTTATACTACACATATCCTTATATATACTCAATATACTCGAAAATATCTCAAGACTCCTTAATCAAGCTTAATATAAGTCAAAATCACCCCGATTTCGAATTAAGACCACTCGATGAGCAAGCTTCTCTTTTTAAGAAAGGCTACTTAAAAAAGACGCTAAATCCTATACAAGAGAATATCGAGGACCTCCGTACATGCACTATTAAATGTATAATTAGAGGGTGTTCATAAGTTAATATATTAATTTTTAATAAATTTTTTACTAACTAATCTAATAGTAAAACATGGCTTAATTAACGAATATACGCTCCTACGAGTAATTATTACTCTCATTTTCGGCATTCCCATAGATTTATAGACCTTAAGAATCTTAAGGATAGTAATAATAATAGTAAGTTATTTTATTATTAATTAAAAAGAAATATTTACTAATATATTTAATAGGTGAAAGTGAAGCTTCTAGTCAAGTCTCACAAATAACTATAACTAGCCTTTTTAATAAGCAATCGGGACAACGAGAAGAAAGCTTTACTATTAATTACTTTAAGAGATTATTATTAAATTTTATTATTAATAATAATATCTCTTTTCGGGCTATTACTACTCCAAGCTTTAAAAAGCTAATATCTTATTTAAATTAGTAAGCTTTTATTACCTTATTCTTTATTTATTTATATACTAATATTTAATAGTCAAGTACCTGCTATATACTCGAAGGCTCTTATAGATGAGCTTAAATTATGCTATATCGAAAAGAGTTTAAATATTAAAGAAGAGTTAAAAGAGAATATTAATTCTCAAGGAACCTTCTCTATTACTTTAGACGCTTGGACAGGTATAAATCAAAAGGCCTTTCTTGGAATTACTATATAAGTTTATATATTCTAATAATTATTAAGTAAAATATATACTAATATATTATAGACATTTTATAAATAAGGATTTTAAATTAAAATCTTATTTATTAGCTATGAAAGACTTAAACGATATACACTCCGGTGTTTATATGCTTTCTGTTTTATTAGAAGCTTTAAAATAATATAATATTGAATATAATATTACTAGGTAAGTAATTTAAATTTAAATTAATTATATAATTACTAATATATTTTATTTAGTATTACTCGAGATAATGCTAGCTCAAACGATACCTTATTAAAGGCTTTTATAAAGCATTATAATAAGGAAGGCATTAAATTTCAAGGAGATATTCCTTGTATAGCTCACGTATTAAACTTGGTAATTCAAGATATTTTAAAAGCTCTTATTAAGAACGATTATGATACCTCTTATTCTACGGATTTATACGAGCAAGAAATAGAAGAACTTGAAGATAGAGAAGAAGAAAGAGAAGCAGAACAAGTAACAAGTAAGTTCCCTTTATAATTTATAAGAGTTTTATTAATAAATTATAGATTTATTAATTTGGAGAAAGGTTCGAAAGACTATTATAATTCTTAAATATAATCAAGAAAACCGACGGCTATTAGAAGCTCAAATTAAAGCTTTTAATATAGAAAATGCTCGATTTCCTCAACTTGGTAAGTAATTAATTATTAATTAATACTAATTATTTATAGATCAAAAAACACGGTGGTCTTCGACTTATTATATGTTAAAGAACTTTTTACATATATATAAAGCTATTGAAGTAGTTATTAATAGCTCTAATTCGAAGGCTTTTAAAAATAAAAGTCTAGTTTTAACTAATATTGAAATTACTTATTTAAATAATATTTTAAATATAATTTCAATATTTGTTAAAGCAACGACTAAATTACAAGCCGAAAACTATCCTACTATATATTATATTATACCTGAAGTATATAAAATATATAATAAATTGGAAAATTTCAAAAAGGAATTTAAAGTAAGTCTTTTCTTAAACTCTTCTTATATTATTAATATTTTTATACTAATATTTAATAGGACAAAGTATTTACAGATACTATAGATAAGGGTATAGCTAAGCTTCGAAAATATTATCCTAAAACAGGCGTTTTAGATAATAAAAGTAAAGCTTTATATTTGGCTATTATTCTTGATCCTCGAATTAAACAAGAAGGATTAACTAGTATTGGCTTATCTAGCGGTATATCTTCGGATATATATAATAGATTAAAGACTGATTATAACGTGTAAGTACTTCCTTTTATTAGCTTTTAGTATTTTAATAACTAATTTTTGAATTTAGATATAAATACGATTATAATATATCTCAAGCTAGATCCAATACTTCGGATATTAGTATGGCCGATTCCGATTCCGATTCCGATTCTGGTAGCTCGGATATATATATTACTAATTCGTTCTCTAAAATAGAGGATGAATTAATAACTTATTTAGAAGAAAAAAGAGAAGATAAAAAAGTAAGTAAAACTTTACTTAAATTCTATTAAATATCTATCCGATATTCTCTTAATATTTTTTAATATATTAGTACTAATATATATATAGACTAAGCCCTTAGACTATTAGAAGTCTAATGCCGCTAGATTCCCTGTATTAGCTTTAATAGCTAGGAAATATTTAGGAATTCCGGCTTCCTCGGCAGCTAGTGAGAGGTTTTTTTCTCAGGGTGCTCTTATTATATCTAAACTACGTAATAGACTTAATAAGAGTACCTTTGAGATAATATCTTGCTTAAAAAGCTGGGGGTTATTTCAAGATGAATTAGAAGAGGCTAAAAAAGAAGAGAAAAAGAGAGAGAAAAAGGAAAAAAACCAAGATTCTGGGGAGGATAATCAGTTTATTATTATAGAAAATTGATATTTAAGTAGCCTTATATAAGCTCTAGCTTAGCTTATATAAGGCTGCTTAATAGGTACCTTAGTTTATTTTTTTTTAAATTTAAATATATGTCGATTTATAATGATCCCGTGACTTCCACGTGATTATTCATGGTTGTTCATGTTATTCATGAATAATTATTCTATTTTACTCAAGTTTTTTAAGCTACTCGTTACTCATATTTTATTCAAGTTATTCATGAATATTCATGAATAACTTGAATAACTTGAATAATCCTTTGACACACTGGGCAGCGCCACTTCTCTCATTTTGAACCCTGGTTCCATGTGGTTCGTTTTGCTATCGAGCCCGTGTCGGTCCCAGTCCTAGGGCTTGATAATTTGAACATGGTTCGGATCTTTTCCCGAGGTGTACCGTTGTTAGAAGCGGCTTTTAGCCTGAAGACGTCTGCCGTAATTTTGATATCGACTAGATATGTTCTTGCATGCCGAAATAATTCATCGCGATAATCTTGTGCGGTGTAGGGTTTGATGCAAGTCATTTAGGGCTCGAGGGCAGTTCCTGTTCCGTTCAAATTCCATAGGTCTTCCTCCACGAACATCGACAAAACAAGAAATTACAATCTTTGAACCTGCTCCCATACAGCCACATCACCAAGTTTAAGAAACAATCATGGCCAACCAACCCCGTCCAAGCGTCGAATTTGATCTCGAAGAAGCAATCAAGAGAATCAAGCAACTCGAAGCTTCAACTGCTTATCTCCGCCGACGATACGACGAGCTCCACACTTCCTATCGTCAGCAAGAACAAGAGCATGATCGAACCAAAGCTTTGATGGGGCGAGATATACAACGAATTGGGGAGCTCGAAGAAATGGTGCGAAGACTGGGCGGTCAGAATGAGGCGAGGGCTGCTGGGATCCCGTTGGGTCACAGGCGGACGACTGATGAGATATCCGCCACCAGCAGGAACTAGAAATGTTCGAAGATATGTTACCGCATAAGCTCTTACCTAAATGAATGGAGGCAAGGGAAGAGAGGATTCAGCAGATGGGCCGCCGCTGAACATTAGAGAAGGTTGAAATGTAATATTATGTGAGAATTTGAATTTGCCTGGGGGTTGGCGGGGAGAATTCGAGAACCGAGGGCTTGTTCTTAAATAGGCAGAAAACCCGAAGCCATCGTCGGCCGAGCGACTTTTCATGAAGAGATCCTCATATGTTGCTTCTGTGTAGTATTACTTTATTTCTATATTAGTATCACCGTTTCAAAAAGAGGCTCAGAGCTCAATTTTTGAGATATCTTCTGAAAACACGAAGTCTGGCAGCTCCTGAGACGGAAAGTATGAACCTACTTCGGAGCCAACCCAAACCCCGACTCTGGCCAAGCCTTAAGTGACTCAATGTAGAATGCTAACATAGTGGAAGAGGCCATATGTCATAAATGCGTCACAAATTCAAGTTCAATTCTCATAACAGAAAGCTAGCTTCATTCAGCTAGCTCGATATTTGAATGCTTCGGATTGGTAGTGCCGGCGAAGCGAGCCCCTTTCCGGCTAATGGAGCAACCGCAACTTAGGTATCTTGACCTGGTGAGCTGCGAGACGGGTACACTGCTGAACGCCTGTTACAATGCAATTTCAATCGTATCCGTTCAGGGAGTTGACAAAAGCCTGGTATTATAAGCGGCGAGTTGGTTTGCGGACCTGTAGGATGGGACTCCAGGGTGGCATAGAGAGGTCAAGGAGAGCAGATATATTGAATACCGATGGGCGCATTTCATTGTGTTAACACGGTTGCACCTTGAGCTGAGCCTCTCCAATAAGTGCAAAAAATAGGATTTGAATGCACATGATGTTTCCTAAGCAGCTGCGTAATACTGTCACTTGTGTCGCGCTCTTTAATCGCCTCGTTAATCTTGGATTTTCAACCCAGAATTTCTTTTCTGCTAAATGATACCTGTAAGAAGAAGTTAATCTCTTCCATAAATATATATATTTTCTATCCCGTCTATTGTACTATAAATGCAGTTCTACAAATCAAACACCAGCTACAATCCAAATATACCACCGTTCCTGCTGATTATACTTGGGCAGGAGCAGCTGGGTCAAACTAAGTAATCGTCAGTTTTTGGAATATGCAAGATGCGAATGAGGAATTGCAGACATTACAATTTAGACTCTGTTATGCCTCATTCTCGGCTGGCCCAGTATGCTGTTACCACCCTCGCGAGACGCCCACGAATCTCCTGCAGCAAACCTTGAAATGCTTCATGATTTAACTCCAAACGAGCAGACAGCTGCGCAACCTCTCCTTGCAACCTCTCGGCAATTTCCTGGAATTGCTGATTACGCTCTTCAAGCTCTTCTATCCTCAGATTTGCACGCGCGAATCGAATAACTGCCCTGTGATATGCCCCCTGCCTATTAGGATTCCTCTCTAGCGCAGCCAGTAAACCTTGAAACTCTCGAATCTGACCTCGCAGCTCCTGGTTTTCTTCCTCTAGTTCCTGATGATGCTCCCGAGCACGTTCAAGCTCTTCTTCTACGGCGTCTTCATTGGTTATTGCTCGTTCATGGTCTTCTTTTTGGCGATGATATTCTGTGTGAAGATCATCATAACCCTGGCGGAGCGTTGTATTCACTGCCTCGAGCTCAGCGATTCTACCAAGGGCTTGTTCTAGAGTTGGAGGCGATTGTGCGTGCGGCTGCTGTACATTATTGGTTGACTGTTCCAGAGCTTCTTGGACATCGCCGAAGTCGAAGACAGCTCCTGAGCGTGCTTGTTCTGCCATGTTTGCTATTTGCTATTTTGTTTGTATAGAAGCTGGTTCGAAGGCCGAAGTGTTTCGTGTGAATTGTTGTGTTAGGTATGTGTTGAAGAGTAAAGCAGTTGTTCCTTTTGATCGTACGTGTTGTAGTTCGAAGAATCACTTCGCGTTTCTGTTCGATGTTCTGGGAAGAGAAGGAACGTGAGATGCAGCAAGATAAAACTAAAAATTTAATTCCGAGTTAATAGCACGGGTAAAGCTAACCTCTTCAATGTAAGCTTGGACGAGTACCACGGTTCTCATCGCCGTGGTTCCCATCATCACCGCTAGACCGAAAAGGGGTATTGCAATCTTTATGCGACCAACCAGCGTGCAGAGGTCATGTGACTTTCCACTTGACCTAGAGAAGTTAAGTGCTAGATGATACTGTATTACAGCGAAGCGAGAGGCTGTTCTTCAAATCGAAGTGGAAGAAAAGGAACACAGCGCATCCTGGTAAATATCTCTATGATGCTTTATTTCCCATAACTCCTTGCTAATCCCAGATTATCCGTTACAAACTACCCGCATCTCTCCCTCACTTTCTAACGAAACCTTGCTCTAAAACCTCTCGCCCCATCAACCACAAATCGAAAGATCGAGTTCTTCCCCCTCATTGCTCCTGACACTTGCACAAAGCTCTGCCCCGTTGGAATGTTAACCGCAACTGTCGTCGGTTTATCAAGCACTACTTCCGTCACACCTCCAATGACCGTGGTCCTCCCATTCAATGAAAATTCTCCATTGACTGCAACCGTCGTTGGGCCGGTGAAAACATCATACAGGGAACCAGACAACATCGTCAAGCTTCCAGGCAAGACGGGCACAGCAGTCGCAGAAGAAAGAACTACCATTGTCGTGCCTGATATCACAGTTGTACTTCCTTCCAATGCTAGGTTGGGATTTGCAGCAACTGTGGTGGGACCGGTGAAGACTGCAAAGGTAGAACCGGAGACAACCGTTATGCTGCCTGGAAGAGCCGGGATTGTGGTTTGACTGGGAATCACCAAGAAAGATGTTCCGTCGACGACTTTGGTGCTTCCTGTAAGTCCTGGAGGTGCGTTCTGGACTGGGATTGACGTTGGGGGAATCACAATAACAGGCGTTCCGTTCACAGTCGTGGTACTACCCACTGAATCGCCTCCCGGAGGTGCAATAATCGGGCTCACGGATGGAGTAGGTGGCGGAGTGTCATGCGGGGTAGGAATCGGTGCAGTAGTACTCGGGATCATCTCAACAGCATTCACGCCCGAAGGAATAATAGTAGACACAGTGCTCTCTGTCAAATCACCTCCAACAGCACTCTGAATGACAATTTGCAAAGGCACTTCGCAGTGATTGTAAACCGGGAGGATCGATGGTCCGGCCGGGAGGCAGGATGTCAGGTCTGGATACAGGGATACGTAATATGGATCTTGAGCAAGATAATCGACGAGTGTTTGAGGAATGTAGCCGAAGTTCTCGGTTCCGCCTCCTTGGAAGCAGGCTCGTGGGTCTTCGGTTCCAGGGTTGGAACCGCGGGTAGGTTGGTAGATGAATGGCGTTGTAAGTGTGATTTCTAGGCCAGAAGAAGCCATGGTTGGTTCCACGGTGTGGCCTCGGAGGTCGGTAAAATACATTCCCATTGAGGTTTCCGTTGCTGTGTATGTGACTGATTCAGAGCCGAAGAGGCTGAAACGGATGTGCGTAGCCGTCAACGTGGGGAGCGCGAGCGCACCACCGATTGATGAGCCTCCAAAGTATGCTTCTGCGTTGGAATTGATGTTTTCGAACGTGGCTTGGACTTTATAGAAATTCGGTCTCGGCCAAGAGGAAACGGTGCCACACATTGTTTGTCCATCTGTGGCCACGACGGGTCTGGCGGTGATGATCTTCACTGTTGTGTAGACATAGTATGCCTGTGGGGATTGTCTGCTTCAGATCAGCACTCATTCTAGGTATAGAAGTTATATCCTACATCGTAATCCCAGCTGTGGTAACAGCAGTACCTCTCAGCCATGTGTCGGACTCCGTCATGTAAAAACCATTGTTTGGGTAGTCTGCAATGGGGTTCCCCAGCGTCTTAGTGACTGGGAATGAAGCATTCGTGGTGTACACATTTGTGACAATGTTTGTGGAAGTTCCATTTCGGTAGGGTGTGATCAAAGTGGTAATTGAGGTTAGGTTTACTTCCTTAGTTGTGTATGTCACATTCGCTACTGGCCAGTATTCAGCGCTAACCGTCTCTTGGATCACGAAGCAACAATTTGTTGGATCTTCAATCGTTGTGGACGGATCTGACGGCCTGGAATGATCCGCAGTGAGCGCTGGTGCTTTGAGGGTTAGCCGAGCACGTGTAAACGAATCCAAGGAAGATACCTGAGGAAATAGAATCTGAACGAATGCAAGTAATGAGCGTGGCGAAAAGAATGACAAGACTTTTAGAAACCATTGTGAGATTCGAATGTAAAGACTGTGGGTATAACTAAGAGAAAGAGGTTGAAAGACGGAAAGGTGTAGTCTTTCGGAGTGGATTAAGGATGGCGGAACCAGGTTTTCCATCCTTGGACCACGCGGTTCTGGGGTTCGGGATAAACAGAAGCGTGCTAAGCTTTCACGGTTCAGAAGCGAGCTGCGGAGGGGCATGGGGGACGAGATGAAGAGTCACATCCCGAATCATGTGTATCCCGTATTCAAGAGTCGATTGGCAAGGCGTTCAACGTTAATTCCAGCCTCCCCGTTTCTCTCCACATGCCGAGGTTTCTCACCAGTTTATTGGCTTGCATTCAAGTGGGAGAACCAGAACATTTGAAAGCCCTGCCAGGTGCCTGTTTGACATTGACACCATTCTTGCAGCCACAAACTTTAAGTTGCGCCTCTTTCCATCTCAACTGCCAAACAGAGACTGAGGTTCCCCCTGATTCACAACGTGCCTGACCACAATCAGATGTTGCTTAAGCGAGCCTAATCGGTGGAAATCAGGGGCCGGTATTCAGCCCTGATTCGTTCAGTAGCGTCGTTTTTCAAGGTTCACCCGTGCACCCATCTGCAGGTCTTCGGAGCACTTTCAGCTTTGTCTGTAAGGCTGATTTTCGAACGTCGGGATTTTGCCCAATGAATTTGTTTTCCCTCGAGATTCGGCTCCTATTTCCTGCATTTGAGCTTTCATTGGGTGAAATGGGCAGGAGAGCATGGACATCAAGGGTCAAGCTTCACCCTTCTCCAAATTACTCATCGGCATCCTTGTGCCGTTTGTGACTGTTATTTTGATTGGCGTGGATGATCAGACCGAGGTGGGAATTTTGCTCATCTTCCGCGTTTTCTGGGAATGAAACTACTCTGAGTCCGTTGTTGGAGAACGCGATGTGTCATGGAAGGCTAAGCAGGCCATAAAATGCTGCCTTCGATGCGACAAGCAGCAGGTACACATCAATGGCTTCAAATATTATTTCTGATATGGACTCTATGTCAAGTCACTGCGCGTGCAGATCAGGTCTCTCCAAAACCCATCGTCGTGCCAGCGTCCAACAATTGGTAAGACATTCCACCATTGGTTTCTTGCTAAACGCAACTGACAATAGGTAGGGAAGGTAATGATGGACCTTGGTCTTCTTTCACAATAGAAATTGGCACGCCGTCGCAAAGCGTCAATGTTCTCGTCTCAACAGCTTCTTACCAAACGTGGGGGATCGATCCAAAAGGATGTACCTCGACAGACCCATCCACTTGCTCAACTTCGCGCGGGAGATTCTACAATAACACTGCATCCACCAGTTGGATTCCAAACAAAACCAACATTACTACGACGATATACGATCTAGAACTTGAATCCAACTTAGGATACTCGGGCAAAGGGAGATATGGATTCGACGACATAACACTGGGATATCTTGGAGGTGGGGGACCTTCACTTGGGAACCAAACGGTGGCGAGTATCGCGGCGAAGGATTTTTACATGGGGTTGTTTGGAGTGAAGCCTCAAGCAAGCAACTTTACAAGCTTGACGGACCCCATCCCCAGCTTCATGGAGAATTTGCGGACACAGAAGATGATCCCGAGTCTAAGTTGGGCATATACGGCTGGGAATAAATATCGTGAGCATAGAAATACCTCTGACCCGGCAAGAATAATTAACAATATCAGGATTGAATGAAGTGTATGGTAGTCTGGTACTGGGCGGATACGATACCTCGAGATTCAACCCCAACAACTTAACCTTCAACTTCGGACCGCAGGATGATCGAGAACTCCTCGTCGAGCTGAATAAAATAACCGCTGACGATGGAACTTCTCTCCTTCAACAGCCAGTATCAATATTCTTGGACTCGACAGTACCATATATCTATCTCCCAGAAGCTGCATGTGCGATATTTGAAAGCACATTCGGCCTTGTATGGGATAGCAATACACAGCTGTACCTGCTAACAGACGCTCAGCACACTTCTCTGAAAGCTCAAAACCCAAAGATCACATTTACGCTTGGGACTTTGACTTCTTTGCAGACAGTCGACATCATGCTCCCATACTCGGCTTTTGATCTCACGGTTTCTTATCCGATTGTGGCGAATGCGACGAGATACTTTCCTCTGAAACGGGCGAACGATTCATCGCAGTATACGCTTGGTAGGACTTTCTTTCAAGAAGCGTAGGTATACCTCTCTAATAAAACGGATTGACCTGACACTGAAATAGATACGTCATAGCAGACTACGCGCGTAGAAACTTTTCCGTCTCGCAATGCAACTGGGATGCATCAGCCCAGCAAGATATCGTAGCAATCCTGCCACCTTCGACCAGCGTGGGAGAGAACACGAATACAAAATCTGCTCATCACCTTCCCCTTGTTGCAATCGCTGCAGGCGGTAGCGGTCTCGTTCTCCTCGCCCTTGCTCTCGTGATCCTACTCATTATCCTACGACGCCGTCGAAAAGCAAAAGGCCACAAACTCGCGGATACCACCGCACCATCCAACGCCAACCCACAACCAATCATCAAAGCCGAGCTGGACGCCAGTCCCCCCAACCAAAAGCACGAGGTCGACGCAAATCCCGACCTAAAGTACCCCAGCGAGATGTGCGGCCACGATAACGAAATCGTCGAGCTTGATCCGTATGGCAGGAAATGGCCACCAACCTCAGACGCGGTGGAGATTGGACATTCGGGGAAGAGGAGCATTCATGAGGAGATTTATGAGATGGATGCGGGCGAGGTGGCAATTGAGATGAGTGGTGTGGGCAATGGGAGAAGGCGGAGTAGGGGCGGACGGCCGATGAGTTTTGTGGAGGGAGATGATTACGATACGAGTCCGATGGAAGTATTGTCGCCGAGCAGTGCGAGATTTAGATACGGGAGGGAGCCAGTTAGCCCAGTGAGTAGGACGATGAGTCCAATAAGTCCCGCGAGCCCAGCGTTCCCGCGGTGATATGACACGAGTTTCTTTTTATGTAAATATAATGAAGCACGACACAGTATATACATGGGGATGGCAACCTATTGATCCTATTGTTTCGCCACACTCAGACCACTGGTTTGAAGCTCATTAAGCTCATTTTGTCATAACTTTGGATTCTCTTATTTTTCCATAGTCCTTGTTGTCTTGGGACTTTCGATCTGAAGGAGTGGCATACTTTTCGACCCAAATACGGAGCACAGGGGTCAACCGAGCAGAAGCTTTTTTTCAGTCGCTCTTCACCTCATTGTTCTTCGTCCCTCTGGACAATAAATATTTGAGCTTCGCACCTCTCACAATGACAAAGAATTGTGGATTGAGTTTGCGAAGACAGAAATATTCGTGAATCAACCTCGAGGCCGTGGGCTGGCTTCCGGAACCCAAGGCCTCTGTGGTGGCCGAAACAAGTGTCCCATACCTCGCTTTCACTTCGTGGAGATGTAAGAGACTTTGTGTCTATATATATCGGCTCATATCGTTTGGCTTCTCTTGAAGAAAGGTTGATGCTAAGCTGCAGCCTCAAATTGCTAACAAAATCGTGCTGAAGCTACATGGTATACATCGGAGTAGGATCAAAATCTATGATCAGCACGGTACAGTGATGATCCGACTTGAATACGTATCCTCGTCCGCTGAATTCTCCACCCAAACTGTGATAAGTGTTCTGCAAGCTATAAAAACACCCAAGGCCTTATCTGTGTCGCCTTGAAGGTGAGTCGGCGACGCCACATTTGCCCCTATTTTTCCTCGCTTAATGATTGCCCCACCACACCAAAAAATCGACATCGACAAAGCCTTTCCTCCTCAACACGAGCAGCTCTCTTCCCTTCCCTTACATAACACAAAATTACCAGAAATGGCTGAAGAGAGAAAGGAAAACGGTGTTGAAGGCTTTTGATCGGGCTGAGGATTGAACTCAGGACCTTTTCGGCACAAACAAGGCCTGCTGAGAGAGCACATGTTGGCGAAACGTGATAACAAACTACACCTTGTAATTATTAGTGGGGGGCATTTTGTGGGATTTGAAAACGACTTATCACCCGGCCTTTATGATTGGTTGAGTACAGATTCTTAATTTAGTGTATCAGGGTCAAACAAGTTGTGGTGGAAGGAGCGGAATTTCCTTGCTCAGGGTTGGGGTCAGCCACGGTTATCTTCTTGTAGGTTGTTATAACGACTTTCTGCATTTCAAATCTTGAAGGATCTCAGAAGTAAGGACATTATAGTTGAAATCCCAAAAAGAGTTTGGAACTTTAGGATATCTTGAATAGTTACTCATTGTCCTGGAAGATCTAGAATATTTAGCGGCTCTCGACTTCCATTGTCTATGCAAAATCGTGTAGCTTTTCTATTGACATTGTACCATTTTTGCGGGAGATTGGTTCTGGCCAACTGAGGCTTAGAATCGTATGGTATTATCACATCGCAGAGCATTCAAATTAGTTGAAATCAATGCTGTTTATTGTGTGAATGATGCGGAATCTAGAAATGTCATGCATCATCTATCCTCAGAATCAACGCCGAGTAATAAAGCCATGCCATGCTAGAAATCAACGCTGTCTATTATTGTATCCCTCCCTCACATTGCTATCTCAACCCCACCCTAAGCCCGACAACCTGGAGCAATGTCAAGCTCGCTGTCATCCATGAAGAAAGCGTGGTATCTCGCCTTCCCCCACTCAACGAGTCATTCTAGAAAATCGCTTCAATCTCTCCCCATCATCGAGCATCTCTGACGTCTGACGGTTTCTCTTTGCAGGATTCGGTTCATGCCACTGCTCCGCAACCGCCAACAACCTGCCTGACATCTGCTCGCCCTTCAACACCAACGAATGATTTTCCCTCTCCAATTTCTCCAGAACAGTCTCCATCTGCAAAGCCTTCAACTCCGTGTTGCGTGTCTTCTGACCATAGATCTCAAGTCTCTGGTTTTGATAATCAACCCTCTCTGTCAGGTTTCGAATCTCCTTCTCGGCATCCTTAAGTTGGTTCTTTAGCCTAGCGTTCTCGGGCTTGAGAGGATCAAGCTCGCGGTGCAAGGCGAGATTTCCCTTGCGAATGTTCTTCTCAACCTCTTCTTGCTTCTGGAGCTTCTTCTGGAGGTCTTCGAGGGCCCTGGCTTGGGAGAGACCGTTCTCGGTTGCCAACTTGAGCTCTAATTCGAGTTTCTCGACTTTGCGCGCTTCCTCGTTACCATATTTCATGGCATCCAGGAGTTGTTTCTGCAAGCCGTCGATCTTGACGTCTTTTGTCTTCAGGTCTTCGGGTCGCTGCGCTTCAAGAGCGACGATGGTAGAGCCGAGGAACGAGTAGATGCTGTTTCTCAAATCGGGGTTCTTGCTGATGAGCTGTTTGACAGTCTCATTATTCTTCTCGTCGGAAGTCGAGGTCATTGCTGGCATGGGACGTGCAGAGGCTGAGGTCATGGTAGAGGAAGGGCAACAAGAGGTAGAGGGTTTCATGCCGAGATGCGACGAGCCAGATTGAGAGAAGTGAGGAGTGACTGAGCTTGAAGGTGAACTTCCGTTCGGACAAGAGATAGATGTGATGGGACGATAGTTTGCGCTTGACCGTCTGCTGTGTTCGGATTTGTGAGAGGCGAAAAGATCCGAAGGCCCAGAATTAAAAGGGCGATGATCGGATGGATTGGAAATGCCGAGATGAGAATTGCTGCTTGCAACGGTTTCGTTTCGGGGCAAATCCTCCGGACGGAGATGATAGCCGGCGCTCGCTGAGTAGCTGGGAGGTGGCTCGGAATCGTCTCTCATAGTACTCTGCGTAAATGCGATTTCAGGGTGAATAGATGTGCTGCGTAAACTTTGTAACCCTATTCCCTTGGAAGTGGTGTCGCCGCAAATGGAGGCGCTCCGAGTCATCTCCAAGGCAGCGAATAAAAGTGATGATGCAGCGATGCCGCAGCACTGGTGTTATGAACACAAGGTAAGAGTGTCAGAATCAGGATTCCTTTGTCTGGAATATCGGCTATCAATACTCGAAATGCTAGCACTTGGGCTTCAAGGTTGTGTTGTGGAAGAAAGATGCTGTTAAGAGCTGGCGGACGTTCGTTGACGACAAGCTTCAAGGGTGTGTTGGGGAAGGTAGATAGTGTCAAGAGGCAACGGAAGTTCGTTGACGACGAGCTGTTAAACAGGGGAGGAGAATTCTAATGGGAGGACACGAGTAAGCAGGAGTGAACATGTCCGCGAGGAAGATAGCAAAACTCAATGAGAATGGCCCTGAGAGGAGTTACCTTAGGCAAGAACGACTGCCCTCAATATGAAAGAACCCTTACGTGACAGAAGATGACGCATGACATAAATATTGTAGGCAGGAACGACGATAACTCCTGCACTCAGAAAGAGAAATAGAGCAGGAGCAGGAGGACACCTTAAGCAAAGTCAATAGTACTCAAGGGGAAGAAGGGGCAGCGGTAAGGCAAGGCATACTAAAAATGTGCACGGGTGGAAGAATTGTTTTAGTACGGAGCCCCAAAAGCCACGAGGGTGAATGCCTGACCAAAGTTACCATCAAGGTTTTCTGAAATGCGGGTTTGTAGAAAGCTAAAAGGCAAGTTTGTATTTGGCAGAAACCGGCAAGGTGAGACTGTGGTTGTTGATGAGTTTGCCGAGACAAGATGGTGGTTCGCGGAAATTGTAAAAAATATCCGATCTGTCTCGTGTGTCAAGTTATTTTGTTAAAGCAAGAAGTCTAATCTCATTACTCGTAAGCGTCTGATGAAATAAGCTTCTCCGGTATAAGTTTGCTTCATGGCCACTGACCAATCTTTTGTTTTGAACAGTTTGGTGCACTGGATTTTCTAATGTTTGTACATTCGATGACTTACATTTTGCAGTGCTCCAAGTGTTTTGGGACAAACAATTTTCCAAAGAGGTCTTACCAGGTTGTCTGGTAAAGGGGACATCACGTTGATTTTGTTTCAAGTCCAACAAAGTTATGGAGAGGTGCAAATGGACATGTCCTCAAAGAAGTTTCAGCGGAAGAAAATGCATATGTTTCTGGAGCGCCAGCAAAGCAGAATTCAGAGCTGACTATATTTTTATATAGAGAATTTAAATTGGCTAACATATATTGAAAGAGACTGCTTTTAGTAATAGCTAGAGAATTATTTAGCTTAAAGTGTCCCTAGTTGTCTATGTCACAGAATGCAAATGTCACGTGCTTCGCACACTGTTCCAACTTCTCTCTATAAGCAATATCTTGCAGCTGCACTATTTACTTGTGCTTTTTATATCTAAGAGATAATCCAGAAAAAAAGAAGAAGAAGAAGGAATTAAGGAAGCTTCTCTAGTAACCCATTCAACGCCATCATCAAACCCGACGCTCGATCTTTTACCCTCTTTAGATCTCTTTCTAGGGTCTCAATTTGTGCTCTTGTAGCTTGAACCCTCCTCGAAGCCGGATCATCGCCCATGATATCTTCCAAATCCCTTTGTGATTGAGATATTGCCTCACACTTAAGCTTCCGAAGTCCTTCTTTTTGTGCATCCGACGTGATCGCAATCAAATCCTCGTATCTGATTTTGAGGATCTGGATCTCGGACCGCTTTTTGCCGAGCAAATCTCGTTGCGGCTTGGGAAGCGCGGCTTCAGCTGCGGGTAAGGAGTCCTTGAGATGCTGGATGTTCTGAAGTGTGGTGAGAATCTCATCTAGTCCTCGGTCTACCCCAAGCTTGGCATGCTCCATCATCGTGTCTAGGATATCTAACGGTCCGCGGCCAAGATTGAGTCTATCCAAATCGTTGCTCTGGCATACAATGACGTTCGTTGATGGAGAAAGAATCTCGGACGGTGTTGAGCCATCGGCCTGTCCGTATGTGGAGCCTGATGGCACTGGTCGCACCAGGGATGAGTCCTTCCGAGGGTTATTTTCAATGATAGGAGCTTGCGATATAGCACCAAGGGAAGAGCCTACTGTTCCTGGCCTTTCCTGGCTCCCTCTGGTTGCCTCTTGCACCAGAAAGTTGGGTGTCTCTTTGGTGATTCCCGGTCCAGCGACCGATGCACTGTACGTGCCGAAAGTTTCCTCCTCTTGTCGAGCCATCATCAGCCGCTTCTTATTATTCATTTCACACAATTCGAGCTGCGACTCGTAGTCTAGCATCGCCATGTTGTGAGGAGTATTATCGACTGGAGCTGAGGATTTAACGCGCTTCGTACTAACATCGCCAGTAGTTGGAAAAATGTCTTCCAGACTGTGCTTCCGGTATCCTGGTTCTGATACCGGCTGCCGAGGATAACTTGGCTGTGAACTTGGTTGCGGACGGTTCGAAGCAAAAGGACTCTGCCTTGACGCATCCGGTGGCATTGTCTGGCTACCCCGAGGATTCGATTCCATGTTGGCGATATTCAAGATTACTATTCTTTGAGTCGTTGTCTTTGATGAAGCGTGTTGGGTGAGGTCTTGATGCTGGTGTCTGATAGCAGAAGATGGCGGGGTTCTGGGGGCTTCAATGTTGACTGAGGCGAGCTGGCCCCCTCGGGCTTCTTTCCCCAAACAACCTGAGTGAGCTTTAAGGGTGGCGGCCCACTGTGTCAAGTTCAAACATGAATTGAGATGTTTAGTAGTGTTGTTGGTCGTCAAATGACTTTGAGGACGGTATGAAGATTCTGCGTCAAGCGACCCATGCTGTGTAACCCCAAATTCGTCACATACAGGGGTTCTCAGCGGGAAAATGTAAAACGACCCCCCCTCCCCGGGTGTCGATTGGGGGCCGGACTAACCTAAAGTAGAGAGGAACACCAAAAAATCCAGTTTTCCTTTAAGTTTAAGTTACTATATAAATAATTATTATAATTTGATTATTTTTTTATATTATAGAAAACCGGATTATAAGCTAATAGGATATAAAATTTTCATTATAATAATTAGTAGATTTAAGAAAATTTAAAGAAGGTAAGGAAAGTCGGAATTTTTAAGGTACTATAAGAGCCTGAAAATTTAGCGATCAAGCGCCTGGAACTAATTTATCTCGTGCTCAATTATCGCCTCGTCTATTCCATGCCCCAAATTAGAGCTCTTATATGCAAACTTCCTTACACCTATATCAGGAATTCTGATTCGAGAGAAGGACTTAAGTAAGTACAAGCAACTAATTAAGCATTATTAAAACTCTAAAATCCAGTGATTTGTCTAATCGACACCCGGGGGGGGGGGGGGGGGGGGGGTCGTTTTACATTTTCCCGAATCAGCGAACCACAGTTCTAAACTTGCAACAATTCTATTCGAGAGATAATAGTCTATAACAAATAAAGTTGAAAGGGTTTAATGCTAGGGAAACGAGATGTCGGAGTTTGTTGACCGGGAAAGAGGGCCCGGGTCATTCAATACTTCAAAATATCTCACGACGATAACAAAGAGTCAAACGGGGACAGTGTTTGGTTAGGTTTTCTTCCCATTGTGAAACTATCCTAGACCTGCAGTTGCATTACTTGCTCATTGTTCTGAAAAACAAACCATGTCTGATGATGGAAATGTTGGAAAGTGAAAGTCGACTTCGAAAAGGTGATCGAAGGTCAGAGGCAGAGTCGCCGGTTCTTGTCCCTTGACATTCGACAATCAAAGGGTGGAACATTGAAGAACCGTGGATCTAATGTAAGGTTCGGGTGCGACGGTCCACAGCATATAAGAACCGAGTCGTTATGGAAAGGAGCCGGGAATTGATAACCATTGAGCCAGAGAGTTGAGGGTATTATCGAGAAGTGCGGGGTGGTCTATCGAATTAAAGTAGGAGTAGATCACGTGTATTAATTAGTGATCGATGCTTAATTTGCATCGTTACATTTCAGCTTGGAATCCAGACAAAATCTACGTGTATCGCAGTTGCGCACCCGTCAATCCGTACCATATGTCTCAGGTGAAGAGATCCACGTGACATAGATAGTCGGCTTTGCTCCCTATCCCCTCGTCTGGTGAGATATGTCCAGCGCTCACAAGAGGGGCTCGCTTGGCTAGCACAGCACAATATTAATACCTTTTGCATATAGATTTATCTGTAATCTCCGCGGAATCTTTACCTCCCTTCCTTCCAACGCGGTCATAGACGCCAACGATATCCAGAAAATCGGCCAAGATATGAGCAGACTCGTTTTTGACTCAGAATGCCCCTTTTATTCTTTTAATCTTTCATCGCCCCCGGTTTTCAGAACCCGTGGCCCTTGCGGCCGCACCTATTGAGCCATTCTATCTCCTACACAAAGATTGTGCCTCCAAGGTAGCTCTCAGCTTCGAGCCGGCTCGCGGCGGTCGGAAGGGCTCCACAGACGAGTAGGGCGCTCAGCCACCAAGCCTCTCTCCTCGTGTAACCGAGCATCAGAGGATTTGTATCCAACATCCACTTTCCAGCATCCAGCATCCAGCATCAGAATGATTCTGATTCTGTTCAACGCGGAACTAGTTTCAAAGATTCCGGGCCGCGATTTGACTCATTTCTGTGGGCCATAGCGTAACCGAATGGAATTGATTGAACCCTCCTCAGCAGACCTGGTTATTGCACAGCCCTGTGAACCGAAGAAACATCAATGTGAGGCGGAACGAACGTTCCACAGCAGAAGCGATCGTCGCGTATTCAGATGATGCGCTGGTGCGAGGAGCGATTTGTGGATTGTATCTCCCTCCACCGACCAGAGCCCGGCCATGTGGATGAACAAACCTCTCAGGGCAATGGCAGCAACAGCGAGCGGTGATTTGCTTCAGTTGGATGAGCAGCATGCCGCTTGTGACAAGTTTGCCATTACACAGCCATTGATTCCTCTCTACGGAGCGTAATCTGGGTCCAAACATATCAGAGTGGCGTCTCTATCAGCCATGCGACGACTGGTCGAAGGGTCCCACCAGTGGAAGAGCACCCTTGCAAGAGAGGTGTGCACATGTTGCTGCCACGCGCCTCCGCTTAGTCATGATACACCGAAGTCGGGGCCGAAAATCAACATTTTCTATATCAACTTCCATAACAATGACAATTAAATTTTACAATTCTGTAGAGGGTAATCCTATAGACTGCGCATTAGTTAAGGTTATATTTTAGGGGAACCTAAGTGTGCTGGCTATTCAAGAAATTAACCGAGTGTTTGATTTTCAGGCTGGATTCGCTAACAAATTTGGTCGGCGTAGGGTGTGTATCACGACTCCGGAGCGTCGCAGCAACGGTAACCTGGCACGCCTCTCTTGCAAGGGTGCACCCCTTGAGACAGCGTACCTTTACGATCGTAACCTTGCCGCACCTGCACTTTCTGCATCTGGCAAGACGCGCATTTGGGGAAAGCCACATTCAAGACAATACAGGACTCTAGGAAAGCCATGATCCATGATGTTCATCCCTGAGCATCCACGCGCACGCTCATCGGGCGTATGCTGCGCTTTTCTCACATATTGCCACCTACAAATCTGTTTTCAGAAATAACACGTACAAAGAGGCAGTACTCTTATAACCAAGTTGTACAGCACTGTATACACCGATCTTTGCTTTGGGCGCGCATTTGTGCAAATGCGTGCCTGCCCTTTTGCGCGCCGGCAAAGGGCAGCCATCAGCAAAACTACCCAACGTCCGCCCTATTGCTCACCTGCACAGCCATCATAGCCTGCTCTGGGAAAGCTGTCGAACCGAGGAAAGGGTGGCTTTTCCTCGGTATCGAATCCGTCACACAGGGCGTCTGGCTTTTCCTTGGCGTTTCCCTGGCGTTTCCTCGGTATCGAATCCGTCACCGGGTGGCTTACAGGCCCCTGATAATTGGCTGCTACTCGCTGCGGTTGTCAAGAACAAGCATGATGGCGGGGCAAGTTTGGACACTGACCGGGCCCGACCCAAAATCTATATATGAAATCTAATCTGCCCTTTAGAATTTTGCACCACACAATCCTCATCATCTCAATACTCACACAAGATTATATATCTTCATTTCATTACCTCTAGTTTTGCTATGATTGTCACCGATAGACATTTTGCTCTTTAAGATTCCTCGGGGTAGCATTGTATTGTCTCCTTACCTACCTTTGCGATTCTAAGTTAACTCTTTTCCAGACGAGTAGACGATTGAAAGGCCAAACACCTCTAACGACGAAACCACTTCAAGTGAAAGTAATTCTTCGAGACAGGCCTTCAGGGCTCCTTTGGTCCTTCCCAACTTCTGCCTGCGGCTTTCGGCGCCATCGGAGGCCCGGCAAAGACTCTGTCCGTCATGTCGGAGCAAGCGGCCGCCGACAACGTCCCTTTTCGCTCACCGAGTCATCTCTTCTACCATTGGACACAATTTTTACCTCCTTGGACAGATAAGCAGCTGAAAAGTAGGGCGTGTGCATGAAAGCTTATGCATTGGGGCGCGTGCATGGCGAGGCTCACCGAAGGGCACACGCATGAAAATTCATGTATAGGGGCGTGTTGCATGTACACCGCCAACGTGTCGAAGGGGGCGAGCAATGAGAGCCCTCCTGGGGAGTCTTGTGTTATTGCTTAACGCCCGGCTTGAGAGAAGGTCGGGCACTTGTCCCGCCGAGCCTCTTTCGTCCCATCCCCCTTCCGGTAAGTCATGTCTTTCATACAAGGCTCTGTAAACTCGAGTCTCCTGTCTTAGTCGGTGACAAGGATCCCCGAAGCGTCAGGCTGGATATCAAGCCCTGCCAGGATGATTGGACTTCGCCGTCACTATGCCCCCTCAGCCAATGGGCCAGTTGCCAGCCACGTCGCCTTGGTATGTCCTATGGGTTGGATTGCGGAGACGGGATGGAGGATGTCGAGTTGGCAGGTATACCCCGCAGCATGAGGGCTCAGATGCTGGAGAAGAAACGCTGGAATACGGAGGAGGGAAACGCCCCGTTGGCTGTTTAAATCGAATATATCGTCCCCGAATCTGAGAGAGAAATCGGCAGAGAGCAAAATCAGCAGCCAGCATATTCTCCTCGTAACCAGTTGCGATGGATTTCGATCCGGAATCAGTAAAAAACCAGCAAACCGAGCCGCTGGGCGCAAGCTTCTCCCACGCCCGTGCTCTCGGTATCCGCCATCCTTACCCTTACAACTTTGGCGTTGCACTTCCCGGATTCTTTGTGCCTTTCCCCTCCTATACCATATATCCAAATTCGGCAGTCGAGCAGCTGGTGCCTAGTGGGTTCAGAGCCAGCTTTCCAAGCGGGGTCTGCGAAGATTGGACAGGGCATGAAAATCTCGGGGCAGCATCTAGCCAAATTCAAGACCTGCAATTGAGCGCCAATTCCGAACCCGACTTCGATTCCGCTCCTCAAGCCGAGACTCGCGCTCTCTATGTTACGCCCGGACAGCAAGATTGGCCCTATGACACTGCTGCTCATTTCACCAGTCCAAACGGGCTTGGCCTCCCGCAAGTCGGCACTGTTGCTCATCCCTCCTCTGACACTCACTTGCACTATCCTTCCACCGAGCAACAGGACTGGCACAACGAGCCTGCTGCTCATGGCAACATGGCAAACGGACTCGACTCTGCCTGGCAAGACAACACTGCTCATGATCCCTTCATGAACGGCTTTGACCAAGATGCCTCCACCAATCTGCTCCATTCGAATGGAACCCGCGAAGCAAACCATTTCTCGGGCAACGACATCGCCGACACGCAACTAAGCTCCATAACATGCAATACAGAAACGAACTTCTCCTTCAACGCCCCATTCCAAGCTTCAACCCCCACCTACGGCACCTCTTCCCCGATTCAAGCAAGCTCCACACACACAATCATCTCCTCATCTAGCCCAGAAGCATCCTTCTCCTCCACCTCCACCACTTCCCCTACACCATCTCCAACCAACGCTCCCTCCCCAAACTCCACACGCCACCCCTGCCCGCACCCGCACTGCCACTCCACCTTCGCGCGACTAGGCGACCTAAGCCGCCACGCAAAAATCCATTCCCCGGAGCGCCATCGGAAGTACCATTGTTGGGAGCCAGGATGCAACAGGAATGGACGGAAAGGGTTTACCAGGAGGGATAAGTTGAGGGATCACGTTAGGGGGGTGCATGGATTGGAGGAAGATGGGGGTGGTTTCTGAATCTCAGGTAGGAAGCAGGACGGGATTGGGACATCGAATACCAGCTGAATCACAATGCATTTTGTGTTCTGGTTTGAGATGATGTACGGGCTACGGACTAATATCAAGAAACTCTTGTTTTGTTATGAGGGCGTCAGGCTGGATAAGGAGAGCCGCTTCCTACAACTATACAGTCTTGAATTTGCGTTGCATAATGCACGAATCCGTCCGAAGAAGTGATGCGCAATACAAATTTGATGCCTTCACATTCACTTTCCATCCCATGCCTTCTTCCATCTGATTGATGTCTGTCTTGCACGAGTCGCAATTTTTATTGTACAGCTTCAATCTTCCACCGCTCTCTAACAATGAGAAGTCCCCTGTCTTCGAGAATTACCCGACAAAATAACCCTACCGAGCACTGATTCCACAAAATCCATTTCATTCCTGAAGACAAATAAGATTCAACCCATCTCTTGCCTCCCTTTTCCCTACTTCTCTCTCTGCCCCCTTCTCCTTCCCCCACCCCTTCTTCCGACTCCAATATCCACCTCCACACCAAACACTCCAAACCCAGTAAACCTAACCTCACAACCAGCGCCATACCACCCTCCACCCACCAACCCACTACATTGAACAAGCGCCCAGCAAAATCAACGCCGCATACGATACCGTGAAATCGTGCGTCTGAATTCCTTCTCACCTGTATCCAAGATCCAAAATCGGCTCTGGCAGGGATCCCTGAAGTCTGACTTGAGAGCGGGAATAGACACCATCACGATATTATAACAGATTAAAAAGGTAGCTGTATCTCAATCTAATAGGTATTAGCAAGATTCATGTTTAAATAAGATGGAAAACTATAAATGATCCTCTAGGGCGCTAGAAGAGGATTCTCGTGAGCATGATCCAGCTAGTTTATTAGCATGCTTAGGCCTCAGGGCTCGACTCAGATTATATTAGCGCTGTTTATAGCTTGTGTGAAAGACTCCAAACCTCAACATTGGGTCCTACGAGGAAATCTTTCGTTATAGGCGCTATAGTCACCACCAACTCATATCAAGCGAAACCTCTTTGTACACCAAAACTAGGGTTTGAACACTTTCACAACTAACCACATCCCGACTATTTTACTGTAAAAACGTACAAGTGCAATCCTTAATTGAATTATTACTCTTAATCCTATAGATTAAGATAAACCTAGGATAGCGCGGTTGTAAGGTTATAAGGGGATAAAGCACGGCATTTTGGCCTGATGCCACTTTTATACCAAAAAGCTTAATTCTCACTTGGATCCAGGGCATCGCAATTCACGAATTAATTAGAAAAGAGCCTCTTATGTCTAGCTTACTTGGAATCATTAAAAAAGTTTAATCTTATGTAAGTTATAATATAAAGCCTATTTATTAGGGAAGTGCATGCGTTGTGGGCATTGTGGTATTTCACCGCAGAATGGGGTGGGGGTTGGGAAGGCGTCTAATATCAGTTGGCTAGTACTATACGCTGGACAGAACGAAACAGAAGCTAGGAGGGATGGATAGGGAAGGTTAACACAATCCAAAAGAACCTTGAGGTGTTTTAGATACCTCGATGGACGAGATTCATATCTTCTAGGAAAGAAAGGAGGATCCATTCCGCGGTTTCTAGTTCCAGTACTCAAGATAGAGAGGTATAAGCAAAGCTTCTGTTGCGCCGCCAATGTCTCACCGGACGAAGGGATAGTATAATTACCAGTCGCAGAAATACCTCACAATAATGCGGCCTGGCTTCTGCCTAGCTAAGCCCAGATACTGCAAGTAAATAATGTGCCGGGAGCTTCCTTGTAAGTTTCCCCTTTGCCACAGTACATATCGTATTTGTCTTAATTGCGTGGCCATGGGCTAATTCGAGGCGGTAGGATTATACGAGACTCTGCCAGGAGTATTCCTTAGAAGATTCACTAATTGGACCACGCCAGCTATAGGATTGGCAACTGGGATGCCGGATAACGGAGAATACCTGTAATATGCTAGTCCATTAGTTTGCCTAAAGCCTTTAAACAGGCAGAGGGCAATATCCGAGGTTGTATACCCCCCTCGTATAATAATTATCGCTTCTTCCTGCTTAACTTTTTATAGCCTCGCGGACAATTAAGAGATAATACTAAGATCGGCTAATTATAATATATAGTAAAGTGGAGATAATAGCTATAAATGGGTGTATTCCGGTATAAGAGTATAGAATTAACGGTGATAGACCCTTATAACTTTTATATAAGAGGGGCCATATTACAGTCACAGCCAGCATGCGGACACTGAAATGGGTATGGATGCTCCTTCTTGAGGTGGGAATTTCGGAGTTTGGCCGTCTCAAAACTGTTCATGAGACGCAGTTCGCGAAGGTGCACCGGGACGTCATGGGTCCATCCTGAGAGCCAAAGCTGCATTGATGGGTATTTTTTCAACCATAACGAGCAAGCTTTGAAGGGGCTACAAAACATCATCATGGTTGCAGATCGAGGGATGATGCTGCCTTCAGCGAAAATTGATAGGGCGAGGTATGGGACAAAGATTTTGACCCCCCCCCCCCTTTAAATGCGCCCCAGTGGGTTCAGAATTAGATAGAGACCCCATTTGTTCAGAACCTCCACATAGCTTTGCATTCATAGATGAGGTAGGACGCATATAAATCGAACTAATGGAACAAAGCAGCGTCGAGTCCGGACTCCAGTGTACAGTGCAGAAAATGTTATCAAATCATCACGCCCAATCGCTTTTCCCACCCTTTAATCATTGAAGCCGTTTGCGCTTCTAATCATATCGAAACCAGGGTAGTCCGCTGAGATGAGAGACCAGTGTCCTGTATTTCCTTCCTCATATCACCGAATTACCTCACACCTCCTTCCCTTGCCAACTCATCATCGGAGAAATTCCCCTTCACGCCTTTCAAATAGTGATCAAATTTGCTTGCAACACCTATCGCATGTTTCAACAGCCCGTAATCCATCTTCTTTCCCTTGTATAAGGCCAACTGTCTTGCCGTTGTCAATGAGTTCCTGATCTGCCTACCGTTCATATCGTGCGTTGCTAGCTCGTCAAGATGCTCTGTCAGACTGTCTGTGTTCACGCTGTCTTTCTCGATGGATGCGAGCCGCTTGATGAAGTTTGCCCAGATGGCGCGTCGTTGGGTGCGGGACAAGTTGTCGTAGTGGAGAGCCAGTTGGATTCGAGATTTGAAGGCTTCGTCGAAGGTACCCACGCGGTTGGATGTTAGGATCAGGATTCCTTAGCCTGTTAGTTACCAGTGTCAGGAGAGAAGAAGGGTTTTCCTACCATCGTAGTACTCGAGAACTCGAAGAAAGACTGTATTCCTTAGTTGAGCGTTCCTGCTTCATCATTTATACTGACCCGAGACAAGAGCATTCCTTGCCATATCTGCTAGACTTCTTTCTTCAAGAAATACATCCGCTTCGTCAAGCAGAACGACTGTGCACTTGTTAGCTGGCGAGCGCTAGACGTTGCTCATAACAGGAAGGTGGAAGTTTAGGATTACCGCAGCCCCATATCCTGCCCAGGTGCAAGACGCTCTGCAAGTGCTTCTTGAAGTCAGAATATCCATATTCAATCTATATAGTTCAATTGGTTTACCTTATCAACCGCAGTTGCATTCGTTCCAATGTCGCCACATGTGACACGATACAACGGCTTTTGTGCTAGCTCAGCGACGCTTTCTGGCAATAATGTCAATGTTCTCTCAGGAAGGATGGCCCACATTATGGTTTTAAATTACCTGCAGTGAGCGTCTTTCCAGTTCCAGGCCCACTTGATAAGCGTCAGTCTGAATCACCGAAAACCCCAAGAAATTTTATGACTGACCCATGCAACAGGATTACTAGACCGTTTCCTTTCCCATCTAACACATCTGTTCCTTTTTCTTTGGCTAATTGGTTCGTCACCAAAGCCTTCACCAACTCTTTGGTGTCATCATCTACAACCAAGCTGTCGAATGCTTCCATGTTCCAAACTACGGGAGAGATACATGCTACCTTCAGAGGGACTTTTACGCATGAGTTAGGCAAAGTTCTGGAAAGTGGCGAGTTGAGTAGTCTTACCCCATTTCTTTGTTTGCATGCTGTAGCCGAATACTTTAGAAGGCAGCAAGAGAAAAAAAGAGCGAGTTTGCATTTCCTCTGGAGTTGGTGCTTCGATTACCTCTCCCGGAGGCCTGTCAGGAAAAGCGTCTGGATTCGCTTGCTTATGCACGAGAAAATCAATCATGTACCTTGCGCCCGGCTGGTATAAGTTAGCTGGTGTTCCATCTCAAACCTGATCCTAAGCCTGAACTTCATACCTGAACGGGATCTCCAAACAAGTCTGGGTCATCATACGACACATATGACTGGTTTGTGCACGCCCAGAATTTCAACCCCCGGCTATATAAAGTCTCTTCTATAGCTCGAGGTGCATATTTCATAGGATAAACGGGGAGGTTTCGAATGCTTTGAATGTCACCGAATGTGTTAGGCCATTCTATCGTGAATGTGCTATCTGTTTTCCGGAGTGCGCCATCAAAAGCCCAACAGTAGCATTGCAGTGTTCCCACCACTGTGTCGTCTTTTGCTTCCCGCTTACGTTTTGCTTCATACGGTTGGGTCGGTTCCGGAGGCGGTATGATCCAATTCTTCGTCCTGTGAGCCGTCTCCTCTCCACCCCATCGATACACCACATCCATGTCCGGCTTGAAGAGATAGTACATAGTCTCCCTTGATACGAGCCCCTGCGAAAATGAAGCGTTTGCTTTCGAATAGCTTGTCTCAAAGCTTTCCTCCACGTGGTCTATCAGAAGCTTCAACTGTATCCGATGTTCTTCATCCATTCGATCGAGTTTTCGAAGAAGAGAAGCACGATCGTAGTAGAAGTAGTGGTATGGCGCTTTCATCTCGTGTCTGACAGCAAATTTTGGCGTCTCTCCCTTTACTTGAGGTTCCTTGGTGGCCCACCCGAGGGCCTGGCAAAGGATAGATGAAGTTATCATCATTGATTCTGTTGAAGAATACGGAGGTGTGAGCTCTCTACCAGGATCCTGGAACGCACGGGAACCATCGTTACTCGGACTTTTTTTCCACTGGCACCGGGCCGCGTCCTGAAGGCATTGGTAATTCTTGTACACAAGTAGAACGACATCTTTGTTACGATTAAGAAACGTCGACTCGTCGAGGGCATTCTCATATCCTTCGAGATGCCATCTCCTGCCGGCTGTAATTCGATGAGGTGGATCCAAAAAGATGCTTGTGCGGACCGGGGGAACGCCAAAATGGGTCAACTCTCCACATTCGCAAATGACTCGATGTAGCACCGCAACTCGCGGAGGAAGCTCTGGTTCGGGTTCGTTCTGGTGCTCGAGGTGCGTAATCTGAGTTCTCAGTGTTTTGATTGTCTCATGCAGGTTCGAAACATAAGAACCTCTCAAGCAGTCCTCACACAAGAGGAAATTCGTGTCGTCAGACCTCGGAGACGAGGTGTTGACCGGATCAGGTACAACGTTGGAACCCACCAATCCAGACTCATTTTGCGGGAGTGTATCAACTTCTTTCAATATAGAGGCCTCTCGTTCTGGCTCTGGTGTTATGGTTCTTAAGTCTTTCAACGGAGCGGCAACACTCAGCTCGTTTGATTGTCCCGTGGCCTCGATATGCGTGTCAACAGAGTCTTTGATTGTCTCAGAAAGGGTACCGTTCCATCCCTTCGGAATAACAGAGTTGGTTAAGGGGTTCTGTCCGTCGATTAGTCTGCTACATAAAAGGTGGGGCACGCTGCGTTTATACCTCCGTGTTCAAGACGTATGCCTTAATTAACTGTGTGAACAGTCCAATTAATTGATGTTCTTTATCACTGTCAACCGAGCTTCCTTGCAGCGCGGCTAAGGATACCGGAGCATGCTGATGATGGAGTCCGGGGAATTGCTTCACATCCCTAGCCGACATCAAGTTAAGACTTCGATCGGCCCCATGCGCGTGAAGGTTGCTCGCTTGGGACAGTCTGGACTGATTCGAGGAGGTTGTGTTGTGTTCTTCCGGCGAACTGACTGGAGATAATCCCTCGGGCTTGATGGCGCTGAGCAGTTCAGGACTGATTCCGCTGTCCAAAAGGTTCTTCAAAGCTTGTTGAACAGTACCGTTGCCTGTAGTCTTTGGAACTGGCCTCGGGCGGCCATCTGTTGCCTGTTCTGCAGAGGATGATCGAGTGCGTTTTCTTGAACGCCGCGATATCTCGGCGGAGGCGCCTGACTGCTCGTGATATTCCTGCATTTTGAGAAGGGGTCTACCTTCTTTCCTGGTCCTGCTTCTCCTTGAACTTAGAAGGATCCGGATTTTGCTGGGATCTTGATGTCTTTCTTCCCCTCAATTTCACTCCTCCATCTGCTCAAGCGGTTTCGGTCGGCTGTTCAAGTGTAAGTTGTCCTTTTGCTTTTTGGTAGCCTCGTCGGCAGAGAAGCCCTGAGGTGCGCCTGAAGCCACAATTCAGCACTGTCTCACCCGCGTGCAGAGGGCTTTCCCAACAAAAGCCGCGTTGTGGCATTTCCTGCTTCACGACGACTCCCCATAGTGCAAACACCACTGCTCTTCGGACGGGACTTGCGACCAGCGATTGGCAATGGATACAGTACAACAGACATCGAGCGCAATTGTTCACCAAAGATTCTCACGAGAATGGTCTGCTCCAGACGAAAATCGCGATAGGTGAGATCTGGGCAGCCCCACGACTGAAGACGTCCCGCTAACGGCCAGGCGGGCAGCCGAAAGGTGGTTCAGGAGGTTTACAAGAATGCCGTCAGGCATTTTAGAGCTCATTTGACAGAAGACGAATGCAACAAAATATGGCTCCAAGATCAAACGGGGATGGCTGGAGTTCAGGAGGCCGTCCGAGCAGCCAAAGCAAAGTACGAAGGGGGGAGCGAACAGTCCAAAGCGCGTAAATGGCTGAAACGGCTGTCTCAAAGCATTCTGCTATACGGTAAAGTGTTGGAGATGTCGGCAAGCTATTGCTCTGAATATGTTGCATTGCCACTGGGGGCGATAAAGTTCTTGTTGACAGTAGGTTTTGGACATGTACCAGTCATCCTTAAGTCAATAGGTAACTGATTTGGCAACACAGGCTATTGTCAACCACGAAGAATCCATCGCTCAGCTTTCGAAGGCGCTAGCGCAAATTACAACTGTGCTCCCGAAAGCAGACATCAAGCTTCTTCTGTATCCCACCGAAAGGATCAAACTCGAGGTCTCAGTACTATATGGGCATTTGATGGAATTCACACAGAGAGCTATAAGCTGGTACGAGGCAGGAAGGGTGAAGCATGTCCTCACTGCCATGTTTCGCCCCACGAAGCTTGAATTTCAAGATATATCACACAAGATTTTTTGCTCATCTCAAGCCATTGATCAATTAGCAGCAACAGCAAATCAGGCAGAGCTCAGGGATTTGCACTTGCTCTTCATGGAGTTCAAGCGTACTATGATAGGTGCTCAGATTCGCACCTTCTTCTTGGATATCTTGAAACTAATCAATTGAATCTAAGAAAGCCAAGCTGTAAACTCCACAATACTTCTTGACTCGAAACGGCGAATATGCGAGATTCAGTTCTCCCAGATACTAACATTCACCGCGGCCACGAGTCTTCCCGAGCCGGAAGAAAGTTTCCGCTATTCATCTTTCCTAAGCAAGCGGAGACAACTTCGGCGCACGTACGAGGCTCATCCATCTTGGCGGTCTCGAAAACTGAAGGAGTGGGCAATGTCGAATACTCCATCGCTGATCATAGCAAGAGGAACTTGCTTGACACGCCACGAGACAAAGGATTTTGCAACGGAGATGGTGGCTCTGCTTCGGGCCACGAAAATCCCCGTCATATGGACCCTGAGTGCAAAAGCAGACAGCAGCTCAGCATGGCGATCCCCTATCGAGGTCCTCAAACAGTTAGTCTTACAAATCCTTCACCTGAATCAATCCCTGCTCAACGACGAATCACCTGCATTGAATGCAGCACGCTTCCAGAACGCAACGAAGGAGTCCGAGTGGTTTGGCATTCTAGCCTCGGTGTTGAGCGGCCTCGAAAAGCTTTACATTGTTGTGGATGCCGAGATCATGAATCGCGAAATGGCGAGTCAAATCTCTTGGACTGACGCTTTCAACACAATGCTCGAAGATCTGAAAGCTTTATCTTGCAAAACTGTTGTCAAAATCGTCCTTGTAAGCTATAGTAATAGCCCCTACATCTCATCATCGCAACCTACTACTTTCGGTAATGTGACTGTCCGAATTGAGAAGGAGCGGCGTATGGCCACAATGAGGAAGCATCACTTCCGCTCTCGAGGAAGCCAGCAGGGTTCCAATGTTCTCATGCCACTTCTGCGACATTAAGCACGAGTCTGGTCTCTAGCAAATCTCCGGCCATGAGTTCTGCGAGGAAAATTCTTCTAGTTTTGTTGAATTTGAGATGGATATCGAGACATTCAGAGACCTTACGTTCTAATGATCTGAGCACCGACAATACCCGCCTCAGTCGGAGAAAAAAGCGGCCGATTTTGGCAGGGTGCACAGATGCGATGAGCCCTTGGTTTGATTAATAAACAATTAGCAAATAGTAACCTACTATATTATTTGATACTTGGATTTAACGCTCAAATGTTTGATATATACATTTCCTACCTCGATCTAGCAATTTGCTCGGGTCCAGCAGCATGTAACCCGATTCTTACATCTCACAAGTCAAAATTCATGGTCACAAGCATGGACTGTAAGCTGGAAACCACCCGAGACTTGGCTACTCTAATTCCACCGCATATAAATTTTGCCAGCATAATCTGCAGGAAACAGGAAAAGACTTCAGCCAAAATTGCCACGGTTTTTACCAGCCCGGACACATGTATCATCAAGCCAGGAGAACACGCCCTCCCATCAGCAGCCTCCGTCATTAGAGAATGACTAGGTCTTAATTTTCTTCGACGGAGGCCCCTCCTCCTCCAGCTCCTTTGCTGTAGACATCATTGCAGAAGCCGCTCTCTTGCCCTTCTCCTTCAGCTCCTTGATTTCCTTCTCCAGCATGCTAACCCTGGTTTCCGAACTAGTGCGTAGTTTCTTCTGGATCTCCACGTCGCGCTTGTTGTCGTTACTCTCCAATACCATTCTGTCGACCTTTGCCCGAAGAACCTCTTGCTCCGCCTTGCCATTCTCGATCTCTCGCTGCAGCTGATCCTTCTCGGTACGTTCAGCCTGCAGCTGATTCCATGCAATCTTGTCGACTTTCTCCCGAAGAACCTTTTTCTCCGCGTTGACATTCTCGATCACTCGCTGCAGCTGATCCTTCTCGGTACGTTCAGCTTGCAGCTGATTCTGCAATGCCCAGATCTTATCTTCTTTCTCCTTCAAGATCTCGCCTTGACGCTCATGTTCGAGATTCAGTCCATCCATGATTGGCTTCAGAATCGCTTTGGGGACATGTGTGAAGGGACAAAACTTGATCAAATTATCAAACTCCTCCAGTGGCTTCGGGAAGGCTGCAGGATCTGGGTCCATCTTGACGGCGTCTCGAGACGGAGCGAACTTTCTTAGATGTTTTCCGAGGAGTTTGAGGGTGACGATCTTCACTTGCGATCGAAGGGCTCGAGGTTGGGTGTTGGAGAAGATGAATGCTTAGCTTTCGTGGGTTCGTTCATGTGCTCAGAATATGGGTGTTGGTTTGAGGTGAAGTCGTTGTTGAGTTGGGACGACGGGCGAAGGTTTGGATTATTCCTTCGGAGATTGAGGAGTGGTGACTGTAGCTGCGTCGCAATTCAATCTCCAATCGGCTTTGCTTCTGCCATCCAAGGTGACCTTGCTCGAAGCTAGCGTCGTTGTTGAGGTGGTTAAGTTGTTGAGAAGTGGTGAAGCAGAGGTTCAAAATCAGAGAGAAGGCAGCATTGTAAGCGTAGTGAGGGAGCAGAAATTCACCCGGATGTGCTAAATTTCTCACTGTACAATAAGGCTACGGTACATAGAGTGATACACTCCAGGTTTGAGCGGGCTTGTTCAAGCTCGACAATCTAACAATTTAAGGAGTGCTAAGAAGTCCAGAAGAGTAGAGTCCCCAATTGCAATTTTATCTAAGCCGACATCTACTCTTTCTCAACCTAGTAGGAGGTTTCAACTTGAAGCTGAATCTCTGATCCTATCATCTCGATGAGTATACGCGCCGATGAACAGATCCTACTCTGCGTACCTCGTTTCCCGGAAGCCGTGAATTCCTCCCATCAGTCGGCGAAGACATGGACAGACTCTTTGGTGTATCAGGAGATCCTCCCACCATTGCCCTTGGCCCACTGGGAATACTGTCCCTCTGTGCACTCTGAGGAGTTCTCGGTCTCTTGGCAGAAGGTCCCTCCTCGTCCACCCCGTCTGAGGTACCAATATGAATCATCTGACTGATCTTCCCCTCCAGCTTATTGATTCTGCACTCCATCTCCTCCTTCTCCTTCTCAAAACCGTGTGCCTTGTCTATATAGTTGTCCCTCTCAACCTTGACCCGGAGGACATCACACTCCAGCCGGTCGATCTCGCGCTGCCTTTCCGCCATCGTGCCTTGCTGCTGAGCAATCAGCTCATCCAATTTCTGCTTCGCAATCTCCAATCCTTGTATCTTCCTCAAAAGTGCCACCTCCTCCTCTTGTGCTTCATCCCTCTCCTCGACCAATTTTCCCTTCTCAGTTGTGTACTCCTTCTTCTCCTTCTTCAATATTTCGATATCTCTATCCCGCTTCGTCAACCCCTCCCTGACCTCCTTAACCTCTTTTTCCAAAGACTCCTCCTTCCTCTCCAACACCTCAATCCTCCCCTTGGCTTCCTTATTCTCAACCTCCAACTCCACAATCCTCTTCGCAAACGGCTCACCCGCGCTCACGTTCAGCTCAACCTTCTCCCTCTCCAACCTCTCAACCGTGCCTTTCAAGCCGTCAAACCCCCTCTCTTTCATCCAAAAATCCGCTCTCAACTTCCCAAACTCCACTCTATGCTCCCTATTTACCTCTTGACTTTGCTTCAAGTCCCTCTCTTTCTCGTCCAGCTCCCGGCCCTTTCCCTCTAGTATCACCTTCAAACGCTCCAACTTCTCCTCTTGCTTTGTAGAAATGGATTGCTGGCTGCGAAGCTGGCCACTCAAGGCACGGATTTGGGCGTCTCGCTCAACGATCGGGGATAGGTATTGGTTGACAAGAGAGGAATATTCGTGGTTTTCGTCAAGGGTCCTGAGTTCTGGTGTTTGGCTTGGCGGGGTGGAGAATATGGGAGGGAAGGGAGGGAGGGAGATGGAGCGGGGCGGGAATGGCGGGGGTGGAGGTGGAGGTGGTCGGAAGAATTCGTTCATCGTGGCGTTTGTTTGGATCGGCATTTTGGTCTTCGTTGGTCTTGGAGCGGAGGAGGGAGGGTCGCACCCCGAGATTTTGTGGGAGGGTTCGAGGATTGTTGGAGACAAGGGAGGATGGTCTGATGACTGAATGTTGTTTTGCTGCTGTAATCTTTTGTAGATGGTTGCCATCTTTGTATGTGAGAAGTCAAGCAGATGCTCGGTGGAGTGCAAACGGAATTCTGATAATTGAGTGGCCGTGATGCAGGTTCACTGCTTCCAATTAGCGTATATAATCATAAGAAAACCAAGTAGCGGTCAAGAATCTTCCCTACTCTTCATGAAAATTTGAAATGTGACGAAAGTTGACAGGTGATTCAACTGTGATATTTCGGGAGCTTGCATTATTCCAGAAGTGAAAAGAACATTTTCAGTGCATCGAGAAATTTATTGAAGCAAAATACATGGACGTTCTCCCAGCCCTTGGCTAAGCATCAGATTGCGTTTGTACGCGGAATGAAAGGAAGAATCTCAGACCAACATTACTTATTACTCTAGCAAAGTGCAGAATATTCTTTATGCGTTGTACTCAAGGAAAGAAGGCTCTCAAATCAACGGCACTTGTTTTTCCGCCACAGGACGAGATGTGCTTTAACGGCCACCGCTCAGTTTTACACGCCTCTGTCATAGTCCCTGGAGGCGCCCTCATTACTGTCAAAGCTACGAGTACTCTTGCGGTTTTTAACCCAGCACTTGGAACAAATTAGCTTGAATGACAAGAAAAGGACTAAGAATACGTACGCCACGGCGCCAATGATGGTTTGGTGACGGGGGCCCTCTCTGGAACTCCTCAATAGTAGACTCCAAGCCTGCTTCTTGAATCTGATCATCACTCATCCGGGACATCCAATTGAGGACGCGCCTCACTGGGGCAGTGAAGCGCTCATTAACTTGTTGACGAGAGCGAGATGCAGAGGATTCCGAGGGGTTGCTGTTGCTATTGCCCCCAAATGATGCGGGTTGTCTCGAAGGGGGGATCGGGTTGGTCGAACTTGTATAGAGTAGATTATCAATAGCTCGTTCGCGAGAGACAGCACTTTCCGGGGATCGGTTAAGGCCGCCGCTGGGATTCCGCGAACCAATAGCAGAACCTTGTCTGGGAGCTACAAAGGCGTTGAAAGATCGCGGTCGCTGAAGTTGTGTTTGCAAATCATAGATTTGTTCGTTGAGAGTCTTGTTCTCCGCCTGTAAACCCAGCTTCTCCTGCTCTAACACTGTGACCTTGCTCACAAGCTCGTCCTTACGGCCGTCTGCCATAACGAGGACTCTATGGAGGCTGGTGTGGTTCTCCTGTGCATGACGCATCTTTTGCTCTGCCTCGCCCTTTTCCTTCTGTGCTGTCTGGAGCTGTATCAACAGCGAACCTTTCTCTCCCTCCAGCCTATTAATCGTTTGGGTCTTCTCAGAGATGGCCATGTTGTTAGTTTGGATGTTGCGGTGCATGCTTTCTTGTTGTTGCTGAAGACTGTTCAGTTGAGTCGACAGTGAAGACTTCTCTCCTTCCAGCTTAGTAATGGTTTGGACTTTGTCAGAGATCATGAAGTCTTTGGCCTGGGCGTTGTGGTGCATGCTTTGGTATTGGAGGTCAAGAGAGTTGTGGATTGTCTGGAGTTGTCCGAGCTGTGCCAACAATGAGGCTTTCTCGCCTTCCAGCTGAGCAATGGATTTGATCTTGTCAGCTTCCTGTTGGCGTTTTTGAATGTTGAGTTGAGCGATCTGCTGCTGGAGGCGATGGATTGCGCCTTTGTTCTCTTCAGCTGCAAGAGGATCCTCCAGAGCCTCGTTGAGATTCTTGAATTCAGGTTCGGTCCGGAACCGAAGCAGGCGTGGGTACAATACTACATGCCTTAAGTGTTAGCAAATTTACCCTTTATTTTGTCAACATCAAAAATGAAGGACGCTTGCCATCCTTTTGAGTTTGCTCTTGGACGAAACGCTCATCGTTCTCGAGAGGATTGGGGCCGTTGAGGTGCTTTCCAACGTAGAGTCTCGTTTCAACTACGCTGTACAAGAGCAGAATTTCACTCAGGAGCACTTCACTGGCGTGGTACATCTCTTGGAGGCGGTGAGATGCTGGGTGGTTCTTTTGCATCAGTTCTAGGTGCTCCTGGTACAGTTTGTGCTTGTCCATGATAGCTTGAACGGCGTCAAGCTTGATCCAGGTATGGTCCATGATTGCTCTCCTTGCCGTACAATATAGAGTGAGTGATTGTTCCTGTCACAGAGAGTCCAATTAGCTAAAGGAAAATGTATTGAGATGGAAGGATAGTGGATGCACGGCTTTCTTCAGGAACAACGAAATACTGAAGGCGATGACAGACCGTCGCGATGTCAAAGCACAGGGTTCTGCAGTGCTTTCGCAACAAATGAATGTGCAAGAGGAGATGAGAACACGGCACTTACGGAAATTTAGATGTACAGGGGGCGGTATGAGATGTGATGTGGTGTTGTTGTTGTTGTTGAAGAGGAAGGAAGTAAATTATTTGTTGGTCGGAGGTTTGTTTACTTTGGCGAGGTGGAGCTTCACGAGGTCGGAGAAGGAGCCTTGTCAAGTGCAACGCTACCACCTCTTGACCAGACAAAACGAGAATTCAATGGCGCGTGGGCCTTTTTCTGAGAAGGAGGTTTATTGTTCCGAGGTTGGGGAGAAAGAAAAGCAAGCTTCTATAAATTTTCCAGAGGGAATGGAACAATAAAATACATTGAGTTGAAGGCCTAATAGAAGTTCTTTCATACCGTTATGACTAATTTATGAGTATGGTATTTCGAACCTATTATAACACAAGAGTGTTGATTGCCTGTAACGAAAGGGCACAACGGTGGTGCAATGTAGCATCAAACAGGTGCCAGCTAAACTAGTTTGGAGTCTCGAATATTTGTTGATTCTTTACACCATTGACCTCATTCTACAGTGAGCTCGTCTCGAGACACAGGGGCAGTTCCTTCCTCGAAGCAGCTTGCAGGAAGCTTCCATCCTCGGGGCCTCTCTTAAAGGGAAGTTTGGACAAACACCTTCAGCCCGCAAGTCTGTATATTGCTGGATGATGCAATTTATTCTCTAGTTCGACCGTAAAGCTCTGCCCGAACTTCTGGAAGAAACGCACCAAGCAGAAAAGAAATCCCACTCCCGAAATTTCCCACGTCTACCGTTACCAAGCCATTATTCCTGACCACCAATGTATGGAGAGCCTGTCGCCCAACTCCCAGCTCCCGTAGATCCCAAGTTCCGTGCCAGCAGCTTTCCCATCCATGCCTTTCCACCGAAGTCAATATGATTTCATCCCCTCAAACACCGTCCAAGTGCACGATTTCGACGCTGGCCGGCTGCTCGACCTCCTTCCTCTCTGCTTCGGCCTCTCCCTTCTTTGTCTTTCGCTTGGGCATGCGGCGGAAGTGCTAAAGCAAAGATCAGAAGAATGACTTTGAAAAAGAAAGGTACAAAACTTACAGACTTGACGTAGTAGTAGCCTTCGGGTGCCCAATTTGGTACCTTGGCTGGCTTCGGGGCTCCTAGTTCTCGCTTGATCTTAGCAGAATCGGAAGCAGAAGCCGCAGATTGATCGTCGGACGCGTGGTTGAGCTTTTGCTTCTTTGCTGCTGGAATTTGGAGTTTTGTGCTGGCAGCTGCAGGAACATTTTGACTAGATGTTCGGCCAACGGGCGGAAGATTGCGTGGTCCAGGTGGTGCTGGAACGCTCTTGCCAAATCCAACAGTCTCCTGAGCACCTTCCGGAGGAAGCTGAAACATGGTAAGCCAATACGATTGAAACCTCTGAAAGAGATCTTACCATTAACTTCAGAAGTCTTTGCTCTTCATGGGCTGCAGTAGCAGACGCTGCAGGATTCGGAGACGCACCAGTTGCTACATCGTCCTGCAGCGGTGTTGCTGTAGCTGCCTTCGCAATACTCTGAGATCCACCAGGAGCACCTCCTTGATTACTCGCTGCGGTAGTCGTATTGAGCGTATTCTTGCCACTACTTACTGCAGCCTTCTCAACTCCTTCTAATGCAAACTTCAACCTCATAACCTCCTCTCCCAACGTATCAAGTGTACCAACCAGTACCATAACACTCTTCAATGCCTTCCGAACCTCTTCATTATCATCCCCGGTATTAGCTCCACTCTCCTTATTCTTGTTGTTCTGCTCCTCAAGTCCCCAAATTTGACTACCGATATCGACCAGACGATCTACCAAGTCGTCGAAGGTTGCGAGGTGGGTCGGGGATGAAGAAGCCGAGGAGCGGAGGAGATTGAGCTTGAAGGTCAGAGTGAGCTTCGTGTCATTGAGGCCTGAGATGGTACGATTGAGTTCGGAGGCATTGTAGGAGCTGAAAGCGTTGGGTGCCATCTTTACCTGGGGCTCTGGAGGTGTTGGTGGCAAGCTGAGGGAGAGTGAAAATATGGTGGTTGACGCCGATGGAGGGGTAACGAAGAAGGTAAATTGAGGATATCAGTGAATTCACCATAGACTGATAGAAACCTGATTCAGAATAGGCTTGTCTTATGGAACCAATTGGAGATTCAATGTTTCATGAGAACACGTGATGATTTAATGTTGACTTGCCATTGATTTCAGAGTATCGAACCACTGCTGAAGAAATTATGCCCGTCACCATTGCCATGCGGCAAATATGGCCAAATCGGCCATTTCTTTCCGCCCATAATCCTATCGCCTTCCCAGATATCAGACTCCATTATCCCAATAAATCCATCTGAAGTTTCCCGAAAATTTCTCATTTTCCCCATGAATGAACGCCACGCCTATCACCTCCAATGTCCCTTTCACTTCCTCTAGTTCTTGCTTGATATAGTTTACTTCTCCTTTCGTTCAGGTCATTTTCGAGTATGCTGTAACAACCATTAGAATTATTCCACCAGGAAGAGGAGTAATCCATAGAGAAACCCTACCGCCCGAACGTGAACCCGCTTCTCAACCTTGGAATTTGTCTCCTTCGGCTTGCTTGTACCAGCAGTAACATTTTCCTGAGCGATCTGCATTGGTAGAGGTCAGCCATTTTCTGCAAACTGTTTTTGGAAATACGAACTGAAGACGGCTTGATCCTCAACCTCTTGAGGCGGCTCATAACCATCTTGTCGACTCGCTCCTGGTGCTTAGCGATAGCCTTGAGTCTTCTCAAGTCCTCACGAAACTCCTTAATTTGGGTCAAGAGCTCTTCCGACTGTACAAGATCGGCGAGTACTGCAGAATTGAAGTCTTCCTGGGGCATCCTCAACTTCCATTCTTGCCTCACCCTGTTAGCTGCCCCGAGCATCACAACATTGGTGGTGATATTCGCGTTACGAGTCTCCAACTTCATGAATGACTGATTGTAGCTCTCGGAGCTGGGTAGGCTGAGCTTCTCGGCATTCAACCGCGAGGTATTGACGGACGCCCAATCCTTGACCTCTCTGAGCTGGTTACGGAGGAGACCTTCTGTATAGGAAGCCATTTTGAAGGACAGGGATGGAGTTTAAGGAGACCTTTAAAAGGTAAAAAAAATGGGGTGTGGTGGGTGCTGGATTGAAGGGAGAGAGGAGTTGTGGGAGGGGGATGGGAAGTGGAAGTGGAAATGGAAGAAGATGGTCGGAGAGGGCCTTTCCTTACGTTGACTACGAGATCCGCTGGTGAATAATTACCCGACAAAGGGTTCGAAAGGTGATTCGTATTGTGAGCTAAAAGTAGCTTCAAACTCTGCAAGAAGCGAGCAATATTTGCGAGAAAGCGTGTTACATGTCATATAGACATACAGGCTAATCACAAGGGCTGATTCCTGCTTGGTCATTTCATAAAATAGCTTCAAGCCATTAATGGGCATAAGTGAAGACTTAATCGTGGAAAGAATTTTCGTTTACTCCACGTGATCCTCTGAAGAAAATAGGGGGGATATTGCCGCCTCACACCGCCTTCCCGAAAAGTCGAGCAGGGCAATGCCAGGTCAACACAAAACAACGCACCTCTCCGAATATCCTCCTAGGCAAACATGGAACCAATTCTACTTGCAAAGTTATGCCCATCGTTTGTGCGATCCTCAAGCCCCATCATTTTCGCGCCTTTAATCAGCAAATCATTCAATGTCTCAGCACCCAATTCCAGTCCTCCTTGCGGATGCGGCTCGTTCCCCCCTCCCTTTTCACTCCAGGAGCAAAATATTGCCCAATAGGGGTAAAGGAGTGCTGCTGAAAGAAGCATCCGCCGACCTCAACTCAAATGTCCAGTCTTGCTGGAAGGGGTGGCATTGCTTGAAGAGATCGGTGGCTTGTTGGTATTGGAGGGCGCAGGCCGTTGGGGTGGACATGCCTGGGGATTTTGGCTTAAGTGCTAGCATTGTTGTTGAGATCAAGAGGGATGTTACTGAGATCGAGCTTGAGGTGTTGTTCGCTAGAGGTTAGGTTGCGTCGTAAATTTGAAAGTGTCACTTGTCCTGAGTTACAGCAAAAGAATTTAAAGTGTCGCACCATATAGTCATTCTGCAGCCCAATAAGCCATTCCAGTCAGTACAGTAGAATAATGTAGGAGGCCAAAGTTTTGCTTTCATTGTTATCTGCCAGGTTGCCTCTCTTTGTTTGCGGGTTCTACCGAACTCTGCTGCACAAACAAACCACTCTGCAATCAAGAAGAAAAAACAGCAATGTATGGAAGTACCAAGAGCAAACGGGGTAAGACCAAGCCCCAAGATTCTGCACCAAGGGTCGGCACCAACAGCGTGTGCCGAGAGCCTGAACCCAAATTTCCTCCCTCCAAGCTCTACTTCTTCTCCCTTCTATCCCTTTCCTTCACCAACTCCTCCCTCAATCTCTGAATAACCCCATCCTTCTCTCCTATCTCTTCTTCCTGCTTCTTGTACCAGTGGACTACGCGGCTAGTTTCATATTCAGCCTCCTCTCGCTGAGCTTGTAATCTTGCGTTGTCAACCCGAAGCTGGGTGATTTCGTCCCTCAAACAACGGACTTCACGTTCTGCGTTGGGATGAGAGAATTGTGTGCTCGGATGAGGAGATCGAGATCTTAAGTTCGGAAGAGAGGCAGGTGGAGAGCGAGATCGTGACCGGTAACGTGGGTTGAGTCGTTGAGTGATGGATGGATAGGGCTGCTGAGCAGCATTGGATGGTAGTCGAGGTCCTTCAGATGGTCTTGAAGGACGAGAAAGAGGTGGTTGATGTTCCATCTCATGTAAGGGACCACCCATTTGAGATGAAGGTGGTTCACGAGGAGCTTCCACCCTAATGCCCCTGTTCTCTGGCTCTGGCTCTGGCACAGCCTCGCCCTCACCCGGCTCCGCAAGGCCCAAAGCTCGGAGATCAGCTCGAAGACTATCAAAACGTCCCCGAAATCTATCGCGATTTCCCTTCAATTGGCCATACAGAATGTGAAGCTGGATCTGGTCTCGTTGTGCTGTGGTTCCGGCCAGAACGGTGTGGTATAAACGGTTGGCTTCGTCAACCCAGTGCTGTATTTCAGCATGCGGTAGTAGCCGAGCACGAACAAAGACAAGGTTGATCGTCGGGTCTCTGGTATTGTAATGCTCGTGAAAGGCTTCGTAATCGTTGCCAATATTGAGCCAATATTTACGCATTGCGGCAGCTTCGCCGAGGGTAATGTTCGGTCGAGTACTGGCACGGTTGCCGCTCTCAAAGTTGGACATTTTGAATGAAATAGGATGGTAGGGGAGCGAAGGACTTTTCGTTTGTGGGGATCAGACCGAAGCAAAGATCAGATCGAAGGAAGTTATCGTGCACAACTTCAGACCGAAGCAAAGACCAGACCGAAGGAAGTTATCGTGCACAACTTGAGACCGAAGCAAAGACCAGACCGAAGGAAGTTATCGTGCGCAACTTCAGACCGAAGCAAAGTTTAGACCAAGTGACTTTGTTGTGTATAAGACCAGATCGAAGCAAAGATGTGACTAGAATAATGTATGACGTAGTGGTTATCCGATCTTTCAATGTCGAGCCTGTGTCGTCGTCGTCTCGGGGGAAAGAGAGGCGGTGTCGTCGTCGCTTCAGTAGGAAGAGAGCTGGTAGTATTCTCAAGTGCGGTAGGAAGTAGTGGCTTTGCTTGAGCTGAATGTTTAGAAGGGCACTGGTACAATAAAGGTAATGAAACCTGTAAAGACAACAATCTTTGTAGTGTTATTAGTAGTTGGAAGAAGTTGTTGTTTTTAGAAGTAAACAACCCTTAAGAGTACTGTGGGATTGTTCTTATAAACTGCAAGAGGGCATTAAGCGAGCAGTCGACAAGTGTCTGTATTTCCCTCCCAAAATTTAGAGACTTACAAAATAAATTACCCCAGAATAAGGTAGCTAGGTCATTTGTAAGAGAAGTATTATTCTACTTCTATAGAGAACCTACAAATTTTTATTAAATATATCCCAACTCTTCTAGTATAAGAAGGCTCTATGAAATAAATAAGATTCTTGAAAGCGTCTAGGAGCTAGATAAACCAGATAAATGCACAAAAGAAATCCTAAGCAGAAGTCCAAGGCAAACCGCAAATAAAACCACAAAGAGAGTCGGCAAACATTTCTACAAACAAGGGGCAATTCTTAGGAGTATTAAAAGCTGACATCAAATAAAATGTCTGTCTTTGATGTGAACTCTAAGGTTAGCGGCTGCAAAGTGAGCGGCTTTAAACTGAACGGTGTCTTTAAAAGCTAATGCCGAATAGGTGGCAGACTTGCATTTGCATCGCTGCTCTAAGTAAATTTGTACTATTGCAAAGCCTATAAAGTCTATTATAAAGCAGCGCACCGGCAGAGCTGCTGGACTTTATATATATTAGAACTGAAAATTCTTCCGCTCTCCCTTTCTTTCTTCCCCATAATACATCCGAAACGCTGGTTTGTTTCCAAGCAACTTCAAGCCTCCACCTGCTGCTTCTACCTCTACTACAAACACATCTTGCAAGCTTCAGTTTACTTGGTACACTCATCACGCATTCCTTCTCAAGACACCGTTCACCTCAGATATCGACCACTTTAGATATTGTCTCAGACATCGTTCACCTCGGACATCTCTGCTATTACCAACACTTACCTACTTGCAACCGCCGTCGTAATGCATCCAAAAGGCTCCACCTGCCCTCCTCCCCCTCTTCCCTCTCTCGCTGAAGCCACCAACATCCTTAATGACATTGACGACTTGGCAAACGAGCACAACAGCCTCATGACCAAGTGGGATTGTTCTTCACCTGCCGTTCGCTCTGTTCTCGCCCCATACAAGTATCTCACAAGAGATGAGATCCAGAAGCTGGTTGATCGGGCAGAAGCTTTGGTCAGAAGATTGGGCACGAACTACGGTCCGATCAATCCATCCCTCGAGCGTGCTCCACGGGAGGAATACGATATGTTGAAAAGGCTGTCTGAGAGTACTAGACAAAACTTGGAGAAGGTGCAAGATGAACTTGCAACTTGGGACGAAGATGAAGGTAAGAGCGATTCGGAGTATTGTCCCACAATTGCTTATCAATCTTTAGATGAGGGCAACCTCCCGTTCCATCCTACCGACGAAGTCCGGCAGCTTCGAGGTGAAAACATAGAGCTCCGAAATCGGATTGAGGAGTTGGAGGAGGAGCTCGCGGAGAAGAATTCTCTCATCCAAAGTCTGAAGAATGGAAAGGGCAAAGGAAGAGAATAAATGAGAAAGGGGGTTTGGGGATTTTGGGGATTGGGATAGACATCTGGTGAGCTTGTTGACTACCAAGCTGGAGAATTGATCATAATAAATTGAGTGGTTTGGACCTCGAATGTTCTTTATCTTGAAGTACCATGCAATTGTGATATTGATTTCCCTTATAGCTTCTAGAGTCAAAACTCAATGTTCTACTTGAGGTAAAGCAATGGATTCATAGATACCTGGCCATTTTTTTCTCATTGTACTACTTCAAGACTTAATAATATAGGTTGAGGAACTTTTACTTATACCCATTCAAGTTTGAACAATGACTTGAGAACACCTGCATTATACCATATCAAAATAGAGCAAAAAGACGAGAAGTAATATCCAATTGTCGTCACTAATTGTACTTCTTTACAATAGAACAATAGGATGAGAAGTGATGCCAAATTGTTGTCACGAAAGATGGCTCTTCAAGTCAGAAGAATGGGATGAGAATTGAAGCCGAACCGTTGTCACTAATAGTACTTCTTTAAGATAGAATAATGAGATGAGAAGTGAAGCCGTCGTCACAAACAACACTTTGCTGCTCTGTGGCAACGCCGCTTAAGATGAAATTAGCGTACTTGGTTCGGCATAAAAGAAGCTCTAGTTTTTCACACGACGATTTCCTTCTTCCCCAGTACACACCATTCTGATCTTGGCCGACTGTGCTCTGTCTACACTACTTGGTACAATCAAACTCCTTCCAACTTCATTGTCCCACAAGTGCTTGGCGCAATCGCCTCAGACACCGTTCACCTCAGCCATCGTTCACCACAGACACCATGTCTCAAAGACCCAACAACAACAGAAAGCACCCTCACCCCCAAGCCGAGTCCCTAGTCCCTCATCGCACGCAAGATATAATCTCTCTCCCACAAGCTACACTCCTTGTTGGCCATCTTACAGCCATTCGAGACGAATACCTCCAGCTCCTCTGCCAATTTCCTCCCGGCCACCCTTCCATCCGAGCAGAGCTCTCGCAATACTCCGATCTCACTATCCAAAACCTTGACCGCCTCCTCGGAAATGCTCGCAGCCTTCTCACTTCCATTCGATCCTACGGCGGCCGTCCCGTTGGACGGGAGATAGCACGAGACGATTACATCCTCCACGGCCAGACGGATCGTCAATACCAGAAGTTGCGGGAGCAGTTGAATGATTTGGAGGAAAAGTTGGAAAAGGAGCAGTACGACCACCTTCGCCTTCCCCGCCGCCAACAACCAGGCCCTTTTCGTCCAATTGGTCCGGCTCAGCCAAGCTTCCGTCCAACTCCTTCTCCACCTCAATACCAACCCCGACCATCTCGTCCCACGTCTCCTCAACCCACTCGCCCCTTCCATCGACGTGCTCCGAGCTACCAGGATTTGTTGGAGGAGAACCGGGAGTTGCGGGACGAGGTTAGGATGTTGAATGATCATGTTCGCCGGCAAGAACGTCAGATCGAAAGAATCTTGGAGTGTAGGGAGCGGGAGCGGGAGGAAGAGGAAGAGGGTGAGGGTGATGAGGGAGAGGAGAGGGGAGGAAAGCGGAGAAAGGTTTAGATGAAGAAAGAGGGAGGGAAGTAGCGGGGGAAGGGGAGTAAGTTGTACACAGATGATTAGGGACAGTTTGACGTTTGTGGCTCGCTGGCATGGAGAGTTGGTTGTACCAGCTGCATTTGGGACATTCAGAGCGTTGCCTTGGCATTGAGCATAGATTGAAGAAGAGAGCTTCTTCCACAGTACAAGAGTGATTTTACAGAGCAAATAATATAATTGTACAAATTGCTTTGTGAACAATCTAGCAATTAGGAACTGAAGATGACAACAAGGAAAGGTCAGACAACGACTTCTCGTTATCTGAAAGTTGGGAGCGAAGCAGAGGAACTTTTCGTGATTATCGTATTGTTTCGCTCCCAACTATTGGGCCGAAGGATATATCGTGTGGCAAGCACTGCCCTGTTGTTTACTCCCAACTATTATAGGGAAGCAAAGGGAGTTATCGTGACTCCTGTGCTGAAGTTGGGAGCGAAGCGAGCAACCAAAGATCAGAGCGAAACAAAGGGGTATTCGTGATTATCGTGTGCAAACATCAGAGCGAAGCAAAGGGGGTTATCGTGATTACCGTGCTGAAGTTGGGAGCGAAGCGAGCAGCCAAAGATCAGAGCGAAACAAATGGGTATTCTTAATTATCGTGTGCAAACATCAGATCGAAGCGAAGCGAGTTAGCGTGGTTACCGTACTGAAGTTGGGAGCGAAGCAAGCAGCCAAAGATCAGACCGAAGCGAAGGAAACCAATTGTGATTATCGCATTGAAGTTGGGACTCAAGCCAGACAACCTAAGAGAACAGTTTATTACTATCCCCAATTGGAAGCGAAGCAAAAAAAGGGATTGTAAACATCGTGCAAGAACTTGGGAACGAAATGAGACAATAACTTATCATGATCTGATCTATGTCTCTTCATCCTTACGAAAAGCATTGATGGGAGCAAGCAGAACATTAGCCCAATGCCAACAACAGCCCAAACACAACCATTTAGCCCAAAATCTGAGAAAGGACTCAATTACAACAAAGTCCGCCAATCCTGGAACAAGACGACATGGATAGCAAGAAAAGTCTGAGCAGCCAGCAGAAGCGACGGTCTACATTGAATTGAAAGCAGAAGATAAGGATTTGGAGGTCATCATACTCCGAGTCCAGCAAGCCGAGAAACAGCAGAATAAAAAGTCGAGTTACAAGCACCGGCACATCTAAGCAAGCAAGAGTGCAGGTCCCAAGTGTAAAGCAGACAAGGTATTCAAGAGATATTTTTCTATTAACAGTACCTCTCTATCCTAACTTCCATACCTCTCTGTGCAATCCACCGATGATATAGCAAGAACAGAGAACACACACTCGGCCAAGTTAAAAGCTTGGTTGTTTCTCACCCCTCGGGAACAATTGGACCGTGAATAGCTTGCAAGTACTTACCCTTAAGGAAACACTCAAAGTAGGAATAACTTCACTGTTCCGCGCCCTTAGGGTACAATCAAGGACTCGAAGGCTTTCAATGTACCAGGTGCTACGAGAATAATTACACGTGCAAGGGAGGGTGTAAATGTTGTTAAAGACTGCATTTTCTACTTCCTAGAAACAGCAGCAGTCCGCATCGTACCAACCCATCACCACTGTCCTACCCACCCACTCATATCTCACCCTCATCATCACTAAGCTCTACCACCTCTCCCCTAAGTTTTGCAACATCTAATTTAAGAAGCGCATTCTCCCTCATCCTCTTCTCCAACTCGTCCCTCAGCTCCTTGTTCTTCATCTTCTTGACCTCCTTCTTTGGTTTCAAGATTATATGTCTAGCCTCCAAAGGAATCATTGTAGGCTTGAGAACATCGAACATGGGAGCAATGGGGGCCATACAACCACTACCAGACGGAGAACGCTCAATGTGGCCACCCATCTTGCTAGAAACACCCTGAATAGCCTTGGCTAAATCAAGCGAAGCGGGACCAGAGAACGGAACAATTGCAGGCTTCCAGTGCTTGTAACTAATAAAACATGTCTGGTTGCCGATAACCTGGAATCGGACCTCGCGTTTGTACTTATAGTGGCCTGCCTCATTGCGATGAGCCTATTCGAAGTTAGCATACGTCTTCGAATGCCCCAAAAGCTGCTGGACAATGGGAGTACAATGTCCCAACGGTTGCGGGACATTGAAAGCCCTACCTCCTCAAGATAACCCCTCAGATTAGTAATATCTCTTCTCATAGTCCAGCACTCAATAGTAAGACTATTAAGCAAACTCTGGTCAGTCGACGCCTCGATTGTCGCAGCCTCAGCGACCTCAGCACCGCTGATAAAACTGGAGCGGGGGTCATCTTTCTCGAGCAGGTCGCGGTTATATAGCGTTTCTTGAGAGTATCGACCTTTGCACAGAGTTTAGAGACTGGCTCAAGCGTGGCGTGGGGAGAACCAGCGAGGGAAAGGACGACATCGTTGTTGGAGGGGTGAGAGGTGGACGCAAACTCGCCGTGCAGGATAGAGAGGTCAGAGAGGAGGGCTCGAGAGTCTCCCAGGAGGTGTATAGCTTGTTGTACGCTTGAGGCTGGGCTTGGTGGTGAGTTGCGGGAGGGGGGGCAGAGGCGCTCGAGCGCTACTTCCTTGGAGGGATTCATTGTTCCAATTTTGACTTGTTCCATGGCGAGTTGAGGGTTGACTTGTAAAAGAAGAGGTTCGGTCAATGGGTTGAGGTTGCTGTGGAGGTGAGCGGCCGGCAGGTAGAAGATTAAAGATCCTTCTTGACGACCCTCGTTTATGGAGGATTCGCTACCACTAGCGTCGGATTACCAGTCGAGTGTCCTTGAATATTTCAGTATATTGTCGGATAAACAAGGATACGCAAGGCTAAGAGTTCAGCAAAGGTAGGAAACATATGGATTCAATGTCCTAACCAAAGCTGGAATTTCTCAGAAACACTCTACACACGGTTATTAGTGTTGTATTACAATCAAAGCTTCTGGTCTTTTTCACTTTAGGAATTCAAGATGGAACGATAACAAACTGACGCCGAATCGTCGTGGCCGGAGCTTGATTTCTGGAACCAGCTCGGCAAGTCAGCATTAACCAAGAGCCATTTCAACTATCCAATTCTCTTGCAATATGCCTCTTAGAAGGAGAAGCTACCAAACGTCTAATGTATTAAAGAGAAGTCCCGGACCTCAAGGCATGCAGCACCAGCAGCAAGTTCCTAGCCGACGCTTCTAGCAGCAAACACTTAATTCTCTTATCCCGAGAAGGTTCTCGAGGATCCCGGGAGGACTCGAGTCATAACCCAACATACTCTAGAAATGATTTCGAACAGTCTTTGAAGAGAAACCTCGATGTTGACGTTTGGGCAGAAAAAAAAAAGGGAGGTGTCGTTGTACGTCATGTGATAATTTCCCACGTGACCTAAGAATCATCTCTAACATTGCTGTGATCTTGTAACATGCGAGAAGTTTAAGAAATGATTTAGTAAAGTTATCTAAATGATAAATAAAGTTGCAATAATATCAAAGATAAATTTATGCCAATTGTCATGTGATCATGACTTGCAGACCTACAGACTTGAAGCTGGGCCTTGCTCATACATCTGAAGCGTCAAGGGAACTCAAGGACACTGCCCCGAGTTCTTCACCTAGAGCTATTTAATAACACGTATTGACATGTAGAGCAAGCTAGCGCAAGATGCAGTAGCCAAGTCGCACAGATTGGAAATGTGCCTCCCCGCACTTGCTGCTCGCACACTAGTCAGTCACTGGAAAGCAATCCTGCCAGCAGGACAAAGGCAGAAACCGATAAGAAGAGAAACTGGCCAAAAAGCCACAGATTACGGCATCCCCTGTTTCTCTACGCACGCCGAGCTCCGTTAATAGTGTACTCTCTTCCCGCCTGTCTACTCCCAGTTCGAGGAGTCAGTTTCCGCTCCCCCCTTTCTCATTTGGATATGAGTCTTAACAAGAAACTCATTGCCTCCCTGGCTCTGATTGGCCTCCCAGGTAACAATTATCTTTCGTCTTGTGCTGTGACCCCAGGAAAAACTCTTTCTTTGTAAGCCTCAACAACAAAGACATTCATTAAATGCAATGCAAGTATATCAAAAACACGGAAAAGTCCAAGTGCGTGGGATTAATTGATTGTTTAATTTTCATGAGATTCATTAAGCATCTGCGAGAGAAGCAGCGCCACCAGAGGCTGCCATTCCTTGCTGCAGCATGGCCATATTAGAGGCGCAAGTAAAACCTTGTTTCAAAGCCCAGGGCAACGCCAAAGTAACGCAACCAGGATATCAACCATTTTTCGCAGGAAGCAAAATCCCCAAGTCATGCCAGTCAGCTCTCAGCATCCTGGCTCTTCAGCCAATCCCCACAAAGCCAATTTTGCATCGAGTCCGAAGGAGGGAGTTTGAACTCCGGCATCTCAAAGCTCCCCGCCTTCCCCTTATTCCAAACCCACCGTTTCGCCCTCTCGTCATACTCAAACCCCGCCAACGCCGGACTCGGCAGCGGCAGGGGTGGACTCGCACCCGGCTTTGCAACCTGCTCCATCTTCTCCCGCACCGTAAAATGCATCACCTCGTTCGTTACGGAGCCGATCGTGTTGACCGTCGGTATTGGGTACTGTCCTGGAGTTCTAGTCTTTGAGCCAAGGAGGCGCCAGACCACAGAAAGAGCACCGTCGCCGAAGGGATCCTTGTTTCCGTTCCAGTTAGGGTCTTTGTTATCTTGTGTGACAGAGAGAATGTTTTGTACGAATGGGGTGTTAAAGTCGAGGAGTCCACGGCTGGCAAATTGGTCGATCATCCAGGCGAGCGTGATATTTTGGATCTTCTGATCGGGATTGCCGCCTCCCACGTCGCTGTGGTGGCCGGGGAACCAGCATTGGATTAGCTCGGGCTTGATAATTCGGTGGTCGAATGAGTTTTCCCAGGTTGCGTTTGGGTTGAGCCACCAGAGTGTGGGAGAAAATGAGGAGCGATGCTCGTCGAGACCTAGAGATTGGAAGGCAAACTCGATGCCTGTTTACCAGTTAGTAAGAGAAGCTGTTTGTAGCTTGGTAATAGCTTACGCAAAGGCAATTGAGTATCAAGGAAATCCCACTTCGCATTCAGCTTCAGCAGCTTCGCCAGAGTATTATCCGGGACACCCATTGCACCGACCGTCTCCCAGCACGCCACAGCCTTGATATTAACGTTCTCATTGGTAACACAATAATCACTTGCAACCATAGGTGTTTTCTGATTCGTCTTGTACGCCTGAAGCTTGGTGTTGAACTCCGTGCTGTCTTGAGCAGCCTTGTAGATCTCAATGATGGGCTTGAAATGCCTCATTCCGACTCTGGAGAGGACACCGAGTATACCCAGCAAGCCGGCTACGAAACGAGCTGTGTATGCTCCGCGGGAGAAGCCGACAATGAAGATCTCGTCCCCTTCGACGTAGTTGTGGGCGATGAAGGAATATGCATCCTCGGCATTTTCTTCCAGACCGAGACCCATACCACCTAAGTATCAAGTCAACACAGCGCTGGGAAGCATTCAAATCTGGAGAAACATGCCTGCAAGAGCCTTTTGGATTGGCAGCACTCCGCCCGTAGCCACACCGGCTTGGTAGAAGATAATCTGCTCCTTCCGATCTCCCATGGCGTTATGGTTGAGCGCCCTCAGGAAGTTGATGACATTCGTGGGATCCTCGGGAGGACCAGTATCCGCCGACTGCCAGGTGCCGTCGCAGCCTACAATCAGGCGTTTGGGATGGCGATTAGCAGCAGCCATCGTGAAAGCTCTACAAGCAAAGAAAGGAGAAGTTCTTTGTGGGGTGTGAAATATGGCGAAACGCAGAAGAAGGAATCTAGAAGGGGATCGAGGAAGTGAACGCAGCAGCCTTGAGGAGAAAAAAAGCATGCTGAATGGAAGTGAAAGAGGAAGTGACGTTAAAATAAGTGAACCAGGAGGGGCTCAGCCAACACACCCAACACCGGGAAGCCACGACCAGAGCTGAGGCAGCTACGCCCAGCCACGGGGAGCCACATCTCACCCTCTTCTCGTTCATTTGTTCTTTTTCGGGACAGGAACCTCTATCAGCTGGGGTTGTGCTCTGATGGCGGGGTGCCGGCGTTCTTATGTGGAACGCTGGTGGCAAGATCATGAAAGCTGACAGGAGAGGTTTTGCCGTGGTGCTCCCTGCTGACCTAAGCCTGTGAGACAGCCCGAATCCAGCGCACCATGCAAGCGCCACGGTGTAACCAATCGTTGGGAATGGGTGGACGGGGAAATCCCGTTATTCGTTCGATGGCCTGCAGCTGTTTTCTGGGCAAGATGGATGCTGGCTGGATATCTGTATGGCCTCGGTGATACCCGGTCGATTGATTTTGCCCGGCGGAGAGGTAGGGCCTAGAGGGTTCCTTACATAACCGATTTCCAAGGTCAATGCACACCCCAAGCGAATGCACACCCTTTGCCCACCAAAACTACCCATCTTTAGACCTTAATAATTACATAACTAATAAGTAGATTACCTTTAAAATTTCCATATTACTAGTTTCATATATATTAAATAAGACTATAATATAAAGTTTACATAATATTATATATTACGTAATTAATATTAAGCTTAAAGCTTATAAATTACTAAGTTTAATATTATATAAATAATTTCATAAATAAGATTAATAAATAGAAACTACTTAATTTTATATTAATGATATAGCTTATAAAATACATTTATTAAGAAGTTTTATTTATATACCTTTATAATAGAAAGATTTATTTAAAATAGTAATATTTTTAAAAATTCATTTATAAATTATATTATAATAATTATTTTTTGATTTTTTAATAAAAACTATTATTCTTTATATATTAAAAGAAAATGGAAGAAGAAGTATTTAATTATATAAGAGTTCATAATATATTTTAAATTTTAAAGTTTATAACCTTAGTTTTTATTTAAAATAATTATATTAAATAAAAGTATTATTTATAAACAATTTATATAATATTATAAACCAATATATAAAGTATTAAAAAAATTAAATATATTATTAAAAATAAGCTTATATATATTTATATATTAAATAAAAAAATTAGTATTATTTTTATTAATTATATTATATTAATTAAAAGGTTATATAAATGTTTTATATAATAGAATAGTAGCTTTAGATTAGCTTTATATAAGGTAACTTAACTTTTTATTTTTTTGGGTTTTATTTCTTAATTTAACTTTTTTTATAAAAAAATAATCTTTTTTATAAAAAAATTAAATATAAAACCAGAATCTTATAACTAATATACTATTTTATATGAAAATAATAGCCTTAATTTATAATTATATATAAGATAAAGTAAAGTTATAAAAATTAAGTTAAAAACATTTATAAATATAAAGATATTAAGTATTAAATTAAAGTATTTAAGATTCTTAAAATTTTATATAAAAGCCAAGTTTAAATAATCTTAAAAACTTAAAATATCTATATTTAAAACAAAATGAACACTTTATCTTCTCCTCTTTCTGAATATAAAAGAATTATATTATTATCTTTAATAGTTATTTAGTAAATAATTATTTAGTATTATGTATTTGGCTAAAATTAGGGTGTGCATTCGCTTGGGGTGTGCATTGACCTTGGAATTCGGTTAATAGCTCGCGCGGCCGCTTTCGCTTAGACCCAAGCTAAGCCCTCACGGATGCCCCTATTTTCAGTCCAATTTCCCCCAAAGGACTGAAAAGTAAAGTTACCAAGCTACCTAGTCATTTGCCCCCCTCGCCTCTTCCCTCTCTCTACACTTCTTCTCCTTCTCACATCACTTCTTCTCCTTCTCACAACACTTCTTCTCCTTCTCACATCACTTCTTCGCCTTCTTACATCACTTCTTCGCCTGCTTACATCACTTCTTACAATTCTTAGTATCCGAGTAAACAATAATAGGCACAACGATTCGATTTGATCGACGATTCTCCGGACGTCTCCTGGTGCTAATAATAAAGGAAAATCCGGGCGTCTCCTGGAAACGATAAGAAATTCGGATACGTAAGTCGAGTAAAAGAGTAACTGGATCAAGAGTAGTAAAGTGACTAGGTTGAGAGAGATAATACGAGCTTGCAACGTAACGTAAGTGGTTCGACGTGATCTAACGTGAATTGACTAAGTTGTTATGATTTGTGTGAGGAAGAGAGTTAACTGGGTTATTATATGAGTAAGATAAAAGAGGCTTGACAGGGTAAGAGACGAGTTGGCCGGATGAATAAGGAAAGAGAGAAAACGACCATTAACCTGAGAGAGTAATGCAGAGCAAGAGTGACCGAGTCACGCTCTATAGACCCTACCTCGTATGGTCATCTCTAGTTCTGGGTTTCGGCACCAAATGATACTCGGCCGATTGAGTTTGCCTAGAGGAAAGGTAAAATCTAGAGGACTTGATTTCTAAGGAACTACGTTTGGCAGAGTTCCTTAAATAATTGCTCGCGCGGCCGCTTTCGCTTAGAGCCAAGCCAAGCCCTCACATCGGTAGCTCCCGGTAACGCCACAGCAGCTGCAGAGTGTTGGATTTGGCCGTCGCAACATATTCTGAAGAGCTCTTTTGTTCCACCTCTCCAATGTATCAATGATGTGATCTCTCTTGAAAGCTTCAGGTCGAAACGGAACCAATTTTGCGAGATGTTGCAAGTTACAACTTTTGCTAAGTCACTTTGTGGAAAGCCAATGTCTCGGCAATTTCATGTCTCAACACACTTCAGTGACACAGCCACCACGACAAAATCGATGCCTGATTATCAGATCACAGATCATGTCACACCAGCCTCTCAGAACTCCCCACTAAATCTCGTACTCTGATGCGGCGCATTTTGAGGAGTACGTCTCCGTCGGGCGTGCGACCGCTTGGCGAGTCTGCGACTCCCTTTTCCACTGGTCGGCCAAGTCCACCTTGCAGCTCAGCTCATGTAGGGATCAGCGAAGTGCATATGCACCCAAGAACACCAATGAGGATTTGAACAGATGAGCCCAAGAACAAAGCCGCCTAAGTCTAGAACCTTTTCACCCTCAATAAAATCTGCGCTTGACTCATCCAATCAATAGTCCTTGACTCAGACATGTGTGGAGAAGTGAAGAGAAAAGCCGAGGTGAAGTACGGGGCATAATACTGCGATTCGGATGCAACTGTTAATACCTCTTCCTCAGTACCTTTAGGCCAGAAAGAATACTTAACATCCCATCTCCTTCCCTTTCAATAACCCTCCCAGGTCCGTCCCTCTTGCCTCTACCCCTCGCTGCAAGCTCATGTTGAGCTTGGCAACCACAGGGAGAGGAAGAAGGACGACAACGACATCCCGAATCATGCTCATAGTACCATTAGAATACGCCAGCTTGTTGACGTCTAGACACGTCCCTCCCTTCACAGATCGATCCCAGAAGTAGTTCATGGGCGGACAGTGCAAGATCGTCACTTAGACAGAGAATCGGAATTTCGGCTGGTGCGTGAAGATGCGAAGGTAAAGGGCGAGCATGTTGAGTTTTGTAAGGGAGCAGACGGGCATGTAGAGGTTTCGCCGATGTAGAAGGCTTCGAGGAAGTGGCCTAGGTCGCCGGGCCGGGAGCTGTGGAGGTGCTTGCCGAAACCCCGACTGGACACTGGACTTGTTAGTCCATGCTTTCTTTGGATAAGGGGAAGGGGGATCGGAGATACTTTTTATCGTGAAGACGATGGCCGGGACAGCGAAGGCCCGCACTCTTCGTCAGGGTTGTTAATGCACGTGATATAGAGCAAGGAGCCGCACCCGAGTTGCGTGCCGAAGGCGCGTGATAGGGCGCCACTGGGCTATAAAGAAGCTACGGTACATGTGAAAGAAGCTCCCAGTATTGTAGAGCAAGCTTTAGAGTTCCCTGTCAAGCGCACTCTCTAGTTCCACTTTAAGAATCACGTGCTGTGCCAAGCTGCACTTTTGCACAGATACCCAAACTTGAGCCATGCTTAATCTTAATCTTCCTGATTTTGAAAGGGAGAAGCTGATAGGTCACATCATTGCTGCTTGCAGATCGTGGCGCATGATTTTCAAAATGCACTTCTGCCAGATGGTGTGAGTGGTCCGCTCCCAGAGAGCTTCCCTGCCAGTCACTCATCCAGCCACAGCCTCGTCAATGGCTTCTTTTTCGACAATTTAATCTGCCCTTCCTGGTTCATCAATCCTTACTCACTCTCGTCGTCTAGCATATAGGCTTTTGTGCACGTCGTCGAAGTGTTGATTCTGCCATCGTTGCCATCGAAACATCATGTCTGACAATCTCATGAACGAGGCTCAGGCAGTTATGGACCGCGACGAGTCCATGTTGGATGATGCCCCAAAGTTGCCAGCCCGAGGCCAAGAGCAACTAAAGTCGAGCCGCCGAATTCGAAATGACGAGAAGTGGAAATCACTCAAGGACGAGATTTACCGGATCTATATGATAGAGGACAATACCCTCCAAAACACGATGAGTACAATTTTTGAGCAACATGGCTTCGAAGCAAGGTATCCTTCTCCTGATCCATGTACCATAATTAAACCAAAGGCTAACAGACACTTGCAGCGAGAGAAAGTGGAAGGACAAGCTCAAGGAGTGGAATTTCGACAAAAATATTTCGAGTCGTGATATGAGCATCGTCGTCGCAAAGTCAGACAAGAGAGCCAGAGATAATGGCAAAGAGACAGTTTTCTTCCATGGCGAGACCCAGATTACACGACAGAGAATTGAGCAGTTCAAGAGAAGGAAGATATGGAAGGCTGCTGAACCTGTATCCCCCGGTGCTGGTGAGTACAAAGGATGGATACCTTATATCTGGAACCCTGCTTACACAAAAGAAGATACACCTTTTAACATCACGTACCATACTCCCGGTCACGACATTGCAGACGATCCTGCGGAGCTTTCACCAATAGAAGAGGATGCTATCCCACCCGTAGCCGCTATCAACGCTCCATCGCCCGCGGCTTCCACCTATCAGCTGCTCCAGGGGGCAAATTTCTCTCAATTGCATGATAAGGGCATATTTGAAGTAGCGAATGTCATTGAACCAGAATTTGAGAACGCTTCACCAGGGCCCGGACGGCTTGAGGATACCCCAAACACTGCTTATGCCCCTCTCATCGCGCACGACCTGGCTTGGGATACAGTTGATGCAGAGCCATCGGAAACTTGCCAACCTTTTACCGGTTTGTCCACCACCCGGCTGGACGCACACTCACATGAGCTGTTAGAAAAGCAGCATCGAGACTCGCCCATGCATAACTTGTCCATAAACGAAACATTTAACTCTCTTTTAATCAGCCTTCCAGCCAGCAAATATCCTGAGGTCCCAGGAACGGGAATTACTCCTACAAGTGGTGGCCTAGCCAATCAACTCGCAATTAGCCCTACTGATTCAGAGGCCGGTGGTTCTGACGAAGAAACTTATTCCGAGAATTCTTCCATTTGGAGCGACGAGGAGATTGACGTCTTGTCAGGTCCAGAGGTCGCTTCAGAAAATTTCCCTTTTAGTGTAGACTTTTCAACGTCAAAAGTAGAAACAGCAGTTCTAGAAGCTCTGGCCATTAAATCGAACGTCAATGTCATAAATCTCGAGTTCTCGCAGATTGCCAAGCTCCCAGTTTTCGACGGAGTGGCTATCAATTGCCGGAGACTATATAAGTCTCTCGATGTCTTGAGCAACGGGTGCGTGAAACGAGGCGTTTTGGACCAAGCATGGATGGCGGTTCGCTTGATGGAGCTTGCACATGCAGAAGTGTTCAGGCAATCTAGAATACCAGCCAAATGCAACTTCCAAAAGGCTCGGATTTTGAGAAAGCAAAACGACTATGAAGGCTCAGAAGCATGTATATCCCAAGCAATTGCAACCTGCAAACGTTTTGGGGATAAGAAACATGCTCTTAAATGTCAGCTCTTTCTCGGTGACACTCTTCTGTCTCGGGGGCGATATTCTGAAGCTCTCCACGTGTTTGTCGAAGCACTTATTGAACAGAGAGTATCTTGGCAAGGGTCAGGCGAGGTGATGACTTCGATACGAAAACTTCACTCAAAGATGAACAAACCGGGTAGAATGGAGGAGGTCATATTCACTTCATCTATCCTTGGGGATCATCTTAATGAAAGAGGAGCAATGGTTTATTCCCGGACCTTTAAAATATGGACTGAATTTGCACAACTCGGTGCTGGATATTCAAAGCTAGGTCTGTTCCGGGTTGCAGACTTGTGCTTTGAAGTCCAGGAGCCAGTGTTTAATGAATTCGAGCTAGCAAATGCTTCATATTACCTTCAACGATCACAATTCCTGAAGGAATACTCGCTTCACTGTCTACGACAAGACAAGATCTTGCAAGCCCTAACACAATTAACTCTGGGATTCGAATGTATACAATCCTTAGGGACAGACATACTGCCATTTGGGCCAATCGTACTGCACGGGGAAAGAACTTCACAGGATTCCCGCAATGTACTACGCCATGTGTTTGAAGAGCTGAGCAAGGTGTTGAGTGAAGCCACCCCCCATGAACCTGCACTTCCTGAGGAAAGATATCGTTACGAAAAGGCAAACATTCTTGCCAAGAAGATCTCATGGAATCTTTCCACAGAAGTCAGCTCTTATTTGATCCCCTCTGGTACCGACTTCCGAAAGCACGAAAAGAACAGAAATCAAATTGGCAAGGATAAAATTCGAGCGCCCTCCATTCGAAGTGGAGTGACAGCCAGCATTTCAAGCAATGGTTCCTCGATGTTTTCGATGAACAGCACAAGCTCGAGATTCGGATTGACTTACTCAGTTGGCTCCGCTTCATCCTATGTCAGCAATTCGGCTTTCATGGTTGACTCCGATCTAGGTATAAATAAGTCCCTTTAGTCCCGAAAGAAGGGTCACACGAGGAGAAAATGGAGATGTTGGACTCGGGGAAATTTTGGAGAGTTGAGAATCACATGATGGAGAGGGAGCTTGAAAACAGGCTAGGTGGTTGGGTGATGGTTGAGGGAATCGCTGAGGCGATCAGAAATGCGATGAGGCGCTGAAATTGGGGGCTTTCTTATGAGCTGGGATATGAGAATCTTGCACTATTGAGTCGGCGGAATTTCACTTCAAGCTTTTTCACTGTCTTCAAACCTCCCCCCAGCCAGCAACTTCGCTATCCCCAACTTTTCAAGTGAGCCCTCTTCAATGTTCATTCGGACCCCGCATCACCCCGCGCTCGCCCCTGAAAATCGGTCGCTCCGGGTAAGCGAGCCTGACTTCGGGGTAATTAACATCCACACTTGCCTTTCGTGCCGGCAACGCCTACTCTTTTGCCTTTCCTGTGTTATCACTCATCACTTTTGAATTTCCGGCCCCGCGTTATGCCCCACTGGAGCGCATTGGACCCCACTTTTGAGTTCCTTTGTCTAACAAACCGCAAAATCCCCGCAGACTCATCTTGGGGCAAAGCCTGATGCATGCGATCTATATGGTTAGTTTGTTGCTTCGGAATTCGCATTCTGTTGCGTCATATGATAGTCTGAATGACTCACAACCTAGGAATATAAATGGAGAGTGCTAAAAAGTAAAATTTCCATCTAGTAACCTTTGACCACTATTGCTTAAAGAAAGATCAAAGTTATATTTGCTTTATCTAATCGAAAAAAAGTCAAGTACGTTTATCTCCTTTAGTCGGAGGGGGTGGATTCCAAGAATTCTTGTTAACTTCCCTCTCCTAAGGATATGTGAGAAGGCAGTGTCCAGGAAAATATGGGTCGTGTAGCAATATTTATGTTTTAATTATACTAACCTCAAACCTTTTAGACAATCCAAAGGCATTGATTGATAAGAGTTTCTTTGCAATCCAGGCCTCGTTAATCTTTTATAGTCTCCAGCTTTTGTATTCAGCACGTATTTGCCTATTTTCAACAATTTAGTATGCCCGATTTCACCCCTCTGGAAGGGCTATATAAGAGGGACTAATTCCTCTCATTATATAAACAATTTGGTATTTAGTTTAATGATATTTACTATGATTCATTTCCTGTGCCTCTATAACAATCTGGTCAAGTATCTGGTCGAGCATCTGGCATTTGGCCCCTAGGCCCTTACAGGTCTCAACCCGTCACCAAAACCTAAGCCTACAGTAGTCTCAAGTACGTAATTATGCCAACAAGCAGCATGGGAATCCCAATGCTGATACCAACGCCAAGAGCAATGTTATCGGCTGTGCTATAACCCCCGCCACCAGTCGTCCTACTTGAACTAACTGTGCTATATGTCACAGTTTCAGTAGAACTGTAGATATTTATACGCCAGCCTGCACCACAGATCTCCTGTGGATTGCCGGCACAGGTAACGCTGCAGTTATCTGACGAAGCGCTAACTGGTGTATTAACCAGAGTGTTCCCACAATAACAATTAGCTATAGCTTCAACGCCGAATATCGTATAAGAGTTTTGAGAACAGCTAGTTAAGTTATAGTTAGTAACTGTTATAAATAGAATAATACCTAACTCACAAGTTCCGACAATATTCTACATTTATATCGCTTCCAGCTGTACGAGACCCAGGAAGAATTCGGATAGTATCATCACTCCAGCAGCCTAAATTAGAATAGCCTGCTAGAGATTCTGTAGTGAGCGCAAGGCTGTAGATATTTATCCGCCAGGCTGCACCACAGATCTCTTGTGGATTGCCGGTACAGGTAACGCTGCAGTCATCTGAAGAAGCGCTAGCTGCGTTATTAACCAGAGCGTTCCCACAGTAACAGTTGCGTGCTGCTTCAACGCCGAATATTGTATCAGAGTTTTGAGAATAACTAGTTCAACTTTAGTTAATAACTGTTATAAATAAACTAGCCAGGGGGCTAACTCTGGGAGTTCTAAGCCTTATTTCTATTGCTTAAAGCAAAATTTTTTTGGGGCAAAGTGAATTGCGTATTTCTATAGGGCTTTCTCTAGTAGATAAGGCCCTGGAGCATAGCCTGAAGTATTATATAGAGTATAATTTAATATAATTATTATTTGTATTTATCCTTGCCTTATATGAGAGTGCCACGAAAGCTACTAGTATAGCGTTCGCTTGTTTTTAAGCCAGGAATCATAATTTTAGTATTAAAAAAAAATTAAATATAGTAATTATTAGGAAGATTATATGGAATTAAAATCTATACTCTAGTTAAAACAGGTTAAATTAATATTTAATAATTAGTCTTTATTCTAGTACGTTTTTAAATATTAAAAGATATTAAAATAGCCTAATAATATTTCCTTTTATATTCTATTATTTATTAGTAATAGTTAATTTAATTATAGGTAAGACAATTTACTATTATTTAATATTAGATAATTTAGAGAATTTTAGTAAATAATGCCTTATTTTATTTTATATAACTGGCCCAGATTTTGGATTTAATTTCATATAATAAATTCTATATAGGAATTAATTTAATATTATATTTTCTAATATTATTATATCTAAGTTTAATTAAGATTTATATATATATAATAATACTATAATAATTATTTTCTAATAAGAGGCTTATTATAATAATTACTAGAATAATATTATTTCTTAAAATTTTTAAATATTAATTAGAAATATCTTAATAAAGGCTTATATATATATTATTATAATTATAAGTATTTAGCTAAGAATAGTTTTAGTATAAAAAACTAATACTTTTATTTATTCTTTTTATATAATATTTAAAATAATGCTTTTTTTTAGATTTCTGAAAAGCTATAGCTTGCCTTAATATTATATAAATATTTAATAGCTATTATTTCTATTATTTCAAAATATAATATAACTAATATATATAAGAATATATGTATTTTATATTTAATATCTATATTAAAAAAGGTTTTAAGAAAGAAAAAAGTTATTATTTCTTGGCTATTATAAAGCTTTTTCTAGTATTATTATTATTCTAGCTATATATATTTAAAATCTAATATTAGTATTTATATAAACTTATAGGTAATTAGTAGTTTTAATTCGGGCTATATAGAGAGTTTTACTCTAATTTATAACTTAAATATATCTAGCTAATATATTCTTAATATACTATTTTGCCTCTTTAAATACTTTTTAAATAATAGTAATTTTATTAAAGTAAATTAATAGCTTATTCTAGAGCTATTTTGGAATATATAAGGGAATTATATTTTATCTAATATTATTATAGTAGAAATAAGAGCCTAAAGTATTAATTATATAGGGAAATAATAAAGAATTAATAGAATGAATTTTTATTATATTAATAATAGATTTTATAGAATTAAAAGCCAGATTAAAAAAAGAATCAGATATAGAACTTTGAATTATTACTAAGAATATTTCTATTTATAATTTCTAATACTTTTAGAAATTAGTTAGTTATAATTAAAGATTAATAGTAAAAGAATAATATACGGCTATAAATATTATAATAAGAAGTTAATAATAATAAAAAAGAAAAAAAAAGGCTAGAGAATATAATATAGTAATTTATATTTATTAAAGTTAGCTCTCTAGTTAAGATAAGGCTTAGTATAACTATAGCTAATATTTAATTTTCCAGACTTATTAGAATATTACTAGTATTATAATCTATATCTATTAGAATTAGCTTCTTATTTAAAGCTAGACTTAATAAAGCTATAGCTAGTATTTAATTTCCCGGACTTACTAGAATATTACTTTTATAATTATCTAGAGAATATATTAGAGAATTACTATTATAGCTATTTAGTATATATACTAGAAAGCTATTATTATTTAGGAATATAGCTATAAAGTTAGAACTAGATTTATATCCTATATTACTATAATCTTAATAAAGTAATATATTATAAATATTAGAAAAATCTTAATATGAAATAATAAAAAGAGAAGAAGAAATAGTTAATAATATACTCGAGATAAAAAAGTTAAGAACTAGGAATTAGAAATTTAGATTAGGAATTATAATATTTATTTATCTATTTAAGAAAAGTAATATAAAAGGATCTAACTTATAAATATTATTTAGAAAAATTTAAAAATACTATTTAATTATTTCCAGAATTAGGCCAGAATTATTATAGCTTTAAAGAAATACTAGAAATATTTAAAGTAGCTATAAAAGAAGCAGGAAATAGCTATAAAATATAAAAGTTTAGTAAGGAAATAAAAGAACTAGAAATAACCGGGTTTTAATATTTTTTAAAAAAGAATAAAACTAATAATTATAAGAGCTAGATATAGGGTTTAGAAAATAGAAAGTCCGGGAAAACTACTTATAATTCTATAATTATTACTATATTTATATTACTTAAATTAGTACTAGTAATTAGTATAATTATAAGAAATAGGTATTCTATTTTATATATTATTTACTAGAAAAATAATATATTTAAAAATATAAATATAGCTATTACTTTTATAACTATATCTAATAATTATATTATTTCTTATATAAGTAAGAATTATGTAAATATACTTAATTTATGTAAAAATAGAATTTAGCTAGTAATAATTTCTAGAAATAATCTAATTATTATATAAGAAATAATTAAAGAATTAGAAGTTTATATAATAAACTAATATTATAAAAAGAACTTGAATTTTATTTAGTAATACTATTTTAGTAATAGGAAATAAGAAGGCTTTATAAATATGATTAATATATATAAATTAATAATATAACTTCATTTCCGAATACTAAAATCTATTTCTAATTAAAATCTAACTCGTATTATCTTAGTATAATATTTCTTATTCTATTTTCTTTATTTCTTTTCCTTTTATAATTAGCTTCTATTTCTATTATTCTAATATATTATACTAATAACTATATCTTATAGCTAACCTGTATTTAAATTACTAGATATATTAGAAATTAATATAAGATATTAAGATTAATATTTATATATCCTTAATATTTCGGCCTTAGTTTTAAGGTATTATAATAGCCCTTTTCTCTCTAAACTTACTAAGCTAATAATTCGCTTTATAGAAACCCTTTAAAACTTTATAAGAATATTATTTTAATTATAAAGTTTTGATCTTTCCTATATTACTTATTATAAAATATATAAGAAGGAAATTATAATAAAACAAAAACCTATATAAAACATACTAGAATATAAAATATAACTTAATAGTAAAATAATAAGATTAAAAGTATAAATAGTAAAATATAAATAATATATAATATATAAAAACTCAATTAATTAAATATTAAAAAGGAATTATTCTCTAGAATTATAGAAAAACTGGCTTTTTTATATAATTCCTTTAAGTTATATATAAAAGGCTATAGCTTTTATTATATAACCTAAACCTTAAAACCGCCAAAATAATATAATTTTCAGAAAATACAACTTGCTATATTATACTAGGCTATTTATTTCCTCTTTTATAATTAAACTTTATAACTTAATATTTTAACTAATATTCTTATATAGTAAAAGTTCTCTAGTAAATAGATATATTACGGATATCTTAATATAAAATTAATATTATTGAATTTATAGTTCCCTAATTTCAAATTTTAGTTATTCTTAATTTATACTTATATATATATATATATAAGAGAGCTTTTATAGGGGTTTATTAATTATGATTTAATTGTTTTTAAACTTGATCTTACTATACTATATACGAATTTTCGATACCTTAATAATGTTTTTATAACTAGAATCTCTGGTAATATAAGCAATATAGTAATTTACTTAGTTTACAAGCATTTTCCTCAATGTTTTACTTAAGAGGCAAGATAGGCTTTTGTCTAGAAGAAATTAATGACCGGACTACAGAAACGGCTCTCAGCTATAACTGCTCTTCTACAAAGGGCCTACTGCTTTTAGGAAAAGCATTGCTGCCTCTATAGCCCTACTATGGCTGAAGAGTTTTGCGGTCAGCAGTTAACAGCCATTAATCACTTACAGTAGCCAAGATCGGCTTCGAATATTTTGGAATCTGTATGCCACTTTGTACTATTTCTGCCTAACAGCTACTACAACCACAAATGGTTCAAGTCACTATTCAGTAGTCTGAGTTAATACTATAGGAAATAAACGCAAGAGAGTTAAAAGTACTCTACTATATTAGTTTATTCAATCTTATATACTAAGTCCAGAAAGTTTCTACAGAGCCGTTTCATCGACAAGTACATGTATCTTTGATTTTATAATGTCTTCGAATAATATTATGCCAGTCGAATCAACTGAGGTTGCCAGATACCCCTATCGTTATCGGATAACATGGATATATCTCTTCATATGGATGGCATTGGATATGCGAGGGCTGATAGCCGCGAGACCCCATATACGAAGTATTTCGATCCTCTAGGCAGCCGAAATATCTAGCAATAGCCAGTCTGTCCGGCCCCTCGCTGCTGAGCCCAAAGCCAGGCAGTTTTGACACTCCATAGCCTTTGGGTCCTATTGACAATCGTTTCTGAGTCTCCTAGATGGTCTCGTATTGAACGTGAACGAAGAACCCGACTCGGTTATTAAACATGTATCCAGGAAAGGATGGTAAACCTTTCGATTGTCCGGCCTCTTCCCCAATCGGTATGCCGGCTCTCGGATCAGCTTCGGTATCGTGACCAGAGTGTGCTGGTAGGTTCGAATCCTGCGGCTGCCAACCCATCATGCTCAAGGTAACAGCGTGGCCAGTAAGACGATGGATTTGCGAGTTGCGACGGCAACCTCGAAAGCGACTGTGACTCGAATCTCGGATCGTCCTTAGGGCCTGACAGTTCACACACGGCTCTGATCATAGTGGCAGATGGGGCTATACTGGGGAGCGGTCACGGGCAGTTATCAATAAAGGAGGAAGGTGGCTATAGTAAAGCGTTCTCGCAAGCCGGCAGCAACTTTTCAGGGTTTTCCTACCTCAATACAGCCTCGATCAGACCACCAGGATCTCAGATGAAGTAACATAATCCACAGTACAACAAAACATACTCAGAGTACACGAAATTCTGGGGATCTAGGGAAGCGTCACCGCCTCCTGCGCCTGCAGTCCGATCCGACCGATTCTTCAACCTCAATGAAACAGTATCACAGAATACGGAGCAGGCACAGTTGACCCAGCAGGGCATACACAACCATACACGTTTCAGAGGATCCAAGATCTTTTGGATAGGGAGCAGGGGCATGGAAGGGGCGATTTGGACGAGAGAGAACATTATTGGGAAGGTTTTCCCCTGTGAGGACCAGGTGGTCATGGGATCACGGTTACCGTGGCCAGCGGAGTTGCAACATAGCTTCATTGTGGCCGTATCCCAGAAGGTATCTAGGGAGCACAGACACAGGAGGACAGTTAGTGGCCGAGTCAGAGCATACCAAAGTCACAGACAAAGCACTTCTGTCAACGGATATGTATATGTGCGTAGATGGAAGCCAGACCGCTCAGTAGAGGAGTGACACGGGTGTGGTGAAGTGAGGTGCAGTTCGGCAACTGGTGCCAAAGCTGGGCCATTCCGGCATAGCTGTCCAAAGGGACGGCTGGAACCGCGTATGAATGAATGAATCAATCAATCAATCAATCAATCTATCTCTCTCTCTCTCTACCCGCCATACCGAGTTTTCATCGCGAGTTCGACTGGGCATTACCCAAAAATGAGGCCAAGACAGCACAGTACCTATTCCAATCATCAGTATGTGCCACCAGAGAGTCAGAGAAAGACTTACGCAGCAGTGCCAACCAACACTTCGTTTCCAGTAGCCTTTGTTAACAGGGATATAAGCGTAGAGAAAGTTAACACAGAAAGCAGGACTGTTACAGATATCCAAGCTCGAGTTAATGGTATCCACAGAAGGAGAAAGATAGGAATGATTAAAATTCCAACGGTAAAGAAGACAATAAGCAATTTGGCGACTGCGGACTCTCTCGTCTTGGAAAAGGGATCGACAGTTGCATTATAATCTTCGTGAGTCTGACTTCGAAACAGATTCTGTGTATATTTCAGCAATAATTCCAAATTGTAGGAGGCCAAGCACACCCTGAAATATGAGGAGAGGATTGATTGTTCAAAAGGGTCGATCTTGCAAAGCGTGACAAAATCATTAGCACGGAAAATCCAGTCATATTGACCTTTGCCGACCGGCTTAGAGCCTATAATCCAATGTAATACACTTCGATAATCTTTTTTAGAAGGCTGGCCCAACTCTCTGAGCTTTCGATCGTTTAATAGCAAGGTGTCTGCGTCGTATTTCAGCACTTTTAAACACCCGATAATCAAGACGTCTAACGGGACTATCTTACCATACGTGAGCAACTTCTCCTGCAATTCTTTCAAGAGATTTCTCTGGGCAGGATCCCATCCATATTCATATTCCGCTGTTAGGAGTCTCCAAGCATTTGATGATCCAGCCATAGCATCAGCTTGATCTATTTCCGCAAGCTTCTTTTCGAGAAGTTGAATCTCGGCTTGGAGCTGGACAAGAACCCGGCAGTGTGTCAATCCAAATCGCCTGAATATAGCAAAATCGTCGTCGCTGTGCAGGAAGGCTGCTAACTGTGGCCATCCTGGTGGGTAGTCGCAGACTAAAAAATTGTGAGTATTGACTCTGTATCAAGTGGGGCTCCTCTTCGCCTACTGGGGTTCTCTTTACATCGCGAGTATAGAGCTCGAATATGTGCTTTCTCATCTTCTCTCATTGTCATATACTCTTTATACCATGCAGATCCTTTCTGGAATGGGAAGAGCAGATTCTCTACGAAAAAAAGCCACCACCCACAGAGGACAGATCGAAAACTGGAAATCGACCTCTTTAGGTAACCTTTCTCTAAAAAATTCTCACTAGACATAGAATATCCCAACAAGCCTTGATCGGGCTTCCGCAAGATGGTCGGTGATGCTCGCTCAGCCTCGTCGCTTGATAGACAGTAAGGTGGAAACTTGGCCGCAGGTGCTGGAATAGATATGTTATCAGAAGACATCATTCAATCTAGGATCATTTCTTGATGTTATAAAGTCGATGAATGATTTAAAAGATAGAGAACTCCGCACAAAATTCGAAAGAAAACTAAATGCGCATCAGCTTCTGGTCAGAAATGTCAAAAATGAGGCTGCAGTTCGGCCAGGGTTTATATCGTGATCCTATTTCGAAGCATCAGTGCCCAAAGAATACCTCACGGTTGATGGCCAGGCAGATTTCGTACAAGGCTGTGGTCGCTGTACAGTGGCGTCTGACCGTGTTGCGTGCTCCTGTTGAGAGCGAATCGGGTGGACTTGGGTATCCATGCGTGTATGCATATGAGCCCAATATGAAATATACACCGTATAGAAACTTCAAGTTACTATCAATTATTCTAGCACTTTCTGGCTACTGTCTCATGGTCACTCCCGTGGCTCCATTCCTCGAAGCCAGCAGTTTAGCTGCCTGGATGTTTAACTTGATCCTTTGCTCTTACACCGCACTTTACAATCTGCTCAGTAGCTGTACTGAACATCACATCAACTACCGCCTACATCCTTGGAAAATATTCGAATCTCCCATCCCAATAATCGGATTCAAACAAGAAACATGGTTGGAAAAAGGCCCCAAAGACCTTGGCCCGCGCCGAGCAGCCAGAGTACCTCTTCCCTCAATGTTAGACATGGTTTACCGGTGAAGCACCTTGCCGTATTCCCAAGGCTGTTCAGATGCTGATATCCTCTTCAGCGCGATCTCGAAACCGAACTACTCTTGTACCAAGGTGGTCCTCGAATTAAACCCCCTGGTGTTATTAAACCTGTACGTTCTACACCTATCTGAGAGGAATAAAAGCGGGGAAATCAGATCGTAACTGACAAGATCTGTAGGATATTGTGGTGAAGCTCCCGAAATGAAGGGCGTGGCAGACCAAGTGGCACAAAGGTTAATATGCAGAGTTCTGGAGTCTACCAGCTGTCCAAGAGCCTGCCTCAGATTGTGTTCTAGGAATATAGAGATGTCATAGTTAATAATCGTCGACGGGATATTTTGGAGTACGAAGTCCTGGTGTTCGGATTGCGGGATACGATACATGCCTTGTCGGATTGGAATTTCAGGTCTGCTCGTTAGAAAGACCCGAAGCCGGACTGTCTTTAACATTCGAGCTTCAGTTAAGAGTTGTAGAATTATGCGAATATCGCCCTCGCCATCGCACTTATCAAGAGCATCGACTATAAGCACATACGAGGACGGAGATGAGATGCTGTCCAGCCTTGATAACGGACAGAGGACGAGCTGGTGCCACTGGTTGCGGAGAGACTGGCTTGTAATATCATTCTGCTTTATAATAGCATCGGAGATAAGTCGTTCGATTTGTGGTACATTGCGCGCAAGCTATACAGCAAAACTCGTAAAGAACTTGCTAGCATTGCCAATATCTCTACCACCTCTTGAGAAGAAGAAGCTCGCCCCTAGGCGCTTTTAATCAAAGTATTTACGGGCGATAGTAAGCGCAATTGTTGACTTTCCTCTGCCGGCTAAGCCATTTAGCTAGAAGAGGCACCGCTTATCATACCCATCAGCCCAGTTATATATCTCCTATAGCAGGTCGACTCGGGTGGCGGGAAGGCAGGTAGGTGCGTATTATTTATTATATAAATTGAACGGTACGTCGGCAGCAGATGGAAGACGATCGATTCCTAAGCTACTGGTTAGTGCTTGCTTCGATAACTATGCAGGATATCAGAGCAAAGTTCTACGCTTACCCTTTAAAGGTTTGTCGATCTCCTCCCGGAGCCTCTGTAACGCGTGCTCCTTACCTTCGCCATAGATCAGCGGTATATAGACATTAAATATGCCTAGAAGCAAGTACGCCCCGTCTTCTTCATACGTAGTCTGGCGGTTTTCTGCCTATAATAAACGCTCATCGACTCCAAACTGAGACAGAAGGGTTCCTTGAAGCGCTAAAACTACAATTCCAGTTCTCTCGTGGACTTGTCATTCTAGAGCCCTTTTGTTACCTAGTCGCTTGCCTTCTTGGGAGAAGAACTCGGCCGACCTAGGGGCAAGAAGCTCTTGAAGGGTCCAACCGCATATAAACCATCTGCTTCCCCCAAAAGCCGATTCCCAAGTATACTCGGAGAACCGATCGCTTGCTTTCCGTTTCCTTGCCCAAACATCCGATAGATAGACGTAGCATTTGGCCGCATTTTGGTACCAGCGAAACATGGAATTGATGGCCTTTGCGAGCTCAGTACTGTTCAATTTGTCGATACAACATGTATCTACCAAAAAATATTACAAGCCGTCGCGTCTTCTCCGCAAAACTGGATCTTGCGATACCCAGCCTTGCCCTTACCAGTACCAGTCGCCGAATCGGCATGTACGCGAAGTTATTTGTTGAGTTGGTATGAAGGTTGAATCTAGGCTGCGCTCATATCGAGTCAACTGAACGGCAGCCTCGTAGCGGTGGTATCCATAGTTCTCCATCGCTGCGAGTACACAAAACTGGCCGATCGCTGGCCAGCTGTTATAGGCCATAACTGCCTATCTAGACTATTCGACATTCATACGCGATTGAGCAATGATTTGATTTTGTCGCTGATAGTTTGGCAACAGAATACACATTCTTATACAGCACAGTAGCAAAAAATAAACCCTTTCGTAAATACACGCAATGTTATCTCCGTATTCTCCGAACAAATGCATGATTTAATATGCATTCAGAGAAGTTGACTAATCGCTTAGTAATAATCCAACTTTATTGGTTTATATATTAAGACCCGAGGCTTTAAAAATAGAAAACAGCAAATATAGCCACGCAATATTTCGCACCTTCACAGATCACCTGACTCTCTTGCACGAAACTTTCCTCCTTTTTAATATAAATCCAAAAGAATTATTACAAATTGATTAAACTCGTTTTCTTTATATCTTCCTCTAATTTTAAGCCACGAGAATATTATTAAGGTATAGAAAAAGCATATCTTAAGATTATAATAATTAAATAAATAATAATTAAAATATAATTAATTAATTTCTATATAAGTTATTTAGAAGCAAATATATAAGAAGTAATTATAAATAATTAAAAATAAAACCAGAGTATTTTAAATAAAATTATATTATTTTATATTAAGATATTTAGAATTTAATAATGAGAATCAAAAATAATAGAAATTCTTACCTTATAGAAATATTAATTTAAAAGAGATATTATAGTAAAAATAAAAATAAATACTAGTATTTATATTAATTATAATAGCTTCATTTTAGCTATTTCTTTATAGGTTATATATATATATATAAAAGTTTAATAATACTTTATAAAAAAGAAACCTTAATTTTAATAAAGTAATATATATAAAAATAAAAGTATAAAGTATTAGAAATATTAAGGTATTATTTTATAAAAGTTATTAAATATTTTATAAAGTTTTACTTTAATTTCTCTATAGCTTTCCTTATTTCCTATAAGCTTTTATATTTATTAAAAGTACTCTAAAGGCTTAATATAAACTTATATAGCTTAATAAGTATTAAATACTTTTAAATACTATAGTATAACAAGTTATATTCTTTAAAAATTATATTATTTTAGCGGTTTTAAGGTTTTAGTTATATAGTAAAAGCATTGGCCTTTTATATATAACTTGCGGAAATTATATAAGAAAGCTAGTTTTTTTTATAGTTCTAGAAAATAATTCTTTCTTAGTATTTAATTAATTAAGCTTTTATATATTATATACTATTTATACTTTACTATTTATACTTTTAATCTTATTATTTTACTATTAAGTTACGTTTTATACTCTAGTATACTTTATATAGGTTTTTATTTTATTATAGTTTCCCTCTTATATATTTTATAATAAGTAATATAGGAAAGATTAAAACTTTATAATTAAAGTAATACTTTTATAAAGTTCTAAGAAATATTTATAAGGCAAATTATTAGCTTAGTAAGTTTAGAGAGAAAAGGGCTATTATAATATTTTAAGCCTAAAGCTAAAATATTAAGAATATATAAGTATTAATTTTAGTATCTTATATTAATTTCTAATATATCTAGTAACTTAGAGACGGGTTAGCTATAAGATATAGTTACTAGTATAGTATATAGGAGTAATAGAAATAGAGGCTAATTATAGAAGAAAAAGAAATAAAAGAAATAAAATAAGAAATATTATACTAAAATAATATAAATTAGACCTTAGTTAGAAATAGACTTTAGTATTTGGAAATAAAGTTATATTATTAATTTATATATTATTTTTAGTTATAGTAAAGACTAGAATAGAAATAGTTTTAGTTTTAGTAAAAAAATTTACTTTTAAATCCAGAAAAAATATTCTTAATTTTAAATAAAATAATAAATAGAAATTAGAAATAAGAATTAAAAAGAAATCGGAAATAAGAAATTATATAGATAATTTAGGAAAGCTTCTAGAAAAAGAAAAGAATTTAAAAAAGTTAAAGAAATTAGTAAAATTATATTTATTATTTTTATTATTACTTTTAATAATATTATTAAATATATCTAGTTTAATAAAATTAAAGAGAAATATTATAGGTATTAAGCTAATAAAATAGGAAAGAAAATATAAGTAATAGAAATAAGATTATAAAAGCTATTATTTTATTATTTTACTAATATTAAAACTCGAACCTTAATTATATCTATTATTATTAACTAGTCTTTCCCAAATTCCGGTTCCTAAATTAAAAAAATATATTTAAATAGAAAGTTAGTCTTTTAGAAACCTTATTAGTAGAAGTCTTAAATATAGAAACTTTATAATTAATTATAAAGGAAATTATTAAGATTAATATAACCGAAAATAAATATATACTAGTATTAGATTTAAACCTATTATTTATAAGAGCTTTTGAAATACTATAGTTTTAGGGAAATAATATCTTTATATTCTTGAAATAATATATAAATATATATAAGAACTATTATATTTCTCTTATTTATAAGAATTAGATTAAGGCTATACTAGAGTATTATATTAATAATCCAGGAAATTATTAGGAAATTAAGTTCTTTAAAGCCTTACTAAAAGAATTTCGAGAATATAACTAGAAAATACTTAGAATTAGCTATAACTTTTTTAATTAAATTATTATATAAGCCTAGAATAAAGGAATCTTTTTTAAGTCTTATATTAATATATTTAATAGAATATTAAAAAAGTTATTAAAGAAGAAAGAAATAAATGAAATTATTTAATACCGAGAATTTATAAGGAAATTATTTATTCTAATAAAAAATTATATTCTTAAGAATACAAATTTCGAGCCTATAAATATTTTTATTTATAAATATAATAAAATATATAAGAAAGTAGTAATATTCTATTAATATAAAAAGAAGAAATACTATTTTAATATTATTAATAATCTAGATATATCTAGACTTAAATAAGAATATTTAGATATAGTAATTTATAATATAGTTTCTAAACTAGAAAATAATTATTTTTTACTAATTTCTTTTATTATAATTCCTAAAGCTATTATAGATATAAATAAGAAAAGAATCTAACTTATAGCTAATTATATAAAACCTATTAAAAGTAGTAAACCTAAAAAAGATAATATTAACTAACTAGTAAGAAATCTAGAAAAACTATCTATTATTACTATAACTTAAAAGAATCTATAGAGATAACTTAATATAGCCGCTATTATAATTCGGGAAAATATTTATAATTTACTTATATAACCTAATTAATTATAGCTAGTATAATAGTATTAATAGCCTAGTAAGTATAATTCGGGGTTTTAGGAAAAATATACTAGAAGTTATAATAGAGGTTATAGGAAATACTATAATAGCTATAGTAATTAAGCTAGAATAAATAAAAAGTCTAGATAATTATATTTTAGAAGAAATTAATCTTAAATATAATTAGAAAATATTATTTAAGTTAATATAGCCTATAATATAAACCTAGAACTAAAAGAATAAATTTACTATAAGTATTATAGTAAAAATAAGAATAATAATATTAATTCAAAATATATTTATATTTCTTAATTCTATTACTTACTAATAAAAGAGTTTATAAATTATAGATATATTTACTAATTTAATAGAAAATAGTATAAAGGGCTATTTAAGCCTAAATAAGAAAGTATTTCCTTTTTTCTTATTAGTAAGTATTAGTAGTTTAACTAAATTATTTCCTAAATCCGAAAAAAAGAATTTAATTATAATTTAAATACTCGATCTAAAAATATCTAGAAATTAATAATAAATATCTAATTTACTAAATAAGAAAAAGAAAAGAGAACTAGCTAACCGGGCT